CGACCACCCTCCGCGACGGTTCACGACAAAGTGAGGAAGCAAGCACAGACCTGCACGGGATGGTACGACCTTGGTACACGGCGTACACGGCTAAGTCAATAAACTGGGTGACGCAACTCACTTGCGCGTTGGTCCGACGAAGAGCACCGATACCTCGGCACGCTTTACCGTACTCTCTCGCTCGCACACCTCCCCCCATAGACCCCTGAAATTCCTCCAACACCGACGGAGAGCACCGATACCGCGGGTCGCTCTACCGCTCTCGCTCTCTCCCGTTCGCCCGCTCCGACCATCTTCGGCATCATTCGGTACGCGTCGACTGCTTAACTGGCGTCTGCTTCCTGCAAGGTTCCTGGACAATTAACAATTGCCTTAAGTACTACTTACGTACATGATTTTACAATATATTTATAATAATATGTGTACAGATTCAATAAAAGTACACTTAGATGTCATTCAGTCTTATAAAATATTGTAATTTATCCGTTGGAAATAATTCCCTCTTCTGTAACTTGCAAATCTTCTGTACGATCTTCAAAGCTTCATAAAGGTTGCATCATATGCCAGATATCGCGATCTATATCTATAACCTCTGCGGTCCTTATGCTTTCATAGTACATACCAGGAGTTCATGAGAAAGTTCTAAGAGTTGGTGGCACATGAATTGCTACCTCTATCCTGCTCGCGCATTCAATGCTCTTTGTCTTACACACTACAGATACTGAAAAAACGGACAGTTTTAGTTTATTTCATTGCAAATGTAAACTCCGAATGTGCAACAAGGATAGCCATGTTGTGCTTACCAGCTCTAAGTATGAAAATTTACTGCATTTCGTGTTCCCGTAGTAGGAATACAGAACGACGGTAGCGATTGTACATAAAGCAGTAACAATCAGAGGCACATACGTTTTCCTTATCTAAATCCTCCGTTATCTTTCTACATTCCTAGTAAAAAACGTTGTTCCTCACCGAAAATGTTCAAGCTGCATTCCTTCTTATCCTTAATTTACTTTATTAAAAGAAATGTGCTTTGTGTGTGCACATCATCATAGTATGTAGAATACATACATACAAATATAATTGATCAATTTATATATGAATTGTAATTCATTATAATTTGCTGATAAACATAACAATTCGACCAACGTCAGATTAATATAAAAAAATACAATTTGTTTAATATGATTTCATTTGGTTCTGCTTTCAAGTCCATAGTGATGCAGCCCAGCGTCTATTAATCGTAGGTATAATATCTACTTATGCGGTGAAAATTTGTAATGATACTTTAATAATAATATAAGCGCCGGTTACTTTGGTCAATTGCTCTGCGAATACGTATGATATATGTAAATATAAATATATGTACATACTACTAGTGTAGTTACATTGAGAAACGTGCGTACACGAGAGAACACAGGTCGATACATGAATATATAGGTAGTTTGTTTCAGTTGTGTCAGTGAGAACGCAGGTGGTATTTCGTGGTGTATTGCATCTACTTACTATCAACACTATATATAGTGAGATCAGGTTTTGACATCGGCAGGTTTTGAATGGTTTACCGAATATTGGTTGCCTAAATTTGCACCGTGGTCTGCCAGAAGCAGCATAATTGATGGCAAACATGTTTTATTTGCATTGTATAAATGAGGACCATCTCAGTTAATGTGGCTCGCAAACCTTATCGTTTCTTGGAGTGTTCTGGCTCTCGTTATCATTGTGTCCGCCAGAACAACTTAACCTCGAACGAAATATGTTCCCACCGAAAGACATTACCAAGAGGGATTACATTAGTTTAAATATCCAGGAAAGTGCAACGTCCGTTCGAGGAACATCACGCAGTCTTTGGAGGGTAAGCTTCTCTGACCTTTCTTGCAAATTTTGTATTTACTTTCCTTTAATATTTTTTTTTTCTGTGTTAAACACAAACTTAATACATAATTCGTGTATACACTGTTAATTTTTTCTTACACTGTTGAACTTTCCTTATTTCAGCAATGGAACCAGTTGTCAAGGTTTCAAAGGAATATCCTTTACTTTATAGTCGGTACAATTATATTGATTATATTTTATTTGTTGCCTGGTGACAGTAAGAGTGGAATTTTAGATGAAAGCGATTACAATAACATAGAGGTGGTGCAAGATACTCTTAAGTATGAAAAGGTATAACAAATCTAGTGTGTGTAACAAAAATTAGCCAACATTGTCTTATGTGTTGTATGCATATTTGAAAAACTATGGCTTTTATAGGCAATAGAGGATATTGTGGTAGACAATGTAAACCAAGATCACAAAGATGGTGGGGAGGTTATAGAAGAACCTGAATTTCAACCAGAAATAAATCAAGCAGATGATGATCAAATTGGAGAGCCACCACAGCCCAAGCCAAACACGCTTAAATTTAATGGTAGCTTTTATGTTTTTGAAGAGCTTGTCGTTAATCATCAACTTCATACTCTTTTCTTTTACAGTAATGAGCTTCTTTAATTGTAGGTCCACAGAATAGTAGACAAAAAGCAGTAGTAGCAGCATTTAAACATTCGTGGAATGGATACAAAGAATTTGCCTGGGGTCACGACACTGTGAAGCCTATCTCAAGAAAATACCATGAGTGGTTTGGCCTGGGACTTACTATAGTTGACTCGCTAGATACTATGTATATAATGGGTTTAAATAGCGGTGGGTCTAAGCGCACGAATACAGTGAAATTATGCAAATATTCCGAGACACGTATAAAGTTTCTAATGCTTCCGTTTGTTTACAGAATTTTTAGAAGCCAAGGCATGGGTCGATAAGAGTTTAGTGTTCACTCTAAACAAGGATGTTAACTTATTCGAAGTTACAATTAGAGTATTAGGAGGTCTATTATCGGCATACCATTTGTCGGGTGATAAAATTTTTTTAAATAAAGCCGTATGTTCTTCATATGATTTTCGAACAACAATGTAACGTAATTTGAAAGCTGTTAAAGCGTATAACAGTCTCTTCTTAACATGCATTGTAGACACAATTAGGCGATCGTTTGATGCCAGCATTTTCCACTTCGTCCGGTGTTCCTTATTCCGATGTAAATCTGGGTACCAACGCTGCACACGGCCCTAAATGGGGTCCCGATAGTAGCACCAGCGAGGTCACCTCAATTCAATTAGAATTTCGGGACCTTAGTCGCAGCACAGGGGAACCTAAGTACGAGGTAAGTAGAAACAGACTTTGGCAATGAATACGTCGTTGTTCATCGTGTCTGTTGCTATGCGCAGATGAGTATGTAATTACTATGTTACAGGAAGCAGTGGCAAAAGTATCAGAACATGTACATCAATTAGAAAAGTATGATGGTTTGGTACCCATATTCATTAATGCTAACACTGGACAATTTAGAGAGTTTGCAACAATCACGCTTGGAGCTCGTGGTGACAGTTATTACGAGTATTTACTGAAACAGTGGCTTCAAACTGGGAAGACAATCAATTAGTTAGTACCACACTCTTCAATTCTTTATTATCAAACCCGAAGAAGCGGTCCTTTTGTTCGTTCGAGACGCGTTTTTCGTGACTTCGTCGAAACAAACTGATCTGTAAAAATATTTACAGCTTGCGAGATGATTATCTACTCGGTATTTCTGGAACTCAGAAGCATCTTGTGAAACGAACAGCGAGTAACAAGTACCTTTTTATCGCCGAGTTAGTTGGAGCTACTAAGGAAGTAAAACCAAAAATGGTAAACTAAACGATACACAACAAGCATTCAGATATATGTATAGCTGTAACGACTATTGTCTAGTAATATCATATTCATATACATAATGTTTGCTCAATAGGACCATCTTACGTGTTACTTAGGAGGTACTTTGGCTTTAGGAGTGCATCATGGTTTATCATCTGAACATATGGATCTTGCAAACGAACTGGTGAAAACTTGTTATCAGACATACGCGATTCATCCAACATTTCTTGCACCAGAGATTACTTACTTTAATATTCAGGTAATCTCAATAGTTGATAGAGATGAAGGACATTATACGTTCGCATATACATGATACATGATTTTACGTAGAATGTAAAGGATGAAAAACCAATGGACATGTACGTAAAGATACATGACGCTCATAACCTATTGAGACCAGAGTTCATTGAAAGTCTGTTTTACATGTGGTACTTTACCGGAAATAAAACATTCCAAGACTGGGGATGGCAAATATTTCAAGTAAGTAATAAATTCGATATTTTACACACATACATGTATGTATGTATTATACATACAGATGTAAAGGTACACATATTCTACACTTCAATTTGATAATCTGCTTTTTAACACATTTCTATAGGCTTTTGAAAATTATACAAAAGTGGAAAAGGGCTACACTAGCATTGGTAATGTACGAAATGTTTTACATACTCGACAGCAAGACATGACTGAGAGTTTCTGGTTCGCTGAAACTTTGAAGTATTTGTACTTGTTGTTCGATGATACGAGGCAACTAATAGATCTGGATAAGTGGATATTCAATTCTGAGGGACACCCGCTACCCATATACGAATCGTAACCAAGTGAGAAAACAGTCTCGTATATAGATTCGCACCGTCAGTAGTAGAATACTAAATATTTTTCAAGGCCAGTCAATAGATATCATAACGATAAAATATTAGTCTGATTCAATTTGTCTTCTAGCATCAGTTTCCAAACGATTTCATTTTTTTTTCTGCATTTTTCTATCGTATTGGGCTGTAACAAGAAGCACAGAAGACATTGTACATTTCCAAGCGATTGACAATTTATACTCAATTTTTTACCGATTTCTCAATTTCGAAGTGTCTCGATTCTTTAATTGAACGTACATTATTCCGTGATAAATAACTTGATGCAATTAATGCATGCGATATATTATAGATCATATTTGTGAAAAGTGTATCAAAATTGTTGAGTATAATACTGTAAAATAGAAAACGATTGATCTGTTATTTGTAGCCTAATATACCAATTCCTTTTTTTTAAATATTGTTTTATATAGATTAAAAGGACATTTCGCAGATGCGTGGACTTATTTAATAATACTGATAATACAAATTTGCTCAATTGTATAGATGTTACTTAAACCGTTTCCAAGGTTACTAGTCAAGTCTGAATTGAATTTTTGATCAATAAATGTGCAATATTGTATTTGTTAGGTGATTACAATTATTTCTTGTTACAATTTAGTCCTTATTTATTGCACATTTTTGTACAAAACACTAACAAGACATATTGAAGCATTTATCGTAAATAGAATTAAGATAGACGAGAGGAATCATCGATAAATTAAAATACTGGGTTCGTTATGTTTTGTAGATATACATATATGTATCACAAAAATATATAGCTGCTTAATTTGTAAATAGTTATTCGGACGTTATACAGCTGTCATCGATTCATCTTGTGAGATACATTTTTATACTCAACTAATATCGTAGCATAGCTGCCATTAAATTGATATTACCAAAGTAGCTGTTTACTAAATGTAAACGAAGTAAGGTAAGATTTAAAATTTGTTTTGTGTTTCGAAGTATTATCGTACATTAGAAGCTGAATACACTACACACGACAGTGTCGCTTATCATTGAAATGAAATTAATATCATTAATTTTGTTATCCAATAGTAATAAGTTAAATATAAATAGTTGAAGTATACGAGGTATTACACAAAGTACACTCCAATATCATCAAAGTGTCGGACTTTTGTATAAAGAAACGGAAACATTTTGAATCTCTTGTACAAAATTGATTTCGTCGCTTTTGTAATTTTCAATAACCGTAATTAAATAGAAATATTATAAATTTATGTACTCAACGCGAATGATTTTAAGTATTAAAGAATAATGGCGAACAATGTACCACTTCGTTTCAGTTATATCAAACAATTTAAGATTTCATTCACTCAAAAATATAAGTAATAGTATAAAATGGTTGCACGAATGTTTCACACTGTTACGATATTAAGAAATTGTACTTTGCATTAATCCCTCGTTATTATACTAAGATATACTGTATTCACTAAATCATCAAGTGTATATATATATCGTTAGAGGTCTTCGAATAATGTTATAACTTTTGATTTATGTAAAAATACAATTTCTTGTACAATATTCCTCCCACGATTGATTTCCAGCCGTTTTTTAATTACTTTCTGCATTGTTATACGACGGTCTGGTCGTTATACAACCAAAAGCATTGATCAGAAAATTGTACAACAATTGATATATACACCTAAAACGTATATATCTTTACCTTTCTGAATGCTGGTAAAAATAAGGAGCTTATACAAAAGTGACTGACTTGTAAAAAGCCTCTTGTACAATTGACATGGATTCTGACAAATCATGGCAGTGCCTTTTTATTTGTACATGCTCATTTCAAAAAATACTTGGAATTTATCATTCTACTAAATGTATTTACTTATATTTCAAATTCTATATATGTGTGTATATATATATATATTTATTTATTTATTTACCTCCATGCATTGGATTGCTTTAAACATGCGTTTTACATTATTCGCAAATGTAAAATTTTGCGGTAAAAGACTGTTTAAGGTCCGACTTCTGTAAACAGTTGCTTTACAAAAGTTAATCGCATTCTAAAATGACGTCTTAATATCTTTAAGTTTACATGCATTTACGGCACTTGAGCAGTCTTTTCAAAGGACGTTAAAGTTATTTTCTCTCGGTTGTCTAATAAATGTTATCGAAGAACTGCGACCACTAGATTGATTATCATTGTATGTATCTCAATATGCATCACCTGTACATATAAAAATTTGTTTTCACATAATCTTTAATTAAGGAAGAAGTATTAAAATGCATTAAGAAGCAACTTGGTACGAACTACGACTTTCAACGCTTTGTTTGGTATTGTATTGCATACAAGCGTTTAACAACTAATACGATATCACTGTATAAAAAATAGGAATGCACGAAGAAGTATCATGCAAAACTTGTTCTAAAATAAGATGCATCACGTTTTTCAGTTACTTACTTCCTCACGTTCACCTACCGCCTTTCACACCTCTCAAATTGCAATCTTGTTCGCAGAATTTTCTTAAATAATAGAGAAACTACGGAATGAAGTTCAGCGCGAGTGAATTATTAGTTATAACTATCAGAGTATAACTACGAGCTCCGTAATGCGCTTAAGTATACAGTTCAAGTTGAAATAAACAGATCCGACTGGTATGATTTCAAAGCTTCTTAAAGCGTAGTGTACATATTAATAATAAATCAATTCCTAATGCCGTACTTTCCCAATTTCATTTAACAAATAATCATTCTATCGTAAAACAATGATGTTTTTAATCGAACACTATTAGATTGTTCCAGAATAGTTGGTTAATGTTTCATAAACATTGCATTATCTGAAGCTTTAAATGAATATTTCCATCGTTACCATAATTAGTAAAAAAGATCCCTGATAACTTTCATTTACTAAACGAAATGAAACAAAGGAACGTACCAGTAAGCAAGATTCACTACTCGTTCCGCAATAACTCTAATGGAATGAAATTCACGATATTCCGCCTGTTTTGTCAAACATGAAACGTACTTAAATGTTTACGTGTGACGTAACTAATTATAAGGCAATCGCCATTGGTCATAGGTCACATGATGTTTTGGACTCCTCTCGATTATTGTTCCGAACTCGGGTCCGCGCCGGGACAATAATATTATAGGAAGAAATGCTTCAGACCTTCGTCGATTCTTTTTTTGCCGGAAACTGGCAACAAAGTTTGCGCTTGACAGGATCCACGGCCTCCCCCTCAGTGGTGGGGATGATGCCTGGACAATAATCGTATAGAACAAGCCAGACGATAATCGAGAGGAGTCTTTAGTATTTATATACGTGATAATCTATCTTAGCGCTGGAAGGAAGCGTTTGTTCGCAGCTTCTGAGCCATTCCTCGACTGGAATTTTCAGGATCACGGGAGATCGTGGAATGATCGATTAATTTGCGCGTCGAGGGTCTTCTGGACCGTTAAACTATCACGCATTCGCAGCACTGCTGCGTGAAATATATACAATCGACCACGCATGAGTCGTCGTCGTGTCGGCCGCGCGGTTTCTTCCTTTGGTCCGAATCGATTCCATTTCGGCCGAGATTCTCGATCCTCGTCTGGGGCTCCGATATCGGGAGAACGATCTGCGGGATCGGTAAGGCATTCTCGATCGTCTCGGTGTCGGTGTCGGTGGCGGAGTCGGAATTCAACGGCTTGATCGTCACCGGAGTGGTAGGCGTTGTAGGTGTGGTAGGTGTGGTCGGCGTGATTTTACTAAGACACGCGTCGTCCGGTACGTCATAGCTTACCAGGGGTGCAGAACTTTGCAGCGGCGAATCACTGGACACGATGACACTGGAAAACGAAGCACAAAAAACACGATTCATCGACACGTTTCATTTCGTTTCGCGTACTATGTTCTTCTTCTTTTTTTTTCAAGCATATATACAAGGTGAACCACGAATCGTGATCAGTAGAGATTATTCTGTTATTAGCAGTCCGATCGAAAATGTTTTTATCGGGTATAGCATGGTTTCAAGAAAATTGTCATTAGACGTATCGTATCCCATCCACGGAAGATTTTCTTACCGCGTACAGTCAATAATTCATTCTCCCTAAATCTTCGATGTTACTATGAGCTTGAAATTTCTTTTCGAATTTATAATGTTTCAATTGTTTCGTGTAAAAGATAGAAAAAAATCCCACAAACTATGTAATTCGAGCGAAGAGTCTAGAACCACTTATGCTGTACCTATATACATATGTATATTCTTGGATAACAAGAGTCGAAAAATATAGAAGCATATAAGTATGTACATATGTAACAGCTTCCTACGAGTGAAATTCGAGTTCCAGGTCGGTTCGTTCATCTGGTCAACTGGTGTTCTGTTATTCAGGCTCGTCACGCACTTGACACTGGGTCTCTTTACTATTCAGCCCAAGTCCTATCCGTACAATTCATCGTACCGTATCGAAAAGTATTGTTATGCGCGAGATATCTTGGACATTTGTGTATGTCGAACCGTATCGTGTCGATTTCTATATATACCTATGCATGGCACCAGCTATGTTCATCACGGGCGAACGGAGAAAAAATGAAAAAAAAAAAAAATACGATGGCGTAACGTAATATGCGAGACCAATTTCGAAAGTTCATTCAAGAGCCTGTGCAATTTGATAAGAAGGAAAAGTCCTAGCTCGCCTGCTTCGTTCACGGTGCTTCGAAACCGAATACGTTTTCATTGACATTTTTGCGTACAACTTTACGCATATTTCTGCCCCCACTATCCCCATTTCGTAAAACTCAAGATTCTGAGCTTTTAAAATTTCCTTTGCTTTATCGTCGTTGACTCCTCTACTCGCACGAGTGCGCGTTTTATACAGTGTAGGACACAAAAGATAGGTAATAAAGGCGGGAGTTTTAACCAGAAACGAGTAAGGGGCCTCGCCCCTAAAACTCACTACCACTCTCGCTGTTCCAAAATGCTAAGTACAACGTGTCGACTCGAGAATTTTACTCTCTCGAGACCAGCAACCCCTTCCTTCCTCCCTCCCTCTCGCCCAGCGGACGACAGAAAACTGAATGAAATTCTGAAGAGTGAAGGAAGAGACGCGCAGAGTCTACACTTGAGTGGACACAGTAGCGTGGCGAGCGAGAGAGTTAGTTTCCGTGTCGACACGTAGTATGTACGGCTACAAGTTTTCGGTAGAAAGTGTTAGGAAAAAGAAGAAGAAGAAGAAGACGTACCACCTAGCTCTCATACAAGGTTGCATTCTACTCTTTTCCTCCGATGTCAGAGTAGTATAAAATGATATTTCCCCGTCCATTTCTCGGGAATCGTCAATCTATCGTTTCGTTCGAGCAATTAGATCGATGCCCGTGCCGAGTTGTCGTTGCCTCGAAATTCGTCTTTCGAATCGGTCTATCCGTTCTCTTCGGCGCTGCGAATAGCACGCCGTGTACACGTCCTCCTGTTTTATTCCAAGTTTAAACATCACTGATCACCATTGTATATCGTTTGCTTTTTGTCCCGCGCAAAACAAAATGAAATATGCAAATTAACTAGATATTTTTTTTTCTCGTTACTACGCTGATTAACCACTTGAAAAGGAGCGTCGTTTAAATTTCTGATCGAAAGGAATTAGAGTTTCCACGAAGAAAGTACCGATACAAATTAACGAGTAAATGGCACGTAACGATACTTGCATTCTCTGAGCTAATCAAGACCAATAACGTCGCGGCTACTACAGCGTCTATCGATTAGAATACGTGACATTGTTCATTGAAATTCGCATGATCGTACGATACAAAAATGTGCGATGACGCGCGTCAAAAAAAAAAAACAGAGAGAGAAAAATAATATATACGGTGGCGAAGAAATCTATTTGAATAAAGTGTTGCGCAAGTAAGCCAGATGTACCAATGTCATAATTTGCGTTCGATGTACAGACACGTGTGGATTTACGACCGCGTTCTAGGGAGGCAAAAAGAAAACTAATTACAATATGCAACACGATATTTAACAGTTATCGGGACACGGAAAATCTTGCTTGTCGCTACGCTCGAAGAAATCGACTCAATGCACCGTACATACATTAATACATGTATAATACGTTTTGTAACGTCAATTACGCGGCGCTAGCGATCACGATCAATCAATCGGAATTATCGGTAGCGTAATATCAGACATTACGGTGAAAATTCTCGTCAGGGTACAATTACGAAGTTTCTCGGTCGATGACTTGCCCCTGACGACACTTAAATCACGGGAAAGAATACTGAAAGGCTCGGGATACTTTTTCACTGTACTAAATCGAGAGCTGGCCAATGTCACAAGAACTAAGCGCGACGACAAACCTGCGCAACGATCGGCAATCGACGCTCAACTGCACGATCCAACATTCAACTCCTAAAACTACACTCCCAACTCCCAACCCGCGTGTAAGTTTTCACGTGGTCGCAGGGCCGTATATACCACAGAGAAACTCTCCTCCCCCACTTCCACCCCCCACTCCGCAACCCGTCAAAGAGAATCGATCGATATGCGAAAATCATAGAGTGGACAAGCCACGTTTTATCTCGCAATAAGCAGAAAAATACTGAATAAACAGTAATATACTTTCATTAACATTATTAACAAAACTACAAATTCTTACATAATAAGTGATTTTGGAATTGTAATCACAGAGAACAACGTATTAAAAATTGTTCGTTTATAAATATATGCACGCAAAAATTAATTTCTCGTAGAAAATGAAAGCTAGGGAAAACGAAGGTGCGCGTATTCTTTTAAGGGAACGTTTTTCCACCTATTATATGTATATGTCTCTTGTGTATGTATATACTTAAATTCAAGTCTGATTTGAAATCTCGATACACGATACCGTACAAGAATATCTATCGAGTAAAAGGATCTCATCGAGGACAGGTCGATAAGAATGTTCACCAAATGAAAGTTTCACAAAACCGCAGCCGGTATTAGTATTGCTTTTCAGAAATTACATAATCGAACGATCTATTATTAGTAGTGTCACAAATTACAAGGTCTAATCTGCGAATTCCGTGACTCTGAAGATGGGTATATACCTACGTGAACTTGTAGTGGTGTTACGGTGAAACCGGTTTTTTTTATAGCAGTACATATTTGTGTATCCTACGGCCAAACAGTGATTCCTTCGGGCCAGGTATCTTAAAGTGAAATACCAACGTGATCGTTTTTCACACCTTACAGAAAATCTCAATCGATCGTTAACAAGTTCGAAACATCAAATACTATACCGATCATTGCATGGATTTTCATGGTCGCAATTGAATCGGTAAAAAAAAAAAAAAACAACCGAAAAGGACTGTAACCTTCTTTCGCAATCAAAGTAATAAACGTTTCGATGCCGCAATTGAACCAGTAACGGTTGAGAAAAGAATAGGGATCAGGATGAGGATCGAAATTCACCGGAAAGAAGGCAAGGGGGTAAGAAAAGAATGCTTAACCTCGAAATCCGGCAGAACGGCTTGCTAAACTTACTCGTACGAACCACGCTGTGCCAATAGATTCTTAAAACGCATCACGTCGCGGTCAGATAATCTAGATTGTTAAAACAGACACTCTCGATTAAGTTTGTCTATACCAAAATATGACTGGACGCGAAATCAAAATTACACAGCATCCCCCGATTTGAACAAGCGACAGACAAGCAGATACTCGAAAGACTGGCAGGACCGGCCGGGGACAAGCGAACAGTACACAACGGGCGAGGAGGACAGGGGGAGGTGAGGTACAGACGAAACCTCCTCCGCACCATCAAACAGCAATCATTGGCTAAAAACCAGTGAAAATGTCCAAATAAATGTACCTACATACGTATCTATCTGGCAATTATTATTCGAAATTACCTTTCGAATTTATCTCGGAGAAAGACTCAAGGAAGATTTGCATTGTGCTCGCGTCACGCGAGAAAGAGCAATAAGGAGAAGTCATTATGTAATAGAAACATAATGGCTTTATTAAACAATGTTATCCTGTGTAAAGCACTCGTGGGTGACTCGTGTCGCTAAATAAACATTCCTTCTAATTTCATGCCATAGACACAGGGAATATTATTGAATAGGAATTATAGTATACATTTGTTAATGACTCTGAAATTTTGTAAAAATTTATATTGTAATACACTTATGCGAAACCACGAGTCAATCATCGGAACGATTTGCTTGATGACATTGAATGCGTGTTGACCTTAACCGATATGCACCCTTCTTCTTGTCATCGTGTAATCTACTTATTGCATGTTACGTCCAGGACCACCGGATACTGTCGCCAATTTATTCATTTTCCTTCCTCGAGGTATACGACCGCAAACGGTCGTCATTAAAAATAAATAAAACTTGTCAAGAAATTTCTTACGAAATTTCCAACGGTAAACGAATGTGTAATGAACCTTGGGAGATAAACGAAAACTGATTCAAATGCCTATGGAGGTAGAAAGATCTATAGAAAGAAGACGCGATCGTCACTCAAGCTGCACGCGTTGCGCGTGACTGTGATGAGTTGTTACTTTCACGTCTGTTTTTAAAGACAGCATACGTACAGTTACGGATACTGTGATCGTTTTTACGAGCCATATACGTATAGACTCGGCCGAGGAGGCGCATGCTCTTCTTAGTTTGACTTACTCCATCCTCTAATATATGTACATAACCCAGCCAACGTGAAACCGGTTTTAAAGCAGTCGGGCACAGGACGAAAAATAAAACTTTCCGTGGTAATGCCTTCCGAAAAGTCGCGCCGCATAAATTATGAACATTATTTCGAAACTTTCGAGCTCTCCCATACAATATCATCGGATAATGCGGATAACGTTAACATCCTACTGAAAAAGTACAGTATAAATATATGTTTGTTATTTGAAATATCATCTCAGGACGATGTACATTGCTGCTTCGCGCGCGTACATGTATTCATTACGTTTACCTTCAAAGATGACATATTGAATTACAGCAGACTTCTTTACCTTCGTGGAAGACATACGATACGTTAAAGCGTATGACATAAAGTATTCAAATTTGATTCAGCGTGATAATGTCAAGCATTATTCATCTACACTACGGTATGAATAATTTATTTCAATGATAACTGCCGCTTGACATCGTTAAACAAACTGCCAAAAGAGCATGCAGTAAATTTCTAGATCAAAATCTATATCGGCTATAACGAACTACATGTCATGAAAATTTTCTTCTTTTCTGTATCATCGATTATTAACGTTCTAACAAAGTAAAACGTATAAATAGAAGAATTAAAAGCCCACCTGTCAGAGGTGCCGGGGATTTCCTCGGCGTAAACATCAGCACGCGTGGTGATCGTCCCGTCTCTCATCGTGGCCTGCTTCTCGCATGACAAAAAGGGAGACTGCACAGCATCGATTATACTCGATGATCCTGAAAGTGAAGTGATAATCTTGGTTGACGTCTCCGTGATTTCTCATCACATTCCTCGCGCAACCAACTTCTTGCTTTCTCGTATTAGATCATGCACATTGTTTCTCACTGCACGTTCGCCGTTCAAGGTTTTTACAGGCGTTCATTATCACGTTTCGAATTCACGGTCTCTAGTTTCCGACACAAAGTTTTCGACAAGTTTCCATTTTATTCTTGTCCCATTTCATCGTAACACATTACTATCAAGTCACACGCAAGAATGATTCAAAGTTTCTTCGGTTAATATGTTGCACGAATCTGATCACTTATGCACGTACCACTAATCCTTTTGAAAAGGATAAGAAATTAATTTAACGTTTAAACAATTTAAGGACTTTGATAATCAAGAATATTTCCTGCCCTAATGAAATCTTGTGAGATAGTTACTGAAATGCTATATGTATATACCGCACAAGTGGGATGCGAAATGAACTTGAACACCTCCTCTCTCTCCGATGGCTAGACAACAACTGTGTGAAATGACACAAGCGTTGTGTTGTGAATGCAAGATCTGCAAGATGCACCAGTATATCGATGCTTCCTCGAGTCCTCGCTAGAGGGCTACGAATGTAGTCAATTCTCGCACGTGGAATGAATCTATTTTATATTCGATCAAATATCAAAATTTTTCAATGTACAATTTTTTTACATTTCATTTATCTTAGAAAACGTTTTCCTGACAAGAGGAACAATTATAAATGGGCAGTTCACGCGGATGCAAATACATCATATCTTAAAGAATTGTGCCATAACGCTTACGCGTCTATATATCGCTTAGATGTGTACACTTTTTCGAGCAATATCCAGAATTCTCGAAAAAGGACGGCCCAGAACTATTTGTCGGTATTATTTAAATTGTTTATTTCTTAATGAATGTTCAGGATATATGTATTTAGAAGTACCAAGAATAAACGATTTTCATTAAGCGTTGCGCATGCGTTAACATTTCTCGATACCATCTTTTCCCTCTCGTGATTGTGTCATCTGTGGTGTACGAACCGCTTTCATTTGCGTCTTCTGATTGGAGTTAAGTTTTCAAGTTACATGGTAACTCGCGGCTTTTTTTCGTGTTCTACTAATTATTAGTAATAGTATAACGTTCCAATAAAAGAAGAGTGAAACCGAAGAGAAATTGAATATGGGTCGCTACAGAAGGTAAGCAGCCATGTGTGTATATAGTTGCTTCAGAGTCTCTATGTTATCATCAATATGCTCAAAGTATTCGGTATTGGAGTCATATATTTGGAAGAAGTTTTAATAAATTCAGACTGTTTTTGTAATGACACATCAGCGAATGTGCGCGGATAAGAAATAATGATATCGGAGGATTCGCATAGACCCTTTCACTATTGATTTCGCATAACCTGTTGTTTCTTTGGTTTGTGCTCAGTGGGAGCCTTGCAAATTGTACAACGAAATGGAGGACATAATCCACATAATCAATGTTCTTAGGCTTTATCATTATATATCATTATGTATATATTTAAAAATATATAATTAAATACTTTATAAAGGACAGTGGTAGAAAATTACCAATTTTGGATCTTGCTGCTAATATAGTATGTTTGTAAATCATAAACCTACAGGTTCTAGGAATTTTGAAAAGCACAATTATGTAGCTGTCAACTGATGGGAAAGTTGTAAGGTGTACACGTAAACTTTGAAACTCAGTAGTCGATATAACTTATCCATTTAACATATTTCATTATCTCCGTCTGCAGATGATGATTCATCTGTGAAAGAATCATTCAAGAAATCAGCAGGTAAGTTTCTGGTAGGGTGATGTCGAGCAAAACTAAAATACCATAAAATTGTTGCTGTGTAATAGCAAGGACCGACAACCTGTTCACCAATCGTGTACTCCCACACAACAACAGATGATACCGGATTTAAATATTCATAGAATAAAGTAAAATTGCTACAGAATAACGATAATGTTGAATGTACCAAAATTATATATAAATAAACTGTACACGAAAAAATGATAAATAAAAAATAATGCATCTTCGTTACCAGACGGAATTGATTTGCTTATTCAGTTGTTAAATTCTTTCGATGTTTGTCCGGACGTTTCTTTATTTTGCATTTTTTGCTCGACATCAACCTACCAGACACTTATCTGCTGATTTCTCGAACGATTATTTCACAGATGAATCATCATCCATCAAAGAGATCGATGAAACATGTTATTTCGGTAAGTTGGACCGATTACTGGGTTTTGGAGTTCATGTGTTTTTTTCGCAATTTCCCCATCAGATGACACTTATATATGTAATTAAGAATTTTTCAAACCTCTAGATTTATGCACATATAATAACATATTTCAGTCGAAGTCGCGATAGAGACAGGAGACGTCGGTCTCGTACAAGATCTCGTAGTAGATCACCACGAGACAGAAGAAGTTGGGGTGGTAGCGGGGGTCGGGATCGAGGCGGAGGCAGAAATAATCGTGGTCAACCAGGAGCAAATTTGAGAAAACCTCGTTGGGATCTGAGCAGACTGGAGCCTTTCAAAAAAGATTTTTATGTGCCACACGAGGCAGTTCAGAATCGTGATCCACGAATCGTTGAACAATATCGAAGCGAAAAAGAAATTACTCTTAAGGGAAAAAATATACCCAATCCTGTATTTACGTTCGAAGAAACAGGTTTTCCCGATTATGTTCTCAAGGAGATCAAGTGAGTATTATTTGCATAACAGTTTTTTTTTTTAGAGGAAAAAACTGCAACTAATCAAGTCTTGGTGTTGATTAGTGCAAACTAAATGCAAACACGTTACATCTGTTTGTATGTTACAGACGACAAGGTTTCACCGAACCTACGTCGATTCAGGCACAAGGTTGGCCAATTGCTTTAAGCGGAAGGGACATGGTTGGAATCGCGTCAACTGGTTCTGGGAAAACATTGTCTTACATATTACCAGCAATTGTGCACATTAATAGTCAGCCGAAATTGGGTCGAAAGGATGGGCCTATCGCGTTAGTATTAGCTCCTACTAGAGAGCTCGCGCAACAAATTCAGCAGGTGGCCGATGATTTTGGGCATTCGTCGGGTATTAGAAACACTTGCCTATACGGTGGAGCACCGAAAGGTGCGCAAGCTAGGGACTTGGACGGCGGTGTAGAAATAGTTATAGCTACACCTGGTAGATTATTAGATTTCCTTGAATCAGGTCGTACAAACTTGAAAAGATGTACCTATTTGGTACTAGACGAAGCGGATAGAATGTTAGATATGGGATTCGAACCCCAAATTAGGAAAATTATCGAGCAAATTCGACCAGACAGACAGACGTTAATGTGGTCTGCCACATGGCCGAAAGAAGTAAAAAATTTAGCCGAAGATTTCTTAAAAGATTATGCTCAAATTAATGTCGGTTCTTTACAATTAGCTGCAAATCATAATATATTACAAATTATCGATGTTTGTCAGGATTACGAGAAAGAAAACAAGTAAGTTATCGAATGAGGGTATTCGAGTCTGGTGTCTAAGAAATGATTGGTTAATTTTATTTGTATTTATAGATTAAGCACTCTTTTGAAAGAAATAATGGCAGAGAGTGAAAACAAAACAATAGTGTTCATTGAAACGAAACGCAGGGTAGACGAAATAACTAGAAAAATGAAGAGAGACGGTTGGCCTGCTGTTTGTATACACGGTGACAAAACGCAGCAAGAGAGGGATTGGGTTTTGCAAGGTAAATATTCCAAATTGATCCTTAAACCGACGATTAATTAGAATTATTACTTGAATGACAACATTACATTTCAGATTTTAGATCGGGAAAAGCACCAATTCTTGTTGCAACAGATGTTGCTGCTCGTGGTCTTGGTAAGTAAGATACTTGCTATAACATAACAGAATTGTAAGATTAAGCATCATTGCTCGTTTTCCTGTGGTATGGAGAATGGAGTACTTTAAATCACATTATTTCTATAAATCTTATTTGAGCTTAATTAATTGGTGCAACATGCAAGACATCTTGTTCTGATAAACTCCATTATTATTATTTATTATTTATTATTAAAATATTAGTAGAAATAGTGGATAAGTACAATTCAGTAAAACATGTGTATACTTGTAAATGAAAGTTTTTTGCTTAGAGAATCGATCAGAGCAAGGTTACGTTGTGTATGCATTGATTTAGACTTGGACCACTTTATGTGTCAGAAGGGTAATAATGAGTAATTTGTAGCAAGTGAACAGATAACCTGCTACAGACTAATACACATAAGTATGTAACGTAATTCAGAACTATTTATTCATTAAAATTCGCGATAACTTGTACGGTCTGAATAGCGGCAGTTTATTGAACGTTGCATTCAGGTATAGCAAATATATGATAAAAATAGGTCTATCAATCTTGTACGAGATCTCTTTAAGGACTAATCCTTTTAAATGTAGAGTAAACATATAGAATACTTGTTTCTGTGAAAATAAACAACTTTGCATTACATTTCGATCGGGCATACGGAATTTTCTAAAAGCATAACGTGGTTCATTTAACAATTTCAATATTCGTGTTTCTTTGCTTCCTGACTCTTTGCTAAAGGTAACAATATTAAAATAACACATGAAAGTAAGATAAAGAGATTCATATTAGATACGATCGGCAAGCAGTACAGCTATCAATTTTAATATGACATTGCATTCTTTTCTTTGTTTTTGTCTCAGTTAAAGACAAATTGTAAATTCAAGCTTGCCGAAACTTGTGCTGTCACGACAGTTTCTTTAGATGAGATTTGAACTGAACTTTGTTGAGCATGATTTAAAAGTCAATTGTGAGTTTAATGAGAACTCGTTCGCGGTTGAAGATGCTAGAGAATAAAGTTAAAGAAAGAAGGAAAGAAAGAAAGTAAAATCTAACGAAAATAAAGGGAAGGAAAATGATAAAGAAAAGAGAAAGAAACAGAAAGGGTGTAATAGAAAACTTGATATTGAACACAGGAAGATAACGAGGTAAACATATACCTAACGCGGTTGGATCTTTGTTTGTATTGCAGAGGCACATTGCGCGCAGGCCCACGCCGGGTAATGCAAAGCAAATTGGAGGTGCCCGCCGCCTGTTTGTTCGGTGGTGCACTGGTTTGCATTGTCTGCGCTGGCTGCGACGCGTGCCTCTATACGTCAATTCCGTGAAGGGCCAGTCCGGGCCAAATCGGGATCTACTACTTAACCTCCTACATACTGGATATCAGTTCTACGCTACGCTGTACGCCATCTGGGCTGGCCAAGTCGTTGTTGCCAGAATAGAATCCCCTGCGCTGGCCGCTCAAGCTAATCAGACCCAACAACGGTCCAATGAGAGGCGGTGGCATGGTAGCTGATGCCAGAGCCTCTAAGTGTGCCCTGTAGCAACAGAATGGCGGAGGCTGTAGCTGGAGCGAGCGCAAACAGCCAGGCCCTGCCCGTACGTTGCTAGCGACACTCACCCACTGCCTAATTTTAGTATAACAGTAATATTAAATTAATTGCTATACAATATATATATATATATATATATATATATATATATATATATATACACTGGTCACCCAGAAAAAAAACCTTGTATTCACTGTATATAACGTTGTTCGCATCAAAAATCTAGGATGATTCTTGATTAAAGAAAAGTTGTTCCAATTGTTTCACTATGTATAGATATTTCAACTTGACTAGAACAATGACGACGACTAGGACGACTATGACTACGTTACAGTAAAGTAGTAACTCTCTGAACAAAGTGTTAAGCAACATTGTACTTGATTCAAGAGCATCTTAGATTTGAACAAGGTGTATATGGTTCAAATGGATTTTTCTGGGGGACTCTGTATGTGGATCTTTTTTAAGAGCATATACATATAGCAAGGTGTTTCATAAGTTGCTGGTGTATCAAAAGACAAGAGAAATTCCCGAGACAAGACTAACTTTGATTCTTGATACTTTCATGGGATCACTACATGTATATGAACTTTGTATCGGACAGTAGAATAGAAACATGTATGTTTAACTGTTGGAAAGAAGCATAGCTTGTTGTTGCCTAATGGTTTCACAAAATTACCAAGAGTTCTCTTGTTTTAAGCTTGGGAATTTTGAATGTTTTCCTGGCAAACCGCACCTCACGAGACACTGAACGTGTATGCATACGTATATCTCTATATTTCGGTATATTTCTTCGTTTCTATATACGTATACATATATCATTTATCTCCATTTCTGAAATTCACTGTTCCATCTTATCCTTTTACGTCCTGTATGATAACTGTATCATTATATATTCACATCATACTAACTATTATACCAATTGTAGGTTGTATGTATATATCAATTCTGGTTTCAATTTCTCATTACGTTTACTTTTTATTCTAGTATTTTCAGTATGTTCAACTGTGAGACTAAACTGTGCGCGGTAGTAGCTATCGCAATAAAGCACTCAATCAATTTAAATCGGAGAAACGTAAAGCCAAAAGTACTACATATGTATTAAAACGGAACCAGGATTGTCTCTGTGCGGAAATCTGTCTTTATTTCAGAGCTTTCTTCTCACATCAAAACGCTCTCTAAACAAGTAGATTTTCTTCGTCTTTAAAATATTTGCAAGTTTAACGGAATTTTTCGTAAAAAATTAGAAGCACAATTGACAAGACTGTACGCGTGAAATGAAAAAGATTCATAAAAACGATTGTAGAGAGTCGATGATACCGTGGCAGCTACCTTTTAGAGAGCGTATTAACAGAATCATTTAATTTAAAGTACACGATTGATATTTAATACATACTTTACGTACACCTTGCCATACTACTATTTTAACCAAATGTCTGTCCTCGAGACGGATGTCTCTGGAAACTAACCGCTAATACCTTATGCTTCATTTCAGACGTCGAAGACGTCAAGTTTGTCATCAATTTTGACTATCCCTCCTGTTCGGAAGATTATGTTCATCGAATCGGTCGAACAGGTCGTCGACAGAAAACTGGTACAGCTTATACGTTTTTCACGCCGAACAACTCGAATAAGGCCAACGATCTGATCCAGGTATTGAAGGAAGCGAATCAAGTGATCAATCCAAAGTTACTGGAGCTTGCAGATAGTAAAACCGGCGGATACGGGAGACACAGAGGTACTTGGCGATTATTTCGTAGACAGAAAATCTGAACGATTAAAGCTCGAGCCCTCTCAATAATTAATCACTCAGAGATAATAAAAATTTGAACTGTACTTCGTGTAGGTGGACGAAACCGATGGCGGTCTCGGGGTGGCCGCAACGGGAAGGATCGCAGCTACTCGAGAAGCAGGAGTCGAAGCCACAGTAGGGAACACAATGGCCGTGGGAACCGTAGAAGTTACAGTAGGAGCTACTCTCGAAGTCGTAGCCCTGTTAGCAATCGTACAGGTAGGTCTGGGTCAGGTGTGTCGTACACGTAACAAGGTAAGGTAGACAATTTCTATCGGGTAAACGACGACGACGATAGCACTTTGGAATATCAATCGGTACAGGGTATAAAGAAAAGGAACTGTACGTTTGTTTCTAGAGGTTATCGGTAAGAGTTATTGGAGCAGCGAAAGATGATCTTCCAGCAGCGACTAAGGACCAAGAGCATTCTACGAATCGTGTCTTTTTTTTTTTTTTTATGTCCATTTTAAACTACACTCGATACACATTATAGAAATTGTAACATTGGTGTTCCATTAACGTGAAACGTTAAAACACGAACGTATTTACGTACAAGTCTCGTGCATTATAGCTGATTTATTTTAAAAGTATAGGATAAGCGTGTACACGTATTCCCCGACTCGTTACGGAGTAACAAGATGCGACGTCGTAGTTTATTCGCTCGACAACTTGACTCGCGATCAATTAGCCGGTATCCAGTTGTCGAAATCGAAGGTGTAGCTTTTAAAAAGAGGTTCGGCGAACCTTTCGTATCGTTGTACCGCCGCAATATTTGTACGTCCGCGTAGAGCTTCACCTCTTAGTTGAACCGTGTCAGAGCTTCGATATCGTAGAAAACTGGAGCGTATGCGTGCCCTTCCCGGATATTAGACTTCAATATTATGTATGCACACGCGTGTATCTTTTTTTAACGATGGATTATTGCTCGTCGATACGATACGACTCAACAATTGACACGAATGGCCACGTGCGAATGTAATTAGAGGGCGAATCATCTAGAAGAAGTTACACCGACTCTCGAAACGTGTCTCACTATTTATAGTTACGAATAACTTCTTGTAGACGTCTAGTGCTTACTAGCAATCAATTTGTACACGTATTCAAGCATTTCAAACTAATGGAATAATGTACAGTATTTAACAAAAATGTCATAAATAAATTTATTAACTATTTAAACGCTCTTGTATCTGTATCCCTTCCTACCTTTCTGTCACAGGTTTTCGCTATGTAATGGCAAATCTGTTATATCGTCAAAACACGGCTTTAGAATAATTCTTTGGCGTGACGTTCGGCTCTGCTAGCGTTAAGATAATTAATTGTTATCGATCGATCGATCCGACTCGTAAAGAAGGATCTGTCGATCAATTTCCATTTGGCAGAGATGAATGAAATCGATTGCAACATCGATGACGTATAATTCTCTACAGAAAGGAAGGACGAGACCCCTAAAAGGCAGCGTGTCCGGAGATTGTTGCTCGCGGCGCACGTGCTCCCTCGGGTCTATACACAAGTTGTCGATTGAATTGCCGTCGAACGATATTAAAGTTAATGGGGAGGAAAGGGGGTCGATAACGAAAGGAGCCGCGGATCGATTTCGCGTCCGGTACGGAATTTCACGGGATTGAACTCGCGGGAGAGGAAAACCTAAAGTCAGCGGGAACGGGGATATCGAGTGAAAAGCAGCAAAGATTTATGAATGAACTGTAATACAGGTGGACGGGTCGATAGAGCGGCCCTCCACCCGTCCCCTCGGGATCGCGCGGAACGCAAGGGCGTAGTAATCGATAGAATGAAGATGAAAAGGGATGCCACGTTTTCTGTTCGAACGGACAAGCGTGCGAGAAGGAGCGCGGAACGGCGAGGAATAGCAACCGGCGACGGGGGACGGGGACTGTGGAGGGCAGAGTCCATTCAGTAGAAGCGGCAAGGCTGCTATCGATTGCGTGGGTGGTTCAGAGGAGACGAGGTTACCCCCACTTTAGGTCATTCAGCAGCCGCACTGCTGTGACACAGGCTGGCAGAAGGAGAAGGGGCCTTGAAACGCGAGGGGGAAAATCGGAGCGAATACTCTTCTTCCTCTCCCTTCGTCCACCCTCTTGCTCGCTCTCTTTCACCCTATTTCACCCTATTCCACCTTATTCCACCCTCTCGACAGGCACGGACGGTAGCCCGATTACTGGAATTCCGTGGGTGGGTTAACGAGAGAAGGGCTGTTCCATCCTTGTTTTCGATTACACCGAAGGACCACGGGCAGGATCGCGACGAACGGTTAAAAGGCTGTGACGGAAGACTACAGAAAGGGCGGAGGTTGTTCGAAACCGGTGTTGCTAACTCGCCGCGCAATATTCGTGCGGATAATCTGGCATATAAGAAGATGTTTCGATTCCATTCATTGTTCCCCGACGGCATTTCCTTGGTATCGCTTCAACAGCTGCGAGACCCTCGTTTCTATCGATACGACGTTCCTGATCGACTTTTTTTTGTCGGAAATCAGACTCGGGATTGTTAAACGTTCAATGATAATTTCATCGATCCCCGTGGAATAGCGGAGCATGACATTTCGAGGACGATTATGTGTACAGACAACGACCACTGTTACGAAACAGCTGACGCAGTATGCGAGTTTGTCACGTCACATCGCAGTCATATCGCGTGTCCTCTGTATACAATTTCGTTAAACTTTACACATTTTTACACACAAATTACCGTAAATAAATAGGATCGAATATTTAACAGGTGATCTTAATAATCAAGTACACGGTGGTCCAGAAGATTTCAAGGGGATCGATCTTACGATCGTTTACCGCGAAAAATAGCTGCTCCACGGGTTATCATTTGAACATGTTCTAAAAACAAAAACAAAAAATGACTAAACACTTTGCTAGTTGATCATCGACGAACCGAGTATTACTCTGGGTGACGTAACAGCGTGTTTCTCGTTTGGGCGGTGGATGGGAGCTACAACGATTTTAAGTCCCAGAGAGAAACTTGTTGCGCAGGCGGACCGGAAGCAAACGTAAGCTTGCTCGCGCTGTTACCCTTCTTTCGTAGCTTCGTTGCTTATCACACGATTCGATCGTAGGTAAAAGATAGTCGTTTGATACAGAGCGTTGAGATCGGCAAGAGACGAATAACGCGGGAATTCGAGTCTTCAATGGAACTGTTCCAACGTAAATGCATATATCGTACATTCGGGGGAATACTAAAAGACCATGACCCAGGTCATTCGTACCCGTTTGTACGAGTGGGATTCGATAAATGAATCTATATCTGGCACAGTCGGCATATAAAAAGAAATCACAAACTCCGGTTACGCGCTGCATCGAGCCAATTTTCCCGTCGAGATCGTTGCTCGATCCAAGGTCTAATTCGCTCGATGAGAAATAAACGCATCCATTACCTACAACGTACAACCTCGCTGACCGTTTAAACGTTTCGTTTCGCGAGCGTAACGGGAACCGGTAGAGGGTTTCTAATCGACCGTCGATCGACGGGAGTTCTAACAGAAATACGGTAAATCGCGAAACGAGGTGGAAAACCGTGGGAAACGCAGCAGATCGAAAGGAATGTTCGATGGGAAGGGTAACGATCTTTGAAAGAATGCAAAGAAGCATAATGAGACCGGGTAGAAAAGGGGTAGTTTTTCGGTGAAAATCCCAGTAAGAACAGCCTCTCTGGTGTCGACGAATGGACCGTTCGGTGAGTGGAGGAGGAGCAGCAGCCGAGAAAAGAAAGAAACGGGGGAGAGCAAAGAGAGGGCGTTTGGGAGGACTGGGAGGGTGGAAGTGGTGGAGATGGAGAGGGAATGAAACGCAGGGGTGGTGTGCTCGTAGCGGGGGTGGAAAGGAAGGCGAATAGTCGGGCCGCGGATGATGATAGCAGCTCTCTCAGTTGCTCCTCGGTTTCCGGACTGCGTGGACTGGCAGGTTAGTGAATCCGATTCTCGTTCATTCACCAGCTTCTCCTCGTTCCACTCTTGACCTCCTTCCTTTCTCGGCAACCCTCTCTCTGTTTCGCTCTTTCTCTGTCTGCCACGATTCCACCCCGTATGTCCGCTGGCTCCATTCATGCTTTCTTTGCTAGTTCGTTTGCTGCTTGCACACGATTCATCGAATCATCGCCCTCCGTTTTCGCCAATTTTTCTACACGTAATATTAACTTGAAGAAAATATCAATCTTTCGATCGTTTGAAGATCACTCGAAAATGGGGACGAAGGGATAAACACTCGCGTTACGTTACTTCTTCACAGCCTCTTCGATCGAGAAGTGATAGGAATGGAAAATTCTTGCCTCGTTTATGAACTGTAAATTCCCAGAAACCCTGGCTTTCGATTAGAAAGCGAACATTCATTTACGCTCCGAATTTTCATGTACGAGGCTCCGAAGCCAACCCTGAGACTTTCGAGAAAAGTTCGAAGAACAGCTGTTACCGTTCGTAACGGTGGATAGTGGTTTTTAACGCCTTTATGCTCGATATCACATGTGTACGTGTATTCCGTGAAAATGTTGCGAAACTCGAGAATCCACTACGAGTACAGGTAATGTTGTACGATTCGAGGATTAAGTATGAAAAAAATACCACAACTTGTGAAATTAGGAACGTTCAACGACTACTACTGTCTTCCTATTTCCCGCGACAAGGGGCCGAACTGATGAACATTCTGTTTTTTTTTACAGAGTGTATGTTTACCCTCGAAAAAGTGTAAATCACCGAAAAACTCGCGTCGTTCCGATAAAATGTTCATTTATCTCGAGAGTCGAACGATCAATTCATCAATCGCAACTGATTGGAAACCACCTCGCGCGACAATACGATCAACTTTCCCGGTGACGATGAAACAATACAAGGGTGTACAATACCCGATTGAAATTCATCGTCGGGAATAATTGGATTTTGCCTTGTCAGGCGTAAAAATGATATCATAATCGACCCGTCTATTATCCGGCAGTCTTGAAAAGCCGAGTCACCGATTCGGTAACACCCGCGGCTCTATCGAATCACCCCATACAATCGAGTCGAACGACCGATCCTCCTTGTCTCGGAAATGTCAGCTGGGAAAAGAGACGAGAAGAAAAGGGAGAGGATTCAATGTCGTTAATGTGTTCTACACAGGTAGAAACTACGACGGATTGTCTGGGTCGAATGGTAATCGAGACGACACCGATTAACGTTCGATCGACATATTCGTTGATCCAGTAACGAACATACGATCAGAGTGAAACGTACAGATTCGTGAAAATAGCGTTAAAGTTTCGAAACCTGAAGAAACCATGTGCCTTTCCGAATTAAGTTAACTTGTTAACTTGGTTACCTGCCATATGGTTACAGTTTGCAAACATCAACAAACTATCGGAGATTTAGTGCGAAAATCTCTTAGACTTTTGCTTTAACGTCTATAGAACTCTCGCCCCTTTAGGAATGGAGCTCGATGAACGAAATGACTGAATCCCATTCGTCCGAAAGAAAGAAAGAAAGGAAATGCTTGTTGTACATCCCATTAAACCCATTATACCCAATTATACCCGTTACACGAAGTAGATAGTTACGATCGGCCAGTATTTTCACTTCGCAACACTTTTTCTTTGTTGTACAGAAAATGCGTACCGTGGCCGTATGGACCGCTTTCGTCTTAGCGTATTCGAGCAGCCCATTGGTGGCCGGTATACGATACATCGATCCGATCTCAACTCAGTCGGGGACCACCACCGGCGACATCGCCGAGAAGCGCGTTGACCTGACCGAGCCGACATGCGAGGAACTGAGGGCTATGTGGAGGTACACCAAACGACAGAGTAGAGCTGCTAAGACCACCACCGGATACTCCCTTTATTCCGATCCGTTCTCTTACAATATGTGGAACCGTAACTCCGAACGCGCCAAGCCTCCCCTTAACTATCGAGGTAAGATCGTTTCCGGTCGACTGTCACAGAGTCCACAATATTCATCCCCCCTCGCTCCCCCACTAGCTCGCCGTTAGAGTATAGTTGGGAGCTGCTGAGTTGGAATTGCTCCTACAAACTGAACGGCACAGGGCCAAGAGGGGTATTTCGCCGACCAATGGTTAGCGCTAAGTCAGTACCACGTGATTACTCTGTTATCGCTCTATCTCACTCGATATCGTGTGACCCGTTCGTTCTCTTTGTCACGAACGAATTTGATTCGAGGGCTTCTCGGCAGCTCCCAAGTATACCTACCCCTGACCAACGCAACCGGTGCGACCACCCCTTCGAACAACACCTATGTATCACCATCACCGGAATCCCCAGAGACGGCCGAACTTTCTTTACGCGGATCAAGAGTTTCGAGCGACCGAAACAGCTTGGAGTAGATGTCACGGACGATCCTTTATATGTACCTACTTGACCTTTCGTATAAATCGTCTAGCCTCCCATTCGATCGAAATCTTAACCGTCTCTGGTGGTCATTTCCTTGGGGGGATCTTACGAAGAATTTTATATCGATGTTTCACTTCGACTGTCAAGCTCAACACGTTGACATCACTTTACCCTTTCGCCGTCGAGGAATCATTTTCACTTTTCGTATGTTTCCAACGAGACTATTCCGACGCGTGCCTTTTACATCCAATCGCCCAAAACGATTAACAGGTCTCATTCGATACTTCATTTCTAACTTGATATAGACGCTCAAAATAATCACCGTATGAACGGTAAATAAGCGAAGGAATGCATGCTGACTAAATAATTAAATTGTCGACGGTTGCGTACGCGTCGTGTCGCTCGACGCCATCGTTTATATTCGAATCCTTGCCCAAGAATTTCCTGAATACGCTATAACGATGTATTAAAAACAAGTACGCAAAAGTGTATACATATGTACCTACTTGAGTAACTGGTAATCGACTTACCACTTTTGTACCGATGCGTTGCGACGCGTGTCGTGAGAGCTGGTGTATACGTTCGCAGGCAGATTCGCGGCGAGGGCACGAAATCGCGCTGCTGGTAGCACTCCGATTTACGGAAGAATCGTGCACAAGACCCCGGCAGGAAGCAGGTTAAGGAACGGAATGCGACATTCCCTGCGGCCACTCGACAAAATTCCACCGTTTTACGGAACGATCAATTCTTATCCCACGTCGCCGAGACGACGGATCACCAATTTCCGCACAATGGGTGGTGGTTCTCCTGCTTTGGCCCAAGTCCCACAAGCTGGCAGTTTTCAGCACTTGAAGGAGCTGCTTCGGGCCGAACGCATCCGCGAGCTACAGGTTAACAACAAACACTATTATTATCTGGTATAATGTACGACCGACGATCCCCGATACTCCTACCTCTACCCCCACCCCTGTCCCTACCTCTATACCTACCACTCGGTACAGGTATTAAATACCTGGTCCCTCGCGAAGAATAAAAATATTACAATTTACAGACAGGACAGTTGACCTGATGAAGTATTGTCGCGGCGGCGAGTTCATTTGAACCGATAACCGAACCGTTGAACCAATGTTGTTCTTTCTAGACGCCTTGTCCGCGTTCGAAATCGGCAACCAGGCTAACTCTCTGTCTCCTGAATCGTTTTATAAAAAAAAACGCGATCTCCTATCACGTTGCACGATTACGATGCATTTTAAAACATAGTTCGATATCTTGGCAAACACGATGAATGATTTAGGAGCAACACAAGGCTGAGGAAATGGCGGGGAATACGTCTGACTCCGAGGAATCAACGGACGACGAGTATCAATCACCGATGCAACAATACCGGAAGCAATTCTCGAAGACAACATTGCGAATCCCGACGAAAGCCAATTACGAATTCGGCCAGGGCCGATATCCGTCGAATGTGCCGAATATTGGTCAGGCATGGTCGGTGAGTACACTTCTATAAGATCCTGCACGGCAATAATAATTATCAGCGTTCGATTCATGGTTAGCTGTTTTCGAGTCGTTTAACAATATTGCAAACCTGATTTGGTCTCGTGTTTTTATCTTTTAGAGGAGCGGACCTCAGTCCCGTGAATACATGTTACGTTAATCTTTTCGTCGGGATGCCCAGCTATCGTAGAACCGGAAAAGGCTCTGAAGATCAATATGTCGTACCTCTGGGCACGTCCACGCACGGTATGATCGCAAAAGAATTCGCAGTTTCGGCTTCCCTAAAAATTTCTGACATCCTCAAACCCACGTGGATCGATCAATCGTGCTCGATCGTTCCGTTTTCGTTGATGCTGGATCAAGCTTGACGTTCCCGCGAGTTCTCCGCGATTTCCACCTGTGACCGACCAACTGAGAACAAAAGAAACAAGCCAAAAACGTCAACAGAACGAATGAATCGGGACAAATCGGAATGAATCGAAACGAATCGGGACGAATCACTGCGCGAAATGGCTTTACCACGAGCTAACTCTACAAATCTATATTTTCTTAATTCGTTCCATATCGTTGAGAATGAAAATCGCGCGATCGTGTTCACCGAAACACGATTACATAGTATCTTCCAGGTGTCTAAGCTTGATACTATTCTCGACAAAAATATCGACAATGGCGACGTGAACGTTCTTTGGACACCGTTGAGCGGAGAAAACAGGGACGAAACGGGGGTAACATTTCCATATAAACGCTTTCTTGAGCAAGCAGTATTCCTATTCGATCTAGCCATGATAGAATCTTATTTAGCTATAATGAAATATTATACCTGTTCTAATATTCGTTCAATATTTCACTTGATTATTAGCCGTTGACCGACTGATCGTGAATTGTTTTTCCGTACCGTTTACGATGTCGTCGTCCCGTCTCGACTCTTCCCTTCTTTCGGTTCCAGATCGAGCGAACGAAAAAAAACTGTAACGGAAATCGATTTTTCTATATACGTTGCTACAGAACAGAAGGAAAGTTTAATGAAATCACACGTTACGCCCTGATTTTCTCCGTCTCGTTCCAACTTTGACAATAAAATAGAAAGACTAATATTTTGAAAATTTTGACAATATATATATGTATGTATGTATGTATGTTTGACAGTATATTATATAAATATATGTATATATTTACACGTATATATATAATATATTTAATTATGATAAGAGACTACAAAGCATAATCAACAAAACTATACGAATGACAATAATTAATCTTAAGAGGCATTTCTCGTAGCTCGTACATGCAATCGATGCTGTTGCAATTTCGATTTTCAACTTTACGATCTGTACGTTGACAGAATAATTAGTAATGATATGAAAAGAAAAGAAAAATCAACAGAAAACAGATGAACTTCCTGGGAGAAACAAAAACGCGTTGCTTCATTTTCTTCTACTCGAACTCCGCATGTATCGATTACGCGTACGTGCGATTTAAACTTCGACCCTTAAGTAATCGATCGATTGCCCGCTGACTATGAATTACAGATTTTTACTTTAACCATGACTAATAATGCGTGCATTATCAAATTTTGGTTTCTTTCCCGTATTCACACTGAAAAAAAAGACAACAAATTATTAAGGCTACAGTTTATATGCTGTTAAAAATGCCATGCCAATAATAAAGGCTTAAGGGTCAATTCTATATTAATGTAGACGAAACACCATTCGGCGAAGCATTTTGGTGTCACCTCGAATCTTCGAGATCAATATAACGAAATATACATGGTGTTTCGTTTACAATAAAAACAGTAAATGTAATATTGTATAACAAGAAATGAAATATTATTAACTAGGTTAAAGACAGACATTTATGTGGCTTAATCCATATCTCGTGCTAAGAATTTATCACTTACAGCTCCTACAATGCGTACAAAATGACAACTTTCTGAATAATTATACATAGAAAATGGTTTGATACCACGAGCAATCCTAACGCCTGATTATAAATACTTTATACTTACATAGATCTATTTAAATACGATACGTGCTCATATACATTTAAACGAATACGCATAGATACACACAAAAATACAGACTACATAACACATATATGATGAACATTACATATACGCTTGGAACTGCAAGTATTATATACATGCATATCAAGATACACAAGTATATATGTTATGCTAATATCACTGTTCCTCCTGTGTTCCTTGTGTATCGCGTCGATGAAGTTTCTAAAAAACGGATATGTTTGACCAGGGTTCTTTAACTGTCGAATCAGTGCCTGATATCCAAGAGTAGGGACTGATTGGAAAAACTCTGGACAAAGATTCAATCTGTTCGGTATTTTACTTTCAGTATTTTCATACAACTATACTCTGTTTTTCCAACGTCTGCGCATACACGAATATATGTATGAAACTATTAAACGAACAGCTTTATCTTGGACAATATTAGAAATAGAAACTTTATGTAAACTGAAATCAATTAGCATAAGGGATGGAAGATATATACATGAGTCTACGTATAGAAACTTTAAAATTGCACGTATGTTAAAAATATTCTTATACAGTAATCGCGTATCTCATTTAACTGCAATTATTATTCGTTTAAATATCAGCCAAAAGATGAGAGAAAAGATATACCTCAAAATTAATTCACTGTTTTCTCATTGTTCTATTTATTCCGTATTACGATTATGCGTTCAAATATAAAGCTGCGTATTCATTTGAGCATTCACCCGGAATGAGCATCGCATGAACATCGAACAAGCGAACGTTTTATTCATGTGAACGGAACCAAACTCTCTCTGTCGGTACATCAAAGTGAACACGCGATTGAATCATGATCAGTATATTTAAACTATAAACGTGTGGAACGTTTCTGCGTGTAACACGTTGGCATGCGAACTCTGAATATGTAATCTTACATGAGCACCAGACGAGTATCGTACGAGCAAATCAACGCTCACTCGGTGCTCATTCGGGATCGAATGCTCAGACGAATGTGTATGCAACTTAATCGGAACAATGCTGTATTCGATCGACAGTTGATCGTTACATGCAGGAGGACTGACTTTGACAATAAAAGTCATACAATATTTTTTAAGTATATCTTTCTTACTAACTTCTTCTAAAATATTATGCAATTTATAAATGATCACTCTGGACAATAATAAAATTACTCTTATTAGCTTTAAGACTTTACTGGCATCAGTAACATTATAGTATTAGTACTATTGTGACGCCTGTATACTTTATGATAATATACAAGAACAACAAGTAAAGGAAACGATTATACAAAAGATCGAATACACAAATACCGACCTGCTAACTGAGAATGTATTAACTCTTGTACTTACGCGTAAACATGAGATCTATGAACAACATGTATTTATCGCATCTGAACGTGTAACGAGTAAATCGTTGTAAGAAATAACGTTTAAAATAAAGGAATTACTTTCAGTTCATAGGCTGCCCAATTCTTTCAATTTCTTATATCCACCTTCCAAACGACGAAGTTTCTTTTCTTTCGTTACAAAATTTCAAGCATCAATTAATGCGGTCCATTAACAAATTGAATAAAACTTTATTAAAAACGTGCGCATTTGCTGAGATAATTTGCTGGTAACTAACATTTAACGTACATTTAACAGATCAGTGGCGACATCACGCGTGTTAATACGGCATTATAGATTTTCACCAACTTAAATTCGGCCATTTCCTGAACTTCCAATGGTAATATAGTCCCTGCTCTAACCAATTTACGGGAAAAAAGCGTGATACATGTATACAATAATAATTGTTTGAACGACACAATACTGAATAAATCTTTTAATAAAGTAAATATCTAAAATCTGTTTGGTTAACAGTGAAATACTATGCGTCTACAAGTTCCATTAAAGCGGTCATAAACATAGATACTGTTATATCGTATTAAAACGCAACGAAAATGGTATTTTTAAATATTGTGCATACCACGTTTCGGCCACTTCGACAGTTAACGAAACTTCCAACGATTAATGCAAAATTAGATGCAACACGAACGTACGTAAGATGGGCGAGTCGCCGACCGGTTGCAATTGTTAATGAAGATGAACTTTACGAAGCAAGCGACACTACGCGAGAAACATTTGCCGAAAGTAAAAAGTTTTCGTCAAGGAAATCGAGAGGAAGGAATTCCACTGAAAAAACCGCAAAAACCGCAAAAACCGCAAAGACTACAAAAGCTACCAACGATGTGGAATCGTTGGCGACTGAGAAGAAAAAGGCATTCACTGTTCTTCAAGATAATGATAAAATTATAAGGTATTTAGGTTCAATGCTCGGCTATTACAGTTTTAACATTTCCGACGCGGTAGCGCGAAGTTTAGAGTATTTTTTCCATTGGGCCGACGTGCAATCAAGCGTTGGACGTTCGGGTATAGGAAGGAATTATGATTTTGAGGTGTCGTTTTCTCTATTATATTCAGAATAGAATGAAAAATAAGATGGAATATATCTTTACACATTGGAGAACGATGATCCGGTAATATCCCACTCGTTTTTAGTCTGTATATAAACATTACCGGCTACTGAAGATCCTTGTATTTATAAATAAAATAGAATAAATTATCATAAAAAATGTTAAAATACAATAACGACATAATGTTTATTCAAAATATGTACTGTAGGCCGATATAAAACCGAAAATTCGAAGGTCTGTAGAGACATATGGTCGGTGTATGTCCTTTCGGTAGTCTAGTCCTTCAGTAGTTTAGTTATACGTCCTTCATGTCGGAGGGTTTAAACGGTTGGTGTCGATCTAAAGATGAAATTATGTTTAAATATATATATTTTTTTGTTTCAGGTCATTAATGATTAAAGTTAAGTCACGAAAGAAAAGAGAAAAAAATGATAACATTGCCCTGGAAGGACAGAGATTAATTCAAGACGCGCTTCGAGCTGGTGTACAGCCTAAAGTTGTACTTTTCAGTAACTCAGCAGATATAGACAAGTTAAATCTTCCACCAAAAACACAATTGTATAAAGTCCCATATAAAACTATTCAGTTGTGGTCCACTGTATCCTCATCCCCTGGGTTAATTGGTAATAATACACTTCTATGATTTACAATACAATTTTACACATGTAATAATTTATGCTTCTCGATACAGGAATTTTTGAAACTCCTAATATAGAGAATACAGCTCCCGCTGACGACGCGTTGCCGCTTACTATTATTTGTGACAATGTAAGAGAACCAGGAAATTTAGGGTCTATTATGAGAGCTGCAGCAGGTGTAGGCTGTGAAAAATTAATATTGATAAAAGGTATACAACCTTATAATAGTTTTCATACATTATGTTGCATAGAACCTAATACAAGATTAATCGATAATAATATTTTACACGTTCTTTATGACTTCCCTGTTCAGGTTGCGTGGATTTGTGGGACCCGAAAGTTCTTAGAAGCGCGTGCGGAGCTCACTTTCGATTGCCTATTCATGCATTTCCGGTGTGGGACGATGTTCCAGCGTTAATCAGCGAAGACTCCAATATTATTGTAACTGATAGTAACTTTAAGGATGAATTCGTATCAAAATACGACACAGATATGCTTCAACCTAGCTTAGGAGTATTCGATGCAGATCCAGAAAGTCTTAAATCATACTGTATTAACGAAGATAGCGGAACGGAAACTATAGAATCAGAGCCTACATCGTCATTTAAAAAGAAGATGGCAGACCTTCTGTTGCAGCTACCTATTGTACCGTACTATACTTTGGATTATACGAAAAAAGAAACTGTGCTCGTTCTAAGTGGAGAAACCGAAGGTTTAACTTTCGATTCATTAAATTTACTAAAGGAACGAAAAGGTATTCGTATAAATATACCTTTAGTTAACGGAGTCGACAGTTTAAATGCAGGAGTAGCTTTTGGCATTGTTACGTTTGAAATCAAGAGACAATTTATAAAAAAACAAAGCACACTTTAATAAAGTTATTTTCAAAGCGTATCGGACGTGTCCTGTCTTTCTTAATCAGTATTTGATATATTATACACTCGGATTATTTTAATGAAAAGTTTAACTCTGAATAAGATAATTGCATGCTAGATTTTTCTTTGATACAATACCTTAGCTCTCGTTGTTGACGGGTTGAGCAGCAATCGGTCGAACTATCAGATTCAGATACAAACATACGTATTATTACAGTTTACTATAATTCTTGGATAACTTCTGTTGTAAGGAAAACTTACTTGCACAACTTTGAGGCTGGAATTTTATGTCGTCGATAGCGAAACCTCCGTTGCTGGCACTTCCCCTTAAGATAAGACGATACGGTACACGCGCATCTATGGTGACTTGTGCAGCTGTCCATACAGGTCTTGGATTGTTAAATCCTTTCGCCGTTAGCGACCATAACTGAAACAAGCGGAATCGAACTAATATTTCTAATTCTTCCGTTGAAGAATATTCTTCAGATTCTCACGGGTTGTTCCTGCGTTCCATTTTCTTTTTCGTCATCGCTTTGCTCTTCTTCGGCGTTCATCTTAATTACTTGCAACGTCGTAGATTCCTCGACTCCAAAGGCGGCGAACCAAAAGGTGAAGCAAACGGATTCTTCGTCCGGCGAGGTCTGTATGACCGGTGATCGCAGCCGTACGTCAGCTAATTTCTGATTGGTCGTGAAAATATCGAAAAAGACGAAGTCACCGGTTGCTCCGAACGTCTTGTCCAATAACTGGGCTGGTCTGTGAGCAAGAAACGCGCGCTGCCAGGTGACAGCGCGCTCGTTGTCCGAGGACGTGATGTTTTCCCAGCCACATAATCCTTTTTCGAAGCTGCAGTCCTCCGGTCTTGCTGATGCACTCGGTGGTTTCGCTGAAACATTATTGGAAATGCGGTAGTATTGAATGGGAACAATCAAGGCTCGATACTTGTCAACTTACCTGTGCAGTTGCCGGTATAAAAGGAAATATCGTCGACGCCAATACTACCACTGGCCCGATTGGGACCCCAGGTACCCTCGAACACCACGTCGAAGTCGTTCCTGTCTTTTATACTGATCTGTGCGTAGTTCCAGGTAGGTCCTTGATTATTGTAAAGCTGCCAGACCGGTCTGGATTCCGTAGAAGAATCTCCAGTTGTCTGTACAGACACCCGAAGCACCCCTTGAAATTGAATATGTATTGTTAAAGGACGTGAAGCGAATGGAAGAAGTTTCTTATCGAGTACGAACCTAAGCTTGGCCCGCTGGAATCGATGAATGATTCAAACATGAAGTACCAGAATGTGATACAAAGAGGCTCATCGGTGCCTTTTATCTCTCGGCTAATAAGCTGGCCTGTCCCTCCTCCGACCGACCGGGGTCCTCCTCGTGGGCGACCCAGACCAAGGAAGTATTCGTTTCTACGGTTGATCGTATATCCATTACTGTACGGTTTCCGTTGGTTCCTTGGGCTCAGCGCTTGAAACGATACCCTCTCCCATTCAACTCGATCGGGATCTCTGGAATTAATCCAATCGCACTCGTCCACTTCGAACGTGCAGTCACGTGGCGTCGGAGAAGCAACTTGCGGCGAAACTATTAACAGAAACAGTTGATTGTGTACAGGATGCTTGAAATTAATTTATAATATCTTCATTCGAGACGGTCCAATTTCAATTTGTACCAGGACAAGACCCTTGGGTAAAGGAGATGTCGTCGACAGCGATGTCTCCCATTCCAGTGTTTCCCACCGACGCCTCGAACACGAGTTGAAAATCGTCTATAGAGCCGATGGTAATTTGAGCGACGAACCAAGTGTTTCCAGCGTTTCCGTTCACACTCCAAATTTCTCGAAGTGGCGCGTCCAGGCTGCGAAAATGCCGTAAAAACAGCCTCAGCGTACCGATTCCAGCGCCAAACATGTGGAACCAGAAGTGTAGACACATAGGTGTATCGGCGCTGGGCGCAGGGAAGCTCGAGCTAAGAAGCCTAGCTTTGTCACCTGGTCTCCGTGGAAACGAGGAATCTATGTATGCATAGCCCCCACCCGTTGCACGATCACCGGAACTGTCCATTGCCGGCCCAGTCGTTGGGTTTCCACTACCTCGGCTCTGAAGGAATCATTCTTTTAAAAAAAAAGCTACGGAAGCATGCAGCTCGACTTACGAATCCTGGAATGCTCGACTCACGATCGTCCAATCAAAGTCATCCTCTGCGTCGTTACTCCAATCGCAAAATCCACCCGCAAAGTTACAGAACCCGACACAGGAAGTACCAGGTTGTAGATCTATGTCATCCACAGTTACGTATCCTCTGTATAAACGAGCCAGATCGGTGGGTTCCACGGGAATTCCCTCGATGATTATCTGCAGGCAGGAATACAGTTGTATTTTGTGATATCAGAATTGTTCCACCTTTTTGCTAGGATTGACAATTATTGGTAGGTACAAAAACGAATACTACACCGAATGTAACTCTGGATAAGTGTAGAGTATCTGTGCTTGTTGCCAAACGCCGAGACTATAATATTGAGCGTTCCAAATGACACGCTCGCTGACGGGTTCTATCGGTTTACAGGAAGGCAGCGTCGAACCGGCAACGCTCAGCCCGTCCATGGCGTATTTGAACATAATGCAGGTTCCAGTTACTCCTGTACTCCCTAACTGAGGACTATGCAATAGCCCCCCCAAGGTTTTCACCTTGCTGTCTCTCACTGGTGTCTGGGATGTTTCTAGGAAAGCATACCTGGGTGAATGAAATCGAGAAAAATTAATATATTATATTAATTATATTATATATGGGACATTGTGGAAAGGAAAAGCGAATTGGCGAACATATACCCTCCTTCCATGGTCCCAGTTGTATAATCGCTCGGTGGGCCACCCAGCCAATTGGTACCCATTCCGGTACCAGCCGCCCAATCCAGCACACCATCGCCGTTTTGCCATTCGCAGAGCGTCTGTGCCGGAAACGATCCAAAGTCGCAGAAAACTTCATCCACAGACGCTGTGGGGGGTGGTGCGGTTACTGAAGGATACCTGAAAGGAGAGAAGGTGTGTTGTAAAAGGATTCGTAAAGTCACAGGCACGATATTTTGTGTCCTCGTAAAATCAAGCGTCTATTGGACTGGAATGCAAACTTATAAGTTATATATTTATAATTACTGAAATTCGTATACAACGTATATAAGATTTACCGGGTTTTAATAATCAATATATGAAACATATCAAAATTTTGTATTCCTACAACATTTCTTCCAAATGCTATGGCATAGAATATTTCTTTTTAAATATACCACAAAAGAAAAACCTATTCTGAAGGGGCATAAGCGTATCAAATTACATTTTCGGATACCGAACCGGGGGCACTTTTATCGTGCTCATCGATTTTACATGTACTCTCGCGAGCACACTCAGCTTCCGCTGGGTGAAAAAGTGGCGTATAAAGTCTCCTACCACTTAGTAAATTTATTTCAAGTACTGAAATAAATGTTAAACCGAATGTTAATTTGGTATAAATTTAAATAACTCCCAAAACTAAATGGCAGGTGGCCCTTCGCCTACCTCACTTTTTCCCCCTAGCGGAAGCCGAGTTTGCACGTCGGTGCACGATTGTTATCGGTGTAAAAAGAAATCACCTTTGCGTCGACGGATCCCTTTGGGCGAGCGTAGGTGGATTAAGTGGATTACGGGGCAACGAGATTGCCGTGGTGGAAGGAACAGAATTTCGAGTATAAAGTATATCCGGTCGAACCGGCCATTGCCTGGGCTCGACACGTTCCACTTCGTCCAAAGGCTCGCGATCGCGATCGATGAAATTGAACGGGACTCGCGTCGAACTGAAAGCGTTATCCGTGTCCGGTGTATCGATCGTGTCTTTGGTCTCCTCGTTCTCGACGCTTTTAGTCCAATTGGGAGTGAAACTCTCGTTTGTCACACCGACGAGATCGATTTGCTCTCCGAACATCGGATTGACGGGACGCCATGGACTCGCGTCCGAGATCAATGATAAACAGTAACAAATTAACAGCGTGAACCACATCGTTCGTAATTTTAATAAAAACACTCGAGTTCAGCGGAGTACGAACACATTTATCGAAAACTGAACAGCATACACAGAGACGGAGTAACTTAATTTCTCGTCGATCGGTTCGACGAAGTGACGTATAAAGCATGTGTGTTTCAGGTGTCTCATTTTTTATTTCTTTTTTCTTTGTAGACTGGATTGCTACTTCCGATTGACAAGAAACCGAGTACAGAAATTGCACGGCTTTCCCGAGGTATACATTGTACAATGTTTAGAGAATAACTGGCGAAAATCACTGATCGTCGTCCCGATTTTTTATATACTGTAACGCGTCGAAGGGTGATGATCTTCTAACTAAACACGAGGCCGAACGGTTTTCGAGAGGTATGTAGTACGTGATGAAATAAAACGAGCATTCCGCAGTTCCGGTCTTTGCTTCCTGTCGTTACGCTTTTGATCCTGGTATAGAGGCAGGGTTCGATAACCGTTCGTCGGACAATTCCATTGAGGAGTTGTCGTGTACATATATAATAAACATCGTGATAATTATACTATACACGTTCTACCTGCTATCTCCAATTATTGTTCCTTTTACGCGCACAAAGTGCATCCGGCTCAACGTGGCACATTTCCAAAGAGTTAGTTAATCACGTTAAAATTGTTATACGCTTTTCGCGAGGCTTCAGAAACTTTAGAAATACTTCCGACATAATGTTCTTATCTCCCTGACACGGGGCAAGTGGAACCCGACCTAGATTCAAATATATTCGGGCGATAAAAGGGACAAGATGAGGGCAAGTCATCAATTGATCGGTCCTCGGACGGGAAGGTGGTTGTTTTCTCAGCATCTTTGATATCAAATTCACGATAGCGGCCGAGGTTTGCTTGGAAAGGGGTCGTGGTTTCTCGTTGCACGTCATATTCACGATTTCCGTCAAATTCTGAAAACGACACCGATCGATTAGTTTACGATGATACTTGGCGCCCTTGTACAATTCGCTGTGTTTTTTTAACGTTCCTTTCACGGGCTAAACTGTCCTTACCGTGCCAGGAAACGGGTGTCGTTTTGTAACCATCTCGTAAAGAATAACCCCCATGCTCCATATATCGCATTTGAAATCATAGCATTGTCCCCTTAACATTTCCGGAGCCATGTAGTAAAATGATCCAGCACGACATATTCTCGACGGATCGGTTAATCTGTGGCGAACGTTTGTTTGATTAGAAATCATTTATAAATTGTACCCAGAAATGTGATTCGTATTATCGTGTCCGTACTCTTGGAAATTCTTCGATACACCGAAATCCCCGATTTTAACGATATCGCCGCGACCTCCGGTTAGCATAATGTTCTCTGGTTTCAAGTCCCGATGGAGAATCTTCTTGTAGTGTATCTGATGAACGCCAAGAACGATTTGCGAGAACAAGTACAATGCATCCTGTATAACATACAAAATAGTTATCAATTAAATTTCATGTGCAGCGTTTTGTTATGGAAAAATCGGACAATTATTTATCGAGGAATGCAAACTCACTTCCTCTTTAAGAGGCATCGGACGTTTACTCAGCAAATCCTTCAGAGTGCATCGTGTCGCGTATTCCATTAGAATATAGCAGTGATCATCCTCTATCCATGCTCCATAATAAGCCACTATGTTTGGATGCCTCAACTTGTGCAAACATTGCACTTCCCCTAATATATTCTAGAATTAAATTAACTTAAGAATTTCGTTGATTTTTGAATTCCTTCAATATCTTGTACTCTAGTTTTCTCCGAAAAACTTTCATAATCTTATGTTTAAGTACACAAAAAATATTATCAGATTTATTGAAAATCCCAATTCGTAGTAAATACGAACGTTAGGATGTCATTCGATCATCTGTCCTTCTTATTTTCCGTTATTAAATGTAATTATGCTGGGGAAACGAATTGCGAAGCTTTATAGAGGATACTCTATACGTAAAATGCTACGAATTACTATAATCTTGTTTAATTATTGACACAAATGAGTGATCAATCGATACTTTAAAGTTGAAATATTGTAAATTTACAGATTCTGAAGAAAAAACATGTAGCCAGATCCCGTAGAAATTAAATTGTATGTACTTATCGGATAAATATTTTACGAGCAATAAGAAATAAAAAAAAGTAGTGTTCTCTTCCATGTACCTCACCTTAAAAGGTAAAGCGTTCACGGCATTCAAAGCTTGTTCTTTTACGACGAACGGCTTAGAATCGTTCTTTCGTCGTACCAAATAAACGGAACTAGAAATAATGAATAATAAAGATACGCGAATATAAAGATTAAATTCGAGTACATACCCGAACGTGCCCTGTCCAAGCAACGTTTCGAAAACATAATCACTGATGCGCATTAACATTGTTCACGAAAATATTATAATACAACAAATCAGATCATATGCCAACGAGCAATTACACTTGTCGACCACCAACGGATGTTATGGCCCGATACAAACATCCCGATCCGTGTCATGCCAATAATATTTTCCATTTTTTCAATACAAACGTTTTCTTCGATACAATCAGAGCACTGAATTCTACCGTTTAAAAAAAGTTTGTTGACTAAACTTTGTAAACATGCGTAAATAATTAAAACTTCAAAATATTAAAATATTAGTTTGATCCCGTTATTGACAATAGTGGCGTAATATCAGAAATATGTAATGAAGTCATAACACGACGACACTTCTATGAATTTTATGAACGTTTCAAGCGTCATTATTGGTACCATTTTCCCCACTACAAATCTTGAAATGAGTAAAAATAAAAAAAAGAACATCTGTACGAGATTAATAGTAAAAGATAAGAAATAATTGAGACTGTTCGTCTCTGCATACATTTTCACAGCTTGAAACTTACATGATCCACCTGAGTACATTTCAGGAATTTAATGTACACACAGGAATCGCGGAGTTCATTACTTAAAAAAAGGTATTTTAGAGAGACACATTGCAGATTATAATCCATAAAGTACTTTTCTTTACTACCACCTGTATATCTCATGAAACATTGCACGTACATGATTCGGTTCACATTCGAAGCCGTTGTTTTTATGTACAAAAATAACGCGTTATTCAAGCGTTGAAGTAACAAAAAGCGCACACAAATAGGGAAGATAAGTTCAGACGTCGACTTACGTCGTAGTAGTTTTATTTATATTTTTTCTTTACAAATAACGCAATAAAGGTGTACCTAAAGCGTTTAGACGTATCATATCGTGCCAAGAAGAAATGCCAACACTAAACATTACAACCGAGAACACGCAGAAAATTTAATATTGATGAACAACATCCGTGGCATTGAAAAAAAAAGGGACTGCTTTTGGTTAATTCACAATCAGATGTATGGAAACATTTCGATCATGGTGAGATAAGACACTACGGACAAAAGAAGAAGAAAAAAAGGGTTCATCTATTCTGGTATTTGAAGGGTGCAGAGCGGGTTAATTTATGCCGTTTTAGAGTACCCGTACATACACTGACAACTCCGGAATGGAATTGAACGATGAGTATGCTCACTGCATAACATTTACTTCAATGAAAAAAGCAAACCACCTTATACCCTAGTGCAATGCAGAATTAAATGATACTGCAATATATACAGAGTGTCTCATAAGATGCGCTGTGTCTATCGAACATAAAAACGTTTTAAAACAACATTAAATAATTCTCGATGCTTATACTCTGTTGTTTATGGTATCGTGTTATTACTAAATCTGAAAGTTCAATGCGTCCATAATAAACTTAAACATTTCTAATCCACAGTTTCTACCAACCAAGTTCCCTTGTGAAAAGATCTCATTTAATACCGTCTTTAATAAGAGATTCGTTTGGAACTTCACTGTACTATAAAGTCAGAGTTCAATGTATCGTGTACAGTATTGGCAGAAATTATCGTAACACGATTCGTTGAAAGTAATTAAGTTTATTAGGCATGCATTCAGCACAATCATCAACGATACCTAGTAATTATAACTACCATACGACGACAATGAATTGCTTCATTCTTTATTTGAAACTACCTTACTTTTTCGGATATATCACATCCTATGAAAAACGCTGCATATAAATGCACATACTTTGCTTCAGTATTCGTTTGAACTTTATCGATAACGGTTTTAAGAATTAACTGTTACTAGAATCTAATATATTATTAGTATCGCTTCCGGATGATGGAGAACTTCGTGATTGTTTCAAGCTGTCCAAGTATTCCTGTTGCGATGTCGCCAAAACTTGTGAGAGTACATCGCTATCTTCCCAATCCGTTAGACCTTATTTGCAAATAAATACACTTTTCGTACTTTTACCGATGCACCAGATAATATAATAATTGTCGCGTTATCGCTAATGTAATTATCACCAAAATAAATACTTACCAAACACTTCGGGAGGAAGACGATTAAACATCGATATATCTGGCGAAGCGTGAGCTTCCTTACTACTGCCTGGCATCGGTTCTTGGGAAATTTTAGGTTCAAAATCTGTGGCAAGGTGAGATATAGTAGAACCCTGGGCCGACTGGTGCTGCGGCGACCTCTTACTGTACCTTACCGCATCATTCACCTGGAATTATTTATAAAACATGTATAATTCATAAGTGGGATCCAATGTGACAGTTGATTAGAGTAAAACAGACCTTCGGGGAGTTACGTAAAGTGTCTTGGCTAGTTTGTGTCGTAGTTGGAGAGGAAGTGTGGCTACGTTGCTGGCCACGACCACCATGAGTATGGAAATGGGTAAGACTGTGTTGCGCGCTTGTCACCGTACTTGTACTGCTACTACTGGCTGATCGCTTTAGTCAAAAGGCACGAGTCAGTGTGTTTCAACATACCCAGTGGTTCGTGGACCGAGAAATAATACTCGAAAAATGATAAATAATTTAAATGAATTGATTAGACCGTATACTCACTGCTTTTCGCATTTCATTATCCCTCAACCACTGCAAGTAACTTTCTCTGGCGACTTGTTCCTCTATGGCTTCGTTCGTTGCTTCCCAATCGGTTGCTTTTATTTTATCCTCCAGCATAGTCTACAACACGATTCAAAGTTCTAATACGTATAGTATTCGTATATTAGGAGAAAGAATACAGGGAATCATAAGACTCTGTACCTGTTCAATCTGTAATTCCTCGCTTTGACGAACTGCGTCGGATATCAATTGTCGATCAGCTGAACCAGGATTGAACGCCGGTAGACCAAGCCCAACACCGACGGTAGCTTTATACGGATCCACTATACTATTATAATGACTACCGCGTTGATAAGACAATCGTATCGGTTCGTTATCACTTTCGACCATTGTATGAAAGATGTTGATGGGTTCTGTGTAATATTATAAAGGGTTAGCATTATGGAACATCCAAAAACATACAGATTAAGTCGAGAAATTCAAACATGGTGCAACATACCCGTGCTGTAGCAGTACAACTGAATGCTACGATTATACATTTCAGACATTGCTTGCATTTCAATATGATTTCCATGAACATATTCCTGCCGTTTCCTATCTACGTACGTGCTAAAGTCTTCTGCCACGAAATGAGAAAAGAACTCCTGATTGGAAGCCTAAAACGAAAGTTCACAGAAACGATGAGATTATTTTAAAACTGTATCTCGAGTTTGACTTCTGCTAAATACTCACAATATAATCCATACAATGTTTTCGCACTACTCCGTGCATTTCCTGGTCACCGTAAACCTGGTCTGCAACAGCTCTGAACAGGCACGCTCCATCTTCTCCCATCTTTTTAATAATAAACCCCATTTTGCGCATTCGCTTTTCGAACCACCTATCCCGCTAAATATAAATAAACATCATATGTATATGTTGCATTTTCATAAATTTGATAACCAAGTTTAAAGATTGATATCAACAGCATCGATGAAAACTGATTCAACTAACCTCCTGCCACTCAGCCAAAGTCATATTATTTTCATTTCTACCAGTATATTCATCCCCACTATTGTAACCGTTAGCTAATTCGGGTTCCAAGTTTGCAGTAGCTCCATCTGTAGCTAAATAAATTAGATTATGTGTCACTTTTGTGGTAAGCATTACATAGATAATACTTTAATGGTTTTGAGAATATATAATATACATGTACATGTTGTGGATTAAAATTCTGTAAATTATACATTAATATAAACCTTGCAAGCCACTGCAAGATGCAGTGGGTGGTGTAGCCTGTCTTTCGCGTTCCCTTTCCCTCTCTCTGTCTCTCTCTCTACCCCTATCTCTTTCCAAGGTGAAACATAAATTTACTAAACATTTAATAACAGAACAAGTAACGTATATACTAATGAATAAATAATTTTAAAGCTTTATGCTTTAAATCCAATCTTACCTGTGTGGACTTGCTCTTTGTCTGTGACGTTTTCCATGACTCGGACCACTTCCTTCTTCGAAGTGTTTGTCTTCTCGTCGATCAACAGTTGTCTATAATACAAGTGTAGTTTTCAAAAATAGTATGTCTAGTTCGTTGTGTTATTCGTTTTAAAGAACATATAAGAACATTTTCTTCCAAACAACTTAATCGTAAATTGGAAAAAACGGAGATCGTACCCGACAACTAATGTAAAAATTTAAGAACAAATACATTAATCAATTATATAGTGATAATATTTTCTCTGTTTCTTACCTCGTATGAGCCACCTGTGAGGACTATAGAACCAGATCCGTGATCGGTCTGAACCCCATGAAGATCGACCGCGAAACCGTTCGCTGCACGCACCTGTCACGGTTCGCAAAAGGTCGTTTAAGGTTCACTGTTGCAGCTACTGTGCAAGTATTTCGCGAGTAGCATAGTCGCAAAGTGGAGATTATTCATTCACCTGATATGGGCTATTCGGTAATGCGATGGATCCGGAGCCATGCTCGTTTTGCACTCCGTGAACATCGACTTCGGAAGTGCTGCCTCCTTCTCGTCTATCTTTCGAGGCGTTCGTCTTCTTCTTCGACAGAATAGTCATCTTGCGTAATCGATCGTCGGTAGTTGTTAAGACACGAACTCAGAGGAACACTTTCGATGCTCGCACTCACTGCACCTTGAACTGTGTACTTCCCTTCCAGAATGCAATCTCTCTCCACTTATTTATTATTATTTCCAGCGATACCTACGATGTCTTTTTTCGTGCACGCAGATTTCGACGAAATCTCACGTTCGCACCGTCGTTAATAAGCTACCCGTGATTTGAATTAGGAGAACGTTGCACTTCTTAAGAAACACGACATGATAGTCCCGATAATCAACTACTACATTAATTCTTGTTATTCCGAATGTTTTGTCAGACAGCCATTACTACACTTGCACACATTGCCAGGCTGTGTTGGTGTTGCCAATCTGTCCTGCAATGCTTTCCCTAAAAAAAAACGACAACTCGAGAGTCACCAGCCGAAATGACACACAGATATACTTTACATTTTCACCAATGATGTCAGTTAGTTTATGAAATCTCTTGAATCGATATTGTGCATTGACAATTGTCGCATTTATCGTTTTTAATTAATGCATACTTCATTTTTTCGAAACGATTCGCAACGCTATCTGTGACGAAATGGCCAAGCAATTACTCGATTAATACCACGTCTTGTCATTAGATGGTGCCTATGTGGTATCGTGGTTGACCACTAGACATCACCGCAATCTGGATGGCATTCGTTGGAAATTTTTCCGAACAATTTGAAATGTTGAATTTTTTTAAAACAAATTTTTATTGGCTATCAGCTCGGGCGTCTTGCCAGAATTTAATATAGGTTCTTCCAACGTGTTCATAGTTAAAAGTTTCTTATACCAGCATCTCGTGATAGTGCCATCTTGTGATAAGAAAATGGTACAATTCACAAGGAGCTTAGGCATTTTGCTATAGATGTCAGCTCTGATTCTTGACAAACGTAACATTAAAGGACACAGTTCGATATCTTTCCGACTCAGATTATCATTACATGCTATAAAATTAACTAACAATCAGAAAGTTCATAATCAATGTTTCTTAATGCACAGTTCGATTCAAGAAAATTTCATGGTCTGGCATCGCTAGACAAATTTTCAATCTCGATATGAACGATATTTCTGTGTTTTAAATCGTTTTGTAGGCCATTACAAACTAAAATAACAAAAATTTTCACACGATTCTCTCTTACACATCTCTTACAACTCCGTTAAATACGTATCTTCAATCAAAATATACATATTTATCACAAATTACACGCAAACACAACTCAATGATTCGTACTGTCATCAAGATAAAACTGTAGCAGCAATAGAAAACATCAAAAAGCACTGTACCTGGTAATTTCCAAGTGAACACTTCGTAATGTTCTTCTGAAACGTCCTGTACGTACATACACACATGTCCACGTTCGTGACTTATAATGCCATGTGTACAGAAAATCTTCGGATAACAGTTATCATTAAAAGTGCAACAAGTTTTCTGTTCTGAACGGAACACATTATTTTGACAGAAGCGTTTGTGTATAAGCAGTATAACCCGTAACGTTTGTTTACATAAACGGATACATCAGAATTTGGAGCAGTCTCATACGGGACTTCAAAACAAAATACGGAGCACATGTTCGTTATTTAAATGATCGCAAGTATTATTATTAAAAACCTGACATTATTACTAACGCAGTTATATTTGCGTAGCCAGCAAAGATAAATCCGTTAATGTTCGGAAATATTTCTAACACTGTTTCAGTTACTGAAAACGTCCGAAATCGAGCATGGTAAATGAGCGTCTTAAAAGATCAAGATCCCGACTACGGGCCCTCCGTTGCAAACGACGAGAATCATCAACGAATTTACGAAGAGAACGGTAATTTAACATTTTTTATCAATTATCATAAGCTGCCCCATTTAAGAATTGTCTTTTCTAACCTTAACCAGCTCCGATCCGACATTAATTCGTTGTTTTAACAGTGTGTTGACGGGTGATTTTCTGGTGTCGATAGGCCGCGACTTCAGGGTCGGTGACAACATCAAAGTTGAACGTTGAATATGATAAAAATAATACAAGTTGAATAATTCCGTCAAACGCGAAGACGGCGTGTGTGTATGTGTGTGTGAATGAGAATACAAATCAGCGATGCATGACACGTTATTTACGAATTTCTCGTGGCAGCGAGTGTGTTAAAGATTAAATTTTATTTATACTTTCAGCAAGAAGTAATACTGCAAAAAAGATAACAGCCATTATCGAAAAGGAATTTTCGCAAGAAATAAATGCAAAAGAGAAAGAGGTTTTAGAGATACAGGAAAGATTGCACAGAGCATCGAAAGCTCTGCACTTTTTACGTTACGTTATTGTTGCTGATTTCTATAATCGCAAGCAATGTCATAACTCACAAAACGGGGAAGGACGGCAAACTCAAATTCATCCGGCGATAAAACAATTGATCGGTAAATCACCAAAAATATATGACACTTCGTTAGTTGCAACATCAGCCGAGTGCCCTTTGAATACAGTCGATGGTTTAGCATTGAAATCAAAAGAGTCTGAGAAAGAAGTCTCTGAAGATTGTCCTTTAAAAAAAAGGAACAATGAAACGGACGAAGAATCACGACCGAAAAAGATACCGCGATATATTCCACCGAAATGTGGAGTCCCAGAGTCTCCTTATCCATCAAGAGGTATTAGGCACAAGGTCAGGAAACGTATAATCATTGGAAATATTTCGAAATGGATTCCACCGGAATGGAGAGAGGACGCGGCCAGTCACAAATGGACAATGTACGTTCGAGGGAACAAGGACAATCCTGATATCGATGATTTCGTCAGCAAAGTCAGATTCTTTTTACATCCTAGCTACAGGCCTAACGATGTTGTGGAAGTTACAACACCGCCATTTTGTCTATCAAGACGCGGCTGGGGCGAATTCCCGCTGAGAGTACAATTACATTTTAAAAGTGCCCTGAATAAACCAATGGACATAATTCATCATTTAAAGTTAGACCGTACTTATACTGGTCTGCAAACTTTAGGATCTGAAACTCTGGTCGATATATGGATCTACACAGATCCTCGAAGTACCAAACGAAACACAGACAGAGGCAGCGTTCAGACTTTCGATGAGATCGGATCTCGAGTCGAAACGCATTTCGACGACAGCTGTAAGATAAAGGTAGAAAGCGTCGGGCACTCCGATTCCGCGCTCGATTTTACGAATAATTGTGAAAATGCATCCGGTACGGCAAGTAAAAACTCTGCTGTACTTATTAAACAAGAATCTTCGCAGGAGACCGACGACGAATGTTTAACGAGTTCCGAACGACAGCGATTTTACGTCGATCTTGATCATGATTATTGTGGTTCAATATACTTGAATCGTTTCGAAGGAAACTTAACTATCGATCACTTATCGGTTTCCCCAAAACTAGTCGATTCATCGGTGGATGAGGTTCCGAAAGAATACCTCGAGAACAGCAATGAAAAACAGACTGAACCGATTATGAATACAGACTCGAATAGAATACAAAAAAAAGAAGAAACAAGCCTAAATGATTCTCCATTGTTAAGTGAATTTGACACATGCAAGATAAAAGCTCTTCCATCTTCGTGTTCGAAACTACGATCCAATCTTTGTCCCTTGGAAATCTCTATTCCGCCATTATTCGAATCATCGAGCAAGCACGTTTTGGTTCTCCAAAATAACGAAACAATCTCTGTGGACATTACGATTCCACGTAGCGATGATCAGGCTTATAAACATAACACAAGTCTATCACAACAGAAAGTAAATTCAGCCCCTTCACGTGGTATCAGTTTGTTGAAGAAGCCTCCAGGTTCAGGGCCGAATAGAGCTGAAACTCAGCAAAAACTCAAACTTCAGCTTTCTAAGAATGTTCTCCTGAATGTAAATTCCAATATACCAGCTTTGAAAATAGTTGAAAGACGAAATCCACAAAATGATCACCCTGCTAATCCTCAGAAGAGGTTTGGACCCGAGGAACATGCACTGACATGGAGTAATCAAGAAGAATTAAAGGAATTGAAACTGCAACCACGGCAGAAAATTACTTTGGGTAAAGATAAGCACAAACTTCAAAGTAAAAAGGAATTCTGCGATCAAGTCTTCCGTGCAATCGATGCTGCGAAGATCGGAGACATTGAAAGTCTGCTGAGATTCATTGTCAGAAGAATGCCGATTATTACTAGAGATGCTTCTGACTCAGATTACAGGCAACTTCATCCTTATGCATGCATATCCGAGAAAGAGTTCTTTGAATATAACGTTGCGAAACGAACTGCTTGTGAATGGAGTCGAGCAAAGATTATTCAAAATTTGTTGAAGAAGAAATTATTCCCAATGGAAGAATTATGGACCGTTAAAGAAATAATGATCTGGGCTCGATTACACGGGTATACGCCTTGCTCCTCTGATTTTGTCGGTCAGACGATGAAACAAAAGAATTTACCTGATTCCACAATTATGAAAAGCACTTCCACGTGCACGGAACCTGATGCTTTCTGTAAGTGGCTACAAGTTTGTCCAGGTCGTTCGTACGATCATCGGTTTGATTGTAATTCGGAACAGTCGAACGAAAACGACGTCGAAGTGGATATTATGAATGAAATACCATGTGAAAATAAAAATGCAACTGTAAGAGAGGTAAAAGATAACACGAGTCTTTCGGACGCTAAGGTCGCTGTGTTAGAAATGGAAATGAAGTCGATATCGTTTTACGACTTTGTTTGCGAAACAGCAAGAGAAATAGGTATTAAATTAAATCCTGAAGAGATTCTGCCTAGTGTGGTGGATGGTGCAGCTGGTCGAATGATAATGAAAGTAAGATATATCCAACATTTCTCTTTCTTCCTACGGCAATAGTATTTTCTCTTATCAAATATATTTTTCTTTTTATAGGCGGTCGAATGCCTTGTAGATGATTTGGTCAGAATGTCGTTGGCAAAAGCTTGGGAAAGATACGATAATGGGTAAATATTCCTTCTTTATCCGGGGTACTTGGTACATATATATTTTCTATAAAATTCATAATTACTCGTTTTGCTGTAAATGTCAATATAAGTATATGTGTATATATATACATATGTATACCACGAAGCCGTGACAGTCTTTTCGTTTAATTTGTAGACATCCGAAGGTAATCATTTTGGACGATGTACGTGGAGCCCTTCTGAATCGCGAAGAATTCGATATCTTCACGAATCAAGGATTAGGATCAAAGTATCGACTGGCGTCGACGGATTAATTAAAAGATACATAAGACGTAGAAGTCTAAATACAATTAAAGGAACAAAAACTGTTTCTACTAAACTGAAATAATAACTTTTGCTTGAATAATACGCTCCAGTACAGTTCCGAAAACAGAAGCCTCGTACATGTACAAATTTATAATGATTAATAAAACATATAAAGTTTTGTATGCATAGGAACTCAAGTTTCCTCAAATACTGAACTATTAACCACTTTTTTCTCGTCTTTATACGTAGTCGAAATAACATTTACTCGGTTTGATCTACGTTGCAAAATAAAAGTTTTACGATATTCTCGAAATAAAAAAAAAAGAAAAAGAAAAATGAACGAAAAAGGGTGGACGAGAAAAGAGAGGTAGTATATTTAGGTATCGAGTATTAGCATGTTAAAGAAACCTGTTCGCTACTTTTGTTGTAAGCTTCATCGCATATCAACATAGTCACTTTCTTGCAAAGATGCCTGTGTCTGTAGGTGATGAAAGTTGATATCTCTTAGTCTAGGTAACATGGGAACATAGAAAGAAGTATCCACATTTCTCTGCATAGCAAAAGCATTTCTTTCGCCTTGTCCTGGGTTTCGAGTGGATGCTATAGAAACGATACCGCGCTGAGAAATCAGAACATCTTGCGACCTTAAAGACAAAAACATTAATTCCGTTGAGCAATTAAATTACGAAGTAATATTAGTCATTACTAGTCACGAGTACAGACCTAACTCCTTTCATGGACTCTGAAGCGCATCTTTGTCGTGGTGGTAGAGGCGGTGGTTCTTCCGATTCGTAATCATGAAAAAACGGATCCAAATAGAAACGCGAAGTAGTAGCTTTAGCATTCTCCATCCTATCTGCAATTTCTTCGTAAATTCCCGAGGCTACCGACATGCCAGAAATTCTTCTATCGCGAGAACAATTAGACCATTCCCCTATGTTGCCAGTAATGTTTTGAACACTGGATGGTTCTGGTTGATAAACATCTTCTACTAGATTATTGTATACTGGGGAATTCATTGGTTCATGTCCTATAGTGGTTATTCTATTTCTATTTAACATCCTGACATCGATCCTCGCGCTTAGTATTGGATAATGTCGTTGCAGTTCTTCAAACCTCGATATTCTGAGGTCACCTTCGCTTAAACTGAGGGGTTTTCTACCGAATTTAGTTCTTGGACCACGACCTTGAGTCACTAAATCTTGCAGCAATTTATCAGCTTCTAAACAAAACATATGAAGCTCTCCAACTCCACCACGGAATTCTTTGGTTGTATGGATTACGCAAATACATTTAACATCGTCCGGATGTCCCGTTGTACTGAGGTGGGACTGGCCCAGTTCCCTCCATTCAAAATTTCCTATTACTTCACCCGAATGAGCATCCTTTATAAAAACTCCTACTGTACTGGCCACTAAATCACCATACAATCCTGTAAAGTTGTTGCAACCATTAGATATACACTCACCATTAAGAAAGAAAATACGTAATTACCAGTAAGTCCTGATGACTTGGAATGGACATTATCAACCATAGACATGATGTATGATCCTGGTATGAACCGATTCCTTCTAGGTCTTAACAATTGCCTGATATTCGCCATCCACCTCTGTGATTCGGTTTCTGAAGTACCAGCAAAATATATCAACGGTTTCCTTTCCTTGGTAGGGAATATACCAAAGGCGAATTGTTTGGATCTAGATTGAGTACGACAAATAATAGCATCCAATGGTATTATCAGTGAACTGTCTTTGTCATTTGGTGACATAGTAACACCACTGCTAATATTGTAATCAAGTTGCACTCTGACACCCAGACCAGGGCCTAGCTTTTTTATGGAACACCAATGTCTTCTCCAAACCTTCCAAGGAGCTAATGGCCTTTTTCTCACTTTATGAACCTTGTATTTACCACTGAGATATTTTACATCTAGAAATCCACATATCTCTATATTTTCTTCAGCCATTGTATCATCCGTTTCTAAAAGACATTGTAACATTAGTACTTGCAAAACATGCAATGATTCCTGCTCAACAGGAATAAGTAAAATTCGAAGAATTATTTCTGTCAGCAAGACAATGGAAAGAAAAGACGAACTAGTAATGTAAATGAATTACCTCTACTTTTCTAACGGATACCACAGTTTTAGTTTACTCAAAGGGGAACGGGCCAAGTGAACGGCTACATTTCAATTCAAATACTAACGATGAAGCTTCTTGCGTATAACCGGTTACATATATTTAGAAAAACGTCCGGTCATTTAACACACACGGCTTGTTGTTCGTATTATTGTTTACAAACTACTCAAATGCTTGATTTGAAACAGTGCTACCAGCACACCAAGGCGATAACCGTTGTTATGTACATAGTAATAAACCGTAACCAACCGTAACTCCCTAAATGACGTATCCGTAAGGAATAAATTGATAACGCCACTTACAGCTAAATGGTCAAACTATTAAACGATTAGTTTTTTCTTTGTATCGCTAGATGACGTTAGGTTAAAGAGCTTATCATTCGAATCTGAATTAATTGTATGCATATTTTGCCTTGTATATTACATCTATTTACAGCTCTTTATTATGCAATCTGATACAATTGTATACCTATTACAGCTTTTTTTTTCTCCGACGACAGAATTTACAGTTTGTGACGGTGTCGTTAGGAGCTTAACTGTCCCATGTTATGAATTCAAAGCATTCCTATGATTTCCTATTTACAGTGATTTGTATACATCTAATGTTTTTTTGATTTTAAAATAACATTGATCAGTTTGACTGACGTATACTTTTATATGGAATATATATATATATATATATATATATATATATATCGTATATATGTACATATACACACAGCAAATTTTTCGTGATTAAAGATTCACGCAAGCCGTTGTGGCGTTTGTTGAAACACGGGATGAACGTTACATGAAAATATAGGCATGTATCCTCTTGTTGTGCTAGATAATTTAAGTTTTTAATTATTGTCAACACTAGTGTATACACAGTAATGAATTCCGACGATGATGTTGACGTTTATGGTCTCATTACCGATTTAAGTAGACACTTGTTACAAACGTATCGACAGCCTTTTCGTCGAAACGCTCAATTTATCTACGATCATGACAACAAAACGGTCAAGTTTCTTCGGAGCAAGGCTTTCGAGATATTACTTAAGAAAGCCGATGGAAAAGCCCTTAAGCAAGGTGACATTAGAAGAAAATAGATTAGAAAAACAGTATTTTACTTGCATCTGTTTGTTGCTTTTCCTGTCTTTGATATCGTGACTTTGTTTTTATAGATTACATGGACCATGAACAGATTGACCCAATATTAGAAATACAAAAGCATGTCTTTATAATGAAATTAGGATTAATGCGTTCGGGTGATCCTGTTGCATTGGAGAGGCTGTTAGGAGACCTCGAGGAGTCTTCTTGCTCAAATGCATCCATATATTCTGTTTTACAACTACTTGTTTGTTTGAAAAATTTTAATGTTACCCCTGAGCCAATTACAGTAAGTACAAATGCTATAACTGTACACAATGTCTAAAATGTTTTGCCTTTCAATTTGTTTCCTTTGTAACTCCTAGAATATATTTTATTATGGTAAAGCTAATCCTGCTGTACCTGAAATCACATATACTACCAGTAATGCACAGTGTTTCCAACCATTCCCTATGGAATGTTTTATATTGTCCAATAAATTTGAAGCAACATTAGAAACACAAAGGCTTCAAGTTATGCATGCTTTACCAGCAGCTATTACAAATGAATTACACCTTTTACATGGAACAGTAAAGTCCAGTGGCACAATTGGGACAGAGTCTGCAGAGTAAGCTGTATAAAATGTATTTTCCTCTTTCTTTGTTATTACATTCTCATTTTGTTTTCATATGTTCCAGCATATCTATTACGTCAGATTTCACATCTGCTCATGTATTTGACACGGTCTCATCTCAAGCACTGATATTTTCGAATCAGTATTTTATGAAAAACTTAAATTTAGATTCATACTTTTCGCAGGAAGTACTGGTGAGAATAAGCCTTAACATCTTAAATCTTACGTACAGAGAAATTATTTTATATAATTTTTATATAATTTGTTCTGTTAGACATGTGGCAATGACAACGAAAGTAAGTACAGTTTTTCCAGCGAGAAAAGCCTTGTAGCCAAGTATTCTTATCTTCCGTTTTCTTGCTCGGAAGCAATTGCCTTGGAGGATGAAATTCTTATAGATGGTTGGAAGTCTTCGGATCATAGTGTCATCGAAGAATTGAACTTTCCTACGGAGTGTCAGAACTACGAATGGAACGATATCGACCATATTAATAACGTTTCCGTTTCTCACCGTCGTACGTGGGAACGTCTTGGAGAAATACAACCCCCAAAGGAACGAATGTTTCTGACTGATATTCCAACAGCTTCGATACATCTAGCGAAAATTAAACAAATGAACAGCTTATCGTTGCTTTCACGAAAGGTAAAAGCACGTGTTAAGTCTTTCTTTAGGTGGAAAGACTGCTAACCAATACCGCTATATATAGTCTTTCTTTTCATTTATTTGATACAGATGATAAACACTGTGCTGCTGTTGGAAGAAATTTCTGTAAGAAATTTTGTCGGTGATTTAAAATCAATGTTACTCGGAATAGAGTCAAATACTTTCGACTACATGCATGTGGTATGTACTTAAGTGAACTAAAATTGAACATGGTAAAACGGTAAAATATGTATGATTAATTGTTATCTGAATGTCGTAGAAGGGATTCACGTTACGAAAGAACATCAGTGTGCACGGCGTGTGCTCGCAGTCGTTACAAAAAGCTTGCCAAGAAGCTATCAATTGGGGTAACTGCTTTAGATTCTTATCGGATTTTATTATGCCGCAAATACAAACCGGCAAATTATTACAGGAGGGTCTTATATTTAAGGTTCGAGAGGAGTGTGACGTAAAGAAAGTAATGGTCGCAATATTTCAATAATTCACTTTGTCATTTTATAGGCTGTGTGCACAAGTATCAAGGAATTATTGCTTTATTATCGAGCGACACTCGTTAGAATTTTCAATCACGAAAATACGTCAGAGCGGTTGTTGAAGACGTTCCAGAGAGTGCGTCCAGTGGCCAGGTTAATCACGAAAGTTGCTAAACTCTGCAAACCTTACAAAGAAAATGAATGTACGCTTCCGGAAGGGAGCAGTATTCTAACTAGAATTTATAACGAGGCGATTCAAGTGACAGATACTAAAGTCGCTTTGGTATTCTATTTTTTACTGAAATCATGCTGCGATGTTTACTTTCGGTACGTACTGTTTGAAGGAAGAGTACATAGTGTTCTGGCTACTATGTAGTTCGAGAATATACACGTTCTGCAATTTAAAATCATTTATAGATTCTTGCAAAAATGGATGTTTGAAGGTGTATGCGATGATATTTATGGTGAATTTATGATTAAAACCCGATCACAGTACCTACGTAATAGGGATCATAAATTTTGGACAAAAAGTTTTAGCGTTCGTAACGAAGCAATTCCCGGTTTTCTAAGCAGTTTAGCGGAATCAATACTGCAGTGTGGGAAAACAGTGAGACTTCTAAGAATCTGCGACACAAAGGTATTTGTATTAGATACGTAATAATATGAAAATGTCGGACAGTTGTATATAGTATCGATTACGTTATACTGATCCTGAAACGAGGCTTTAGAATCCTGTATGTCGTGTATGCATGACCGAACAACCGGAATTGAAAGTTTGTTTGAGTGTGACCACACTCTGCGAACAATCATCAAGGTACCGAAAATACGAACAGAAAGGTAAAGCAGCTCTTGGCCCGACACTTTCTTTGTCCACGGCTATTCTCCAGCAGAAACAGTTGGAAAAGGAAATGGCCGAGTTTGTTATTCGGGCACAACACGATACACTATTGAGAATTCGACGTAAGTGTGTCCCTCGTTAAAACCTCAACGATAGTATGGTTATCGTTAGTTTTCCTATTTATTTTTCGAATGAAATCATTTTAGGAGAACGGGAGGACGCGTTGAAAAAAATCGCTCAAACGAAGCGTGACTTTTTTACAAGTTTGAAAGAACAATATTCGATTATCGAAATGCAGAAGAAGAAGAAAAGAGAAAACGAATTTTTGCAAAGTAATTATAATAAACATGTTGATACGTTGCAAGAAAATTCACGTCACGTCGAACGGTACCGTAAATTAATTTAACGAAGTTTATCTTTTTGTCCTGAACGATCTTGGTTGAAAATGAGTATTCTATTTGTTACAGAACAAACATTCTAAATTACTATGAGAATCTAGCAATCGAGATTGATAATCGTTGCATGCGTTCTAAATGGCGTGCCAAAAGAATGGCTTTCTTTGAGAAGAGGATCGACGTATTAGCTTCGATGAACCGAAATTCGCAGGATCAGTTGAAAGTTATAGAACAAGTCCGTCCTGTCCTCGGATCAAGTCCCTCGACACCGATCTCGTTTGAAGATGAAAATAAAAATTATGCGCGAGCGTCCTATCAAACGTTTGTCGGAAATGCATTTGCATCAACGACAGCTACGATTTTTCAAGCCGGCCAAGAAGATTTGAGACGAAGTCGACTTACAGATTACACGGACACGGCATTGAACAATAATAACGAGGACAGCAATTTTTGCGTTGTCGATCCATTGAATAATCAACGAGTAAAAGACTCAAAGGGGGAAACGATGTCGAAGCTACCGAGAAGCGTGACCCCAACGAGAGTGATCATTGCTACGGACGCCGATCGGTTATACGCGACAGTACCTTCTACAAATAAGAAACTTGACAACATTCTGAACAGTAAGCCCGACCACTGTGCGGTTCGTACAGCGACGATCGAGAGGCCCACTGTTTTAAATGTTGTGAAAATCGATAACTCAACGATAGAATCGGGTGTTCGCAAAAACGTATGGTCCCTGGAAGGTAACATGACACCAAATAATAACGAGCTTAACGTGGAAAAAATCAAAATTACATTCGACGCCAGCGATATGACATGCAGTGTCGCTGACAGTGCCGAGGATACTGGAAATCCGAACGAGAGAAATGATCTAGAAACACCCATGTCGTGTACGACGGACAATTTTCCTTCATCGGTGCAGAGTCCCGTTTCACAAACGCACAATTCGGAGGATCGTTCACCCATTGAGATCTCTAGTATCGAGATGCTGTCCACTTCGTCTCGTACATTTACGAAATCACCTGCAGCCATAAAACAAGATGCAACGTTTTCCGATATATTTGCATTACAACAGGACGAACCAGCACCTATCGTGTTACCGGCAACAGCCAGTAACTTGACCGTTTCCGACGTCGAGTTAATCGATCACACTTCCCTTCAAGCTTACCTGGAGAAGTCGATTCGTGTTCCTCTGGAAGTACAGAGTCGACTCGTTAACAATGCAGTTATTAAATACTTTTTAAAAGAAAACAATTTATTATTGCATTTGCATAGTTTACGTAGTTACTTCTTTTTGTTGAACGGAGAATTTTCAAAGAGCTTGACGGATGCGCTTTATACCCGTTTATACGAAATCTCTATACCCGTTGAATTATTTAATTCCGCCACGTTAACGAACCTCTTGGAACGAGCCCTCGTCAATTCATTCAACAACGTTTACGTCAACTCGGAACTTCTCGGTCTCTCGGCTACAAACCCACCGACGCAGTTGCACGTAAATGATCAATTTTCTTTTATACTATGCTACTTCTCTTCTGATTCTATTCTACAGTTTCCAAAGCTATCGCACTCTTAGCATGATTGTTTCATAGATGTCCGATCCAGCTGCGTTAGACTGTCTGTCACTAAATTACAAGATAATCTGGCCGTTGAATATTATACTCGACGATGCGGTTATGCAACAGTATGGGAAAGTATTTAAATTTCTGATAACAAGTGGTCGAGTATCGTGGGTGTTGCAAGAAGATTTCAGTATCATGAAGCGAGAACGCAAAGCACTTACATCGCAACAGTATCATAAGGTGAGCGTACAATTATCGATAATGTGCCGTTTATACGTGCAGCTGTTAATATTCAATCTGTTTACAGTTGCAGTTATACAGGCATTCGATGACGCAATTCATGAATGCTTTGCATAATTATTTAACATGCAGCGTTCTATACGCCAGCTGGACTGAATTCGAGAAAGATTTGGAACATTCGTTGACCGTGGATCAGATTTATTTGTCGCATGTGAATTACATAAAACGAATACTCTCGAGGTACGAATTATCATGAAAGCAAATCATAATGAAAAATATAATTAGTTTTCCTTACTTGTCCGTTCCATTGCGCAGATGTATGCTGAACGCTCGTGGCGAAAAAGTGCGTGTCTGTTTGAATAACATATTTAAAGTTATCTTGAAATTCCACAACAGATTACGATCTCATTCTTGGACCATGAAATCGACAGGATACGTGCACCCGAATTTTAAAAGGCTGGAACAAATGTATCAAGCATTCTGCGAATTACGCGCGTACATGGCGCACGTTGCGTTTAAATTGGCTACTAGCGGCTATCAACCGCACTTGATGCATTTTTTAAATGCTCTTAACATAAACCACATGTATGATTTAACTGTGAAGACCTATCGAGGTTCTTCGACAGGACCTTCAGAGTTATAATAAATTATACCATCTTTGATCACCCACGTTGTCTTGCTTATGGTTTATGTTGCAAATTACCTTTCATCGTAATTTAAAGATTAATAAAAAATTGAACATGATCCTATAATATTGATTACATTATAACGTATCATTTTTTTTGTACAGACCACTGCATAACATGTAGGGTAGCGAATCTCTCGTTAAAGGTATCGATCAGTCTTGTAATATCAGCTACATAACAGCAGACGCCGATTTGTCTTTAGCAACTATTCCAGCACAACGCAAACACAAACCATCTTCCCCGACTTCGGGATACCTCCTACATCGATCGCACAACACTTTTTGATTACTTTCTACTTGAATTTGCGTTTCGGTAACATCGGGATTTTCGATCAATTTTATCGAGGATAGTTGCAAAATTTCGCATAATTCAGACGTCGATCGTTGTTTCTCATCGTGCAATAACTGAATAAAATAAAATATGAGAAAACTAGTATTTACTCGATACTAGCGATTGTTACTTCACTGGATACTTACCGAAAGCCAGACAAAATCTGCCGTTGTAGCTTCTATGGTGCCGGATAACTCCCATGTATTCGTACTGACAGTATTTAGAAGTTTGTTTCGTATGCAAAACGCCGCGTTCAAGCGCTCTACGATTTTTGGATCGTTCCAAGATTCTGGTACCCTGTACGAGGTATGATGGAATGGTATCGACGCTGCATTTACAAAGAAAAAAAAAAGCAAACAATTAATGTGGCAGTCTTTAATGATTTTCTTTGCATACCTTTCTGATAAATTATTCAGTTACCGTGATTTTCAGGGTGGTATGACCATACTTCTTCCGCTAAATGCGGAACAATCGGAGCTATGGTTCTCAAAAGAACGGTCAGCGTTTCCCTTAGAACACTGAGAGCCGCGATACGCGACGGCGATGTTGCTTCGTCGCAGTAAACTCTATCTTTTATTAGGAAACAATACAAAGCAGACACATCGTTTGCCACAAAGTTCATAATTGTTTTACTTGCATGATGGTACTCGTAATTGTTGTAATGTTCCAGCATCTGAACATGGACAAAATCATTATAATGTTAAACGAATACTGAAGCAAAAGTTCACGAGAGCCGTGCGACATAAACAAATCGAAAAGATTCGATACCTGCTCGTTGTAATGATACAATGCGTACAGCATATACTTGTCGATGATTCGATAGTGAGGTTCACAGTGAACGCCTTGATGATGAGGATATAAACAACCCAAAAGGAAACGTAGAATCAAACGCAATTTGTGGATAGACTGCTTGCATCCGTCGAGCAATACCTTCGAGACAGGTATTTTCATATGCTGAGTTCCGTGACTAGCCACCCACCATCTTCATGAAATAAATGAAATCCAGAGAAAATTTGAAGCGTTTAAATTTATATTATGTAGTTGTATTGTATACCTTAGAACATCGACTCCATATACCGGACTTTTTTCTAAATTGGATCCACCTAACAGAATTTCTTCGGGATCGATCACATTTCCCACTGATTTCGACATCTTCAAGCCGTTTTCGTCGACTGCGAATCCGTGCACGAATAACCCACTAGAAAAGAAAAATAATTAAAGCAAATGGGGTACGCACGATTTCTATGTATCGTTTTGAACTTGCGTATGTATAACTCACCGATACGGTGGACAATTTTGTAAAGCGATGGAAGTTATCAACGACGACTGAAACCAACCATTGAATTGGTCGTATCCTTCTAAACAAAGATTTGCTTTACCTTCCGGTAAGACAGCTGACCATGATATACCACTGTCGAACCAAATATCCATAATATCCTAAAAAACGTTCAAACTCATAATCTCAAAATAAAAAAAAAAATTAATACCGCTGGGTTGAAGTTTAGGGAATCTGGGAACGGTACTAGTTTCCAGATGAGTTTACCTTTCCTTTTTCCACGTCATCTATTGGAACATTCATCTCTTGAATCACATTCAATCCTATTAGCTCATCCTTTGAATACTTCCACCAACAGTCGGGACCGTATTCGTCGATAGCATGACACAAACGTTCGATCAATGCCCTGAAAAGATAGAACATGAAATGTAATGGTTGAAACCAAAAGACTGTAAAGCTCGAGTACGTACGACACAAGTGGAGATATGATAAAAACAATACCTGCTCGTAAGTGATTTACCTGTTACTTTATTGAAAAGAACAGGTATGGGTACGCCCCAAGAACGTTGTCGCGAGATACACCAGTATGGTCGATCTTTTATCCCAGCGAGTAAAGCATTTGTAAAAGAATTACGATTACATTCAGGATATATCTTTATGTCCGCAATGCTGTCCTTGTGCAAACATAACGTACACATTTCCATTGTTTCATTTCAGAATAATTATCCGAACGGTAAGTTGTCGGAAAGACGAAATGATACTACTTACAATAACATTATCCCTCACAGAATTTATGTTGATGAACCACTGATTGCTAGCGCGGATAAGTACTGGCTGTTTCGTTCGCCAATCGTATGGATAACTGTGTGTAAACATTTCGACATGCAAGACATCTTTTGCCATATGGTGCAAGACTTTATCTGTTCCTTCGGTCAACACTTTCAAACCATGAAATTCTGGACCAGCAGCTTCAATGTATCTACCTTCGACGTCTACGAAGGATACCTGTGTAAATGTTCACGATTCTTTAGCGACAAGTAAAATATTCATACCGATTAATGAATCACTTACAACAGACATGTTATTTTCTAACGCGACCAAGAAGTCTTCTCGACCATGTGCGGGAGCAGTATGAACCAGGCCGGTTCCTAGGTTCATTGTGACATGTCGTGCAGGTAGAAAAGGTAATCTCTTTTCCGTGAAAGGATGAAAGTATGTGGTTCCTTCCAATTCTTTACCTTTAGTAACATCAGTATTAGTCGCATACATACTTTCGAATTCCAACTCAATAATTCAGAATCATTGATAAGCTATTGAACTTACCTTTCACGCGTATTATAGGCTTCAGAGGCCCAATTTTCGCCTCGACATTTTGCAATAGTTCTTCCCCGACAATGTTCAAGTTTCCTTCGCTATCTTCGGCAAGGCAATACATGGCATCCATTGCAAAACAGACAGCCTGATTTGCCACTAATGTCCAAGGAGTTGTAGTCCATGTAAGTGCGTATGCTATACGATTCTTTAACGAATTCAGTTTTTCGGGAAACTTGTCAATACGTAAACGAACGATGGCGCTTTTACTTTGATGCTGCTCATTATAATCCAATTCAGATTCTGCCAATGCTGTTCTGGAATATAAAATCATGGAAAGAATTTTATTGCCTTTGATGAGCCAGATAATGGAATTTTGGATTACCTAGAAGAAGGTGACCAGTAGACTGGCATGAAATTCTGAAATATAATTCCCTTCTCGTATAACTTTATGAACTGACAAAGCTGGTTTTTTATGTACGAAGATTCATTTGTAAAGTAGCATCCGGATTCGTTCCAATTGGCCATAACACCCCACGACTGAAAAGCTTGCTTCTGTCGAGCAATAGCCTTCTTCGCGTATTCTTGAGCTACGTTAAAAATAAAAGATATGAAACTGAAGTGAAACATCTATTTTTATACAACTAATTTTAGTCGACAGCCAGGTAGTGTATTAACTTAACATCAATTAACAATGCATATTTCAGAGAAGAAGAATCTTACGGTTTACAAACCATACCTTGTTGTCTAATCATTAGAGGATCATTCATGTTGACGTCTTGAATAGCTTTCATTTCGATTGGCAGCCCATGACAGTCCCAGCCAGGTATATAGTGAACTCGATTTCCCTGAACAACATTACTCCTCAACGTAATGTCTTTAAGAATCTGTAAGATGACGAAGAGAGAGACAAGATAAAGATGTTACAGATATTATAAATGGGCCAGTACCTTATTAATAGCATGTCCCATATGTGGAACTCCATTCGCGTATGGAGGACCATCGTGTAAGATAAACTCTGGTCCTGACAGATGTGTTCTTTGCCATTCATACAATTCGGAAAAGCCAGCTTTCTATAAGAAATAACACGATGTGAAACTATTAAAAACTAGAACAGCGAGATTACAATAAAATCGTATAACACTTGGAGATTACTTGCCGTGGTTAAATACTTGTCTTTCTCTATCCGTTTCTTTCCATTAATCTGCGCTGGGAATTGAGTTCGTGGAAGTAAAACAGTATCCGAATACTTGTGCCGTTTTTTCGCCGTGGTTTTCGTTCTCGTGCCATGGATTGAATTACCGTTTATTTGTATTTTAACTTCACCGAACAACGTTCGTTTCTGTCCAAATAAAAGTCTCTGCATATTTACGACTTTGGAACACAAACGAGTTTCTACCTTGGTAATCTACTTAACGCGGAGTTGCGGTTTAAACGTGAAAACCGAAATGAATTGACAATTCCATCGATCGCGAAAGAATTAACAGTTTTTCAACGGATTATTGTTTTAATGAAAAACTGACCGTCGCTTAAAGCGTGTAATTTCTACTATCGTCTTAAATAGTGAAAATAATACAGTTCGATGTGGTTAAATTCGCATCTGTTACAAGGTTCGTTCATCGGTTGCAATGAAAAGTTGATAGCCGTTCAGACAACGTGCCATAAAGAAAATTAGGAAAGAAAGAGAAAGCAATACGAGCGCATAGTAAACAAGGAACTGAAGCGTAGGAGAGGTAGGTTAGTCCATTCTGGTTCGTTCCAACCGATCAGATTTCGGTCTGGCGTACAGTTACTGTCGAAGGAATATGGCTACACTTTTCGAAAGCTCGTTTCTATCGAGCAGACTGCATCGCATCGAGCAACGGTATGAAGAACCGGCGAACACTTTTGGCAAATGTGACTGCACTAGCTATAGCTATCTAGCCCTGAGCGTTGTTCTATTCACCATTGGTACAGCTATCACTATTTTTGCTTTGGGTGACGTCGCGAACGGATTTATAGTCTTGTACCTCGGTCACATGTGGCTTATCGGTCCGATATTCATCTGTTCTGGACTTATGGTGGCTGTCAAGTGTATGCTTTATCTTCGAAGAAAGTCTGTTATAGAGATGATATTTCATCAGCGACAGTTGTTTAGGGTAAGCAGTTATTTCGCAGATTACTTCTGTTTCGATACTTTTAATTTTGATTATCGTCTATGACGACAATGACGACGACAACGACGATCGTCTTCGATTTTATTCGCGACGTTATACTCTTCGGCAACTGTCTAAGGGTGTAAAGTTCGAATCAACGGTCGCACGTTGTTCATTTTAAGCGGCAGCGCGGCAATTACTTGAACATGGAAAGTTATTTCATGCGTCTATATCTAATTAATGGATAACGTGTTTTGTAAGACTTTTTAAACGTTGAATCAATTCCAAAAAGAAAGAATAAACTTGTTTCCAAATGCAAGGCTGTAAGTAAATACAAGTACGCTAGGTTTGATCGTTGAACAGCATTTACAGGAATTGACCGGTGGTGCGCGTGCTATGGGGCCAATTGGTGCGGCGGCGTCTAGTCCTCCTTCGTACGAGGTGATCGTGCAAGAAACTCCAAACGAATTACCGCCACCATCCTACGCGGAAGCGGTTGCTCTTTTACACAGGACTCTAGGGAACGGTAAACGTTCTCCGTTCTAATGCAATCTTTTCTTTAGTAATTTTAAACAGAATTAATCAAACGTGGGAAAATTTTATTTTCATTTCTGCTTCAGATGCGAAATCGAGTCGTGGAATAAACGCTGATGGAAATGTTGCTGTAGCCGAAACTGTCAGGCAAAAACCTTGAAACCAACATCTCGATTTCTTGCTATGCCGAACGACCTTTCACACTCCTCTGAACAGACTGCAAATCTGGCGTGTAAATAATGTCTTCTCTATCGCACATTGTATTCGTTAGCGAGGACAAAGGATGAAGAATCATCTCGAGGAACGTGATCCATTCGAACTTTGTATGAGAAGTTGACAATGTGGTGAAACTACCGTGCCTTTCTTTCTCTTTTTTATTTTTTAGGCATATCTGTGGTTACTTATTTCTTCTCGACATTTTAAATGTCTTTAATACAAAAACATTACCAAAAGACACAGGAACTCGGAAGATAAATCGAACGAATATAGATAAAATCAAATGCTGTAATCGCACTAACTAAAACTACCAATGCCGTAAAGAGTAACGTACAACTAAAGTAACATTGTCTTGGCTCAAGATTATTATGGTATTAGTATCATATAGGAAATAAGGAGTTTGGATAATTTAAAGACGACGATCAAGACAATTTTTTAAATGAAAAAAAGATATATGAATTCGTAATTCGTTGAGACAATACCATTTGTTAATAATCGCATGGGTCGATCGAGTGCGTTATGACCATCGTAACGAGAAGTACGATAATCGGGGCTGTATCGCTAATCATGTAACATTAAACAAAAAAGTTTTTGACTCTAAAAGGGTTTCACGGGTTGTGACAGTTTTGCGTATCGAAATTGTTCTCAGCGCCAGGCGTAAACCTTGTTTTTATTGTTTCCATGTCGCGTGTTACTGAAACCATTAAAAAGCACTGTACGTTTCGTACAACCAGTTTATTGCTGCAATCTGGTACATGCGTTAATCACAAGACAAGAAATGCCTTTTAAACGGTTTCATTGTACAGCGAATACAAAATGTATATAAATAATATTTCGTATTTTTAATAAGTATTCCTTTCGTAGAAATGATTTTTTAGATCATACAAATTGCACACAGAAAAATCGACTGAAAATATGACACGGGGACGGTGGTGGCAAGGATACAGGGATGAAAGAAGAGGAAGAAAAAAGACAAAGTATACCTGTTAGGATTGAGCAACAGCCAACATTTCTTCTTGATGAATAAGATGGGTTGTATGATTAACAAGGCTCATTAATTTCGATAACGAAGCAGCCCAAGCGTCTAGTAAAGCAGCTGGTTCTTGAGGTCCAGTGAATCGAACGACGCCGGCCAGTCGATCTGTACGGGCATTTATTACACCGGTTTCGACTAAATTGCAGAGACACGCTTCAGTTTCTTTAGCTGGTAAATCTAATAATTCGGCCATACGTGTCAACGTGATTTTTGTATAATACTTTGCCATGATCCTAATATTCTGCAAATACGATGAAAACAGAACGATGAAAATAGGGCGATTAAAATTTAACGGTATATATATGTAGGTGCGAAATCTTGGGCTTTTACTGGTACACTTACATGTTCTACAACTCGGTTTCGGAGATCGGCCCATCGTTTACGACCTTCTTGTGTTGCAGAGCTAAAAACTTCGGTTTCCCTAAGATCCCTTTCATAGATTTCGCAAAGTCCGGACCATTTTATTAATTCTGGGTTCACGAAGAGACGTAACAACTCTCTGAAATAAAATAGAAAATCATTGAAAGGGATCTGATCATGCAAAAGAAGAAAATGATTAATGCATTGAATTAATTAAAGGTAAACGGATTCTACTTGTATGTAGGTATCTCGTCCAAAAGTTTATCCGCGAGTAGTCTGTGAGTCAAGTCCGCCTGTTCTGGTTCATGCGGGGCGAGTACAAGGTACAAAACGGCTCGTGAAAGAGCGGTATGTCTTTTCTCTGGATCATCTCGAATGGTTGGTGTCTCCAATACAGCTCGATTATGTCTGCACAATTCTAAATGCCAACCTTCATGACGAGCTAATTCCATCATAAGACTGAAATACCAGAGAAGAAATCTTTTAGTAATGATATTCATGTTTTAGTTTCCTGAAGCTAAGAGACATGCGTCAGGACTCACTCGTAATATTTTAATCTAAGAGCCTGTGCATCTATGTCCTCGTCCTCGTCCTTGAAAAATTTGATATTGATCTTTTTAGCTATTATTTGAGTGCGCATAAAGTCCCCTTTTGCTAAGCACAGTCTCATTTGCTCCAAGATAAGGGAGGCTTTTTCCAAACGCGACATACTGCCGTATGTTTCGACCTGTAGGTTGTTAAATCGAGATAAGATTCAATTAAATTGTCTTATTGTCGTTATAATTTCTCGTAACTTACGTACCTGTAATTCAAGCATAACGGCAGCAGCACCCGATGTATCCCCATCCTCTTCCTTGATTTTTGCCAATTGGTGAGTGAGCCTTGCTCTCTCGACTTCCACATAGATCTTGGAAGATATGATTTATATTAATAATTCCATATATTTACATGTTAAATTTAAACTATGCACAGTGTCTGTACCTTTCCTTCTGTCACTGTACGCAAAGTTTCTATCAATTTAATTCTAGCCTCCTTATCTGGCATTTTATCCACATAAGTACAACATTCTTGAACCATTTTTGTAACAGCTTGTTTTAACTGAGACCGCCTTTTCGACAACAAAACAATATGTTCATTCAATGCTGTCCAGTTTCGTGCTTCCAAGCAAATTTCAACAATTGCTACTAATATTCGTGACGTGGAAAGCATATCAGCACCCTGAAAGCACAAGTTATTTTCACAAAATCGAAAGAATAAAACGCTTCGAAACATTTTGCAAATTCAAAAGAATAAATGCTTAACTGTTCGTGTCAATTTTTCTAAAGCTAGCAACTGGTCTAAAGCGTCATGCAACTTTCCCTCCTGAGCCAATTTTTTGCATTCTGGGATCTTAACGTCGCAGTTGCTGCTATAATCCACTTCCATCTTTACGAGTTTACCGGAATCCATCGTGTTCCCTAGCATTGAATTCTATAGAAAAAAAGTTAATGTAAACTTATAATTAAAGGCACAGACTAATTGCAAAATAGGAGTAAATGAATTAGTTGCCTGGAATGTATCTGCAACGATTACAGACTCTCACGTTTGTCTTTGTACTTGTTATAAACCTTGCGGTGCTCGTAAGGTTATTAGCATCTATTAATTTCTATTCCTCTTTTTGTTTTTAAGATTTGATAAGAAGAATGCGGTAATACCGTTGACTTGATAATTAACTCATCAATTCGTATCACTCGTTGCCCATCAACGAATGTCACCAAAAAACGACTGTCATGCACTAACCACAAAGCAACATTGCCAATGATTGCCAACGGTTGAATTCAGAGCACGTAGTATAGTCAAGATCAAATTCATACACGTATAAATAAAGGCAGAGAAGAACCACACATTTATTACTATTATTTTCGATAATATTTTTTCCAATGTTGTTAGATTACTTGCCAAGTCCTATCCAATTGACTATCTGCATTAACAATAGTCAATTCTATCGTTTTTATTTAATATTTAATTTTTTAAATATAATGTGGCCTTATGAAAAAACTTTACATGTGGCACCATCTACGGAACACCGCTCAAGCTATTAGCCGATTAATACTATATTTTCCCACGAGATAACGTCATTATACTTATCTCTCAGAAAGGATTTGAACGCTATCTACGGTAGAATTTACAAGATATTAATTAATTAGTACCATCTTTCCGTTGTAAGATGACACCGCTATGATCCCCAGGTGTTCATTTCGATGTAAAACAAAATTGTGGCGGCATCTCGTAACGAAATTGTGGTATTGATCGGTTAGTGGCTTGGGAATTGGGCCGTAGATGGCGGCATAAGTTTTGTTAACCTCATTTATCATTACATATAGGAAATTAAATATTAATTGAAAACATCGCACTTACTAATTCGTAGCGCGCAATATCGATTCAAGGAAAACTGATACATAATCTAACATCATTGTTAAAATTATTTAATCCCAAATTTGCGTGATCTTCGTGGATCTTCCGTTACATGTCGTCAACCGATGGTCAAAATCCAAGTATATGCCATTGGTAATCACAGCATAGGTGAGGGATGTTATTTTGGCTGGCGTGTATATTTCAACTATAGCGTACGTCGTACGTGTTTGTATGCCGCATGGGGACTCCTGTGTTCTGAATCAAGTTCTAAATAAAAAGCACAATAAAATATATTTATTTCTCTATTGAGATTGCTTGCAATCGAACTCGACACGTTTGATTCGTCTAATTCGAATGGGAAATATAAGAAAACCGAGTGAAATTGGCCGTAATGCAGAAAATAACACATGCACATAAGTATTACAACGTTTACGTTAAATAAAGAACTGTTTTAAGTTACGGAAATAGGTCGTTATATGTTCACGATTCTTCGAGCTTTGTATAATATAATAAATGATGCGTAAATACAGAGATTTAAATACATATCCATTAAAAGAAAATATATGTATATACAGCGGGATCGAACGATCGAACGACCAGTCGATCGATTGCTCGATCGGTCGATCGGTTGGCCGGTTGGTGAATCGTGTGATAATTCTTTAGTTTAACAAGCTATTTAATAGATTTTCTGTTTCGTCAGAATCGTTGGTATTTACTGTGGTGTGAAGCTCTGTGCTCAGTTCCTATAATTACTACTCCTCGGGTTTCTTTTTGTTTCACGCATTTCCGAACCAGCTTTGATCTCCGCGATTTCAACTTCGTTTCGTTCGTTCGGCGGTATTCGTTCGTTTTCTATCCGCGTCTATGTATCTAGTTATCTGCTCAGTTATCTATCTACATATCTATCAATCTATCTATCTATATCTGTCTGTCTACCTCTCCTTTTTCCCTCTCTCATTCTATTCCGAAGGAGGGTTCGCTCACTTGGTGCTATGTCTACGTACTCCCGTACTCAGGAGAGCGACGCGTGGGCCCTTCTGGCACTGAAGTCGGCACCGGCCAGTCCGACGAAGATGCAGTGGAACCCGGAGGCAAAAGGTGCACCGATTGCACGGCTCGAGGGTCGCGAGTTCGAGTACATGGTTAGACAACGACGTATCACTATCGGGCGTAACAGCAGCAAGGGTGAGGTCGACGTCAACATGGGCCACTCCAGCTTTATCTCGCGACGACACCTCGAAATCTTCTATGATCATCCGTTTTTCTTTATGATCTGCAACGGTAAAAATGGTGTTTTCGTCGATGGAGTTTTTCAACGAAAGGGCGCGCCTGCCTTTCAATTACCAAAGTCGTAAGATATATTTCGAGCCTTTATCGAGCCGACTTAACCTTTCTTACACGTTTTTCGCATGCCTCTTGTACGTACTTTGTCGTTACATCGAAGGGCCTCTGTGTTTCCGACTGTAAATACTTGACCCACGTTCATTGTATATACATATGTACTTGTGTACATACATATATTATATATGTACATATATATAAATATATAATATGTAGTATATATGTATAGCTTGCGCGTGATGTGTGGTGTGTGTATAGTATATATATATATATGTATGTATATATATATATATGTATGTATGTATAGCTACTTTGATCTTTCATAGAAAAAGGTCTCTTAGGTAGTCTATACGCATTGTTTGTAATGTTCCTCCAGGAAAAGTACCATCTTGTGAACACTCTTTACTGTTACAGGTGCACATTCAGATTCCCAAGCACAAATATCAGGCTGGTATTTCAATCTCTAGTGGATGAGCAAGAGCAAAGTAGCGTACGTGTACCATCTCCCCCAAAACAAAGGGCTCCGTTACCACCTCTGCGTATCAATATACCGGATGCAGGATACAGTAGTCCATTTCCATCACCAACTGGTACTATCAGTGCCGCTAATTCTTGTCCTGCTAGTCCAAGGGCTGGTCAGGGAAGGAGAAACATATCGGCGGATCTTCAGATGGTAGCCGTGTATGCAGCCGCTGTCGCTAATGACCCACAGAATTCTGGTTTGGAAAGGCATGACGGGGGACAAAGCTCCAGCAGACAGATAAGTCCAGAGCCAGGCGTCGAGTCTCGTTATAGAAGCGGTGGCAGCAGTTCTGGGCCAAACGGTACAGCGGCGCATTGTAGTCCACCGAAGGATGACTCTAAGCCACCATACTCGTACGCGCAACTGATTGTACAAGCAATAGCGTCTGCGACTGACAAACAGCTTACGTTATCCGGCATTTACTCGTACATCACGAAGAACTATCCGTATTATAGAACCGCCGACAAGGGCTGGCAAAATTCCATAAGGCATAATCTTTCGTTAAATCGTTATTTTATCAAAGTGCCGAGAAGCCAGGAAGAGCCAGGAAAAGGATCTTTTTGGAGAATAGATCCTCAGTCAGAAGCTAAACTCATAGAACAAGCTTTCAGGAGAAGAAGACAGCGCGGTGTTCCATGTTTTCGAGCTCCCTTTGGTCTCTCATCCAGGTACACGATTCATGGTTTAGTACCTAACGATTTTCCATGTATCCGTGTCGAACATTTAACATTAACAATTATCGATAAAATGTTGATGCGATTGTGTTGCTGTTGGATATATCTAGGAGTGCCCCTGCTTCTCCGTCTCACGTTGGAATCAGTGGATTGATGACGCCGGAATGCCTGAGCAGGGAAGCTTCTCCAGGACCAGAATCATATCCGGATAGTTCCGTACCTTCTCCAGCTGGTCAACTGACTAGTCAGTCCGCACCGGGATCACCGGGTCATCCGTACGCGCCCTCAAACCAGACATCTCATAAAGGTCGGCTAATGCAGCAAATTACTGTTGTCACAAACGGCGTCACTAATGATGCGACCAGAGAAGGTATCTATTTTTGTTGTGTGTGTTTTCGCTAGTTACCTTCTCTTTTTCCTTCTTCTTTCTCAGTATCATCTTCGTCCGTAAATATTTACCATAAGAATATTGAGATAAAGACTGATTAATTTTCAGATAAATACGTCGTATCTGGAAACACTACGGAAGAACATTCTCTTTCCCCGGCTGGGCAGTATAGTCCGGCTCCTGTTATTGTACAAACTACATATAACTACAGGTACGCATTTTTCAGTTCGTTCAACTTTTTTTCACTCTTGTTTTGTCAACGCTACAATTCGTTGTTTTATATTCAGCGGAAGCTTTATTGGTCCCGACGCAGGCGTCGGAGTCGCGAAACGTTCACACGAGGAATCGGATAGCTCTCCAGGTTCACCGGCACCGCTCGCTATCGTCGAAAGTCCTGAACCGTTAGAGCACCAGCAACCACAATCGAAACGTCAACGCGTTCATGAAATGGACGACCATTGAATCCGTTACGTAGGACACTTGTTACATCGCGCTAATTCGCTCATCGTTGAATATATCTGCACGCGCGTGTACCTCATACCTGCTCATCTGTGCGTCCGCAAAACGCGCGTACGCCTTTGTACCCAAACTTTCGGATCCATGCCCATATCCATGCCACATCTAAAACTACGTACATCCTCATCTTTGTACGCGCGCGTACGAACGCGTACACTCGATGTTGTACTTTCATTCATTTTATACATAATGATTACTTTAGTCTGCGTATAAATAAATACTCGATCCAATTTATCGTTTAACGCAACAAGTGGAACATTTGGAAACAAACAAAAAAAAAAAAGAAAAAAAAGATGAGAAGACAAGGTCGTGTTCCCTCTTCGTTTTCGAACTTGTTTTTGGTGTTCAGTTTTACGCAACTTTTATAGTATCGTCGTCGTCGCCGCCGCTGCCACCGCCGATGACTACAAGGAGAAGCGCAACGTGTCCCGATATATTTGAAACAATCTGTACGAAGGTGATTCCATGTTGGAAGCCACGTAATATGCGTAGAGACATTGTTTACCTTGTAGAAAAATTTCATTTGGAAATAATCGATATTGAAAATACGAAGGAAATACGTGCGAGTGTAATCGATTTTCATACCCGAAGCTTTACGTTAATTCGTGTAAAAATGATCGGTTAAGCGTGGTATGATATTTATATAACTGACGAGCCATTAACATTAATGGCGAATCGGGGGCATGCAACATTTATGAAGATATTTTCATCTCGTAACTTGTCGAGCACACGATCGTTGCGTTTCTTGATTTTGACATTTTGATTTTCATTTCTCTCGAGGAATAGTCGCTCTTCAGATTGTATCAATTATTTTAGGGACACTGAGAGACATCCGTGTATATACGTATCTCATTTACGTACATATATACGGGTTTCATCGAACGCTTTCCTTCATATTTGCGAACCATGATTTGTGTACGAGGAAACGGCGCGGAGCTTTCGTTAATTCGCGGCGAGTGTGCAAGTAATTCTCGTAAGACTAATTATCTATAAAAGACACGATAGTATTTCGGTTGAAATGATATCGTAATGTATTTAAAAAAATGTTTGGCGAATCTCAAGAGGAGGGAACAGAGTGTTGTTTGTCGAGAGACAGCTCGCGTCGTTTGCCCTCGGTGCCGCGAAAAAAAAAAAAAGGAAATCGTTATGTCTTTGATGCGCTGTTATCCACATCTAAGCGAACTTTGTTTAAGAAATTGATCGCAAGATGTAAAACTTGCGCCGTAAACAAGCTTGTAGGACCCCGCGGTAGTCTTACGTTTTACGAATCGACTCGGCCGGTTACATATAGTTGTCATCCGATTTTTCCTTGAAATATTTTTGTTGAGCGTGCAACCATCATCGTTAATAGCAGGAGTAGTAGGAGGAGGTGGAAAGGAGGGTAGACGGAACAGGAGAAAGATGAAATGTTCTCTGCCTTTTGATTATTTCGATCGTTTCGATTCGAAACCGATCGAATCGATTTGTCGCTATTCCCCGAGATGCTCGCGAGCCATAGACACGGACTGTAGATTGTAGTTCTACGTAAAATTGTGAAAAAAAATTTCTATTTAAACGGAAACAAGCAATACTTTTTTGCTGAATACGTCGATCGAAATCTCTTTCCGACGTGCCTATTTATCTGATAAAAGTTATTAACGTACTATAATCATACAGGAAGAGGTGATAGTATTTTTGTTGCCACTTGTAAATAAACTCTTAAACGAATGTTCGTTGCTTCAGACTGTTCTGTATCTGGTTTTTGTGGACGTACTTATTCCCGAATTTTCGCACACGCATCTATTAGGGGTGTTTGAACGAATAATGAAGCGATTATTTACAATTTATTTGCAATTCGGAGAGAACTGAAAGATTTCGAAGATTCTGGATATCTGAAACGTCGTTTACCTTTTACCAAAAGACAACGCGATCGTAAATCTCTTGTTTTATTTTAGATGTTTATAGTATTTCTTTCGCGATGTAATCACAGGCTCGAAGCGCACAGCGGAAGAAGGTCTGCTATTTGAAAATCGGATCAACTTTTACGAATCGTTCTCCGCATCGATTCTCCTGTCTTTTTTCGTTTTCTCTTTCTACATCTCACTTTTTCTGTTCTTCGGTTCCCTGTCTCGAACACGTAAACACGATATTTGTGCGTACCATGTTGATTTCGTCTCTCTGGTGGAACAATCAATCCGAGAGAAAGGAATAAAGTCCCCGCGTCCGAATGGAAAGGGTTGACGCTGGATCGACAACATCCTGATTAGCGAAGCTCGTCATTCCGGCCTTGGTCCCAGAGGATTCCATCATTTATCCATGGTAAAATATTTTTTATGTCTGTTATCTTTTGATTAAACTTTTTCAAATTTTACTCCTTGCAATAATTACACGACGAACGTACATCCTGGGCAAGATGTTCGATTCGTTGCTAATCGTAGGTGCTGTCGTTGATCGATATCGAGAAGGAAACCACGTAAAGACTCTGGAGAACTGCCAAGGGGACTAAATTCGCGATCGAAGAAAATTTCCGAAAGAGATCTACAACTGAAAAGAAGAAGGATATTTTATTCGACCAGGATCGTGATACTGAGGAAGAGCAGGTGAAATGGAAATAGTCGAAGAGGGTGAGGCAGGGAACACGAAATGCTAGCGAATAGTCAAAAGCAAGACTGCTGGTAAAATATGCGCGAGAAAAAACGAGATTAACAGAAAAAAGATCGAACAGGGACAAAGACAGAGAGAAGAAAAAGGAGGTGAGAGAGGGCAAGAGAGAAAATGAAGAAGAAAGGGGGTGTAGCGAGCTTGCGCGACGTTCGACCCGAATCTCTCATCGGACGTTAAGCCAACCAGCCAGCCAGCCAGCCAGCTAGTCGGCCAGCCAGCCACCCAGCCAGAGCCAATCTTTTATCTAGCCGCGTCCTAAGCTTCCGTGCATCTTGTTCATGGAAGATCAGTATACTAACCGGTATAGTAACAATTTAATACATTTTTTTTGTCTGTCATTGTTTATAGTTTCGACCATTTTGCAAACGTTCCTCTTATCGTTACCATCTTCTATTCCCTTTCCGTGCCACTCCACATTCTTCTGCTTCTCTAATTTTTCTTCCTATTCCCCAGTTACTGCGTAGATTTTTACGTATATGCTAATTTGGTATGTAGTAGTCAACTCGACGTATGTGTTTGTCGGTTTCATCATGTTTCTCATTGACGAACTAAAGGATTACGATCATTCTTTTATTTAAAAAAACGCAAGTGTTTTTCCTGTCCCCCGTATACGAGAGATCGTGTCAATCTGTATTTCTACCGATCGTATATATTTCGTTCAGCAACCATGCGTGACAAGATTCGATTGTGTGTTTCACGCGGAATCGGTCGACAAACGGTGTTCCAAAAACTGAAGACTTGGGCCACTCGAAGCTCCGAAATTTAATGTTCTGAGGCAATGATACGCTAAAGTGAGAAAGAAAGGGTAAGCAAGAACGAGCCCCGTTTCGATGTTTGTGGTGGTGATACATGTATGTACATACGCGTATTGGAACGAGCGTTCACGGAAATAATGCAGCAGACTGTGACAAGTGTCTACCAGTAAGAGGAACAAGAGGGAAGAATAGCTTGGAAACACGATAATTGGTCGGCGACCCTATATCCTCGGAAGAAAGAAGCATTCGTTAATGATTTTTCGAGAATTCCGTACACCTGTATCCGTGGCTCGGTGAAGCGGTCTTGTCTGCGCTCGCGCAGTATCCGGTGTGTATTTGCTCGCCAGACTGACACGATAACCTGCGAATACCTTCGAATTGGAAACGTTCGTTTCCTCCTCGACTGTAAGCTTTCGGACGTCGATCACGATCGTCGAATGGACAGCAGAAATCACGATTTTACATTGATCGATCATCGTGAATTGGTGACCTGTTAACAAAATTTCGTAGGTCAGGAGGGTATTTTTTTTTTTTTATCGATTAGTTCCCCATTGGTTCGCCGGATCGAAGACGTACGGTAACGATATCGAAGCCTCGTTGTTTTCTCGTCCATTCTGGAGGGAAGTGGGTATGGCCTTTTTCTTAAATTAGAATTTACCTGTAACTATTTTATCGAGTTTGCACGAAGACCACCGGATACGTGGGTTACCATGTGCAATGTTTTCCTCTTTCAGATTGAAACCGTTGATCGTTGTTCCTCCTATCACGCGCTCGATTCTTTCGTGTTTCCGGTGGAAGCATCGGTACGAACGGGGTATCCATCACGGACGGTGTAGTCGCGAGAGCATCTTCGATGTAGGGAGAGAGTGAAAACGACGCGATGACGCGCGTGTCGGGGAAGAAGGGAAAACATGTGCGATTCGTTCGGTCCTGAACCGCCGACAAGAGGAGAGAGTTAACACGGATTGAACCAATCATAGCCCCGTTTTGGAGCGAACGAGCAACTTCCGGCTTGGTTAATCCATATAACGAGTAAATCAATTCTCGTCCAAGAATTCTCTTTAACGCGGTCTATGGATTGTATTTTGCGAATTGAACAGAAAGTAGAAGAAGAGGAAGAAGGAACGCGAATATCGTTCAAATACGCATTATTTTTCGTGTCTATGGTTCTGCCCATTATATACCAGTTTTATGTTTGCAGGTGGTTCATAGGAAACACGAAACAATGCTGAGAAGAGAAAAGGTAGAATCGGATTGACGGTCATAAGGTGTGCGAACTGGCTTATCCCTTGGAATGCGTGGACCGACGGTATCGAGCGCTTCGGGCTGGGGTATCTTCGCTTTTCTTTTCTTCGTATTGGCCACCCCCAGTCCTGCTGCCGTCCGCAGAGGTAATGTCTATCGTTTCGTTCGTTGTAACGCGTGGCTCTGTAATCGAGGGAACTTCTTTCACCGTTTCGACGACGAAAAGTGAACGATGGTGAACGTAACGATCGCGGTTCTTTCAGCGGATCGTGGACACTGCAACAAGACCGTAGACATATACGAGGACGTATCGAGCCCGGCCGTGACTGCAACCAATTGGGGAAAGTCCCTGTCCTGCTGGTACCGTTTTCGCGCGTTTCGTGGAACACCACGGGACTGGATTTTGCGCGTTCGCTTCAAAAAGTTTAAAGTCGGCGTGTTAGAGAATGCTACCACCTGTTCCGGAGGTTACTTACAGGTATAATCTTGTTTTTCCTGTTGTATACTGAAATGCAAACTTCCGTTAGGGGAAAAAGTGGCGAAGGGGAAAGAACTCCTACCATTTGGTTCGAGAATTACTGAAATTTATGGCAAATTAATATTATTCTTAATAAACATAAATAGTACTCCAAAACGTTGGCAATATCTCGTTAACATAGCCTCGGAGAACGTTTTCGCGAAGGAAAACGTTGTTTCAAATCACCCCAGGAATCATCCCGTTCAAGGAATTACACCTATTTCGGGACACCCTGTAATATACAATTATAAATAAGTATATGTTTTTTCAACGACCGTCCTGTCTTTCGCAGATCATCGACGGCAACACGAAAACCGAAGTGAGCAATCGCAAAGATCCCGGCGTATACTGCGGCGAATCGGAGCAACCGCAAACGTTCATCTCCGAGACGAGTTTCGTCCGAGTGATCTTCCACGCGGACAATTTCACAGATCAAACTTACTTCAGCTTCGATTCCCGGGCGGAACAGCAGTTCGAAGTGTACTTGCGATATGGCCAACACCCGGAACTGTATCCGAACCGACGTGGCGAGATCGTGCCGGGCAGTTACTGCGAACGGGTGTTCAAAGATTGCAAGCTCCAAACGTGTTACGTACAGAGCCCGGCTTATCCGGGCATATATCCGCGGGCACTGCATTGCAAGTATCGTTTGAACACACGGCTGCCGTTCATCAAGCTGTACATCGAGAACGAAGAGTTCAATATCGACGGGCAGAGATGCGAGAATATAATGACCTGCCCGATGAGACCGATTAGTTCCGGGTCGGAGCACTGCCCGTACGATTACATACGCGTGTACGACGGCAAAGACGAGAGCAGCCCGGTGATCGGCACGTTTTGCGGCATGGGCAAGTTCCCGTACAGCATAATCGGCACCAGCGAGGATCTTTACGTGGAATTCGTGTCGTCGCCGGCCGGGCCGCTGCTAAACACCGGATTCCACTTCAACGTCGGCAATTGGCCCGGCCACGTGGAGACCGCCGGCGTACGGAACGGTAGCTGCGATTGGCTGCTGAACAGCGAGTCCTTGAACACCGGAAACGAGGGGATATTCCTCTCGGTGGCCCATTGGTATCCCCCCCACACAAGCTGCACGTATCTATTGAAAGGCCGTGTCGGCGAAATCGCGAGACTCTACTTCCCAAGCTTCCGGGTGAATCGGATCGAGTCGCCGATCCAACCATACGACGGCGATTGCGGCGAAAGCCTGACCCTGTACGACGCCGACTGGCCGGATGACGCGAGGATCATCAAAACTTTCTGCGACACGTTCAGCAAACCGATGGAGAAGCACGATTTCGTCTCGACCTCGAACGCTCTGTTCGTGAAATTCGAGAGCAAGACGGGTAGCTACTCGGGCAGCTCGCTGTATTATTGGGCGCATTATGATTTCTTCAATGCGACGCGATTCGGCGAGCCGGTGCCTGGCACCGAATGCGACGAGACGTTCGCCTCGTGGAAATCCCGTTCCGGTAGACTTCGATCGCCGTTGAACAGTCTCGTCTACAAACGTCCTGGCGATCCACCGACCGATCTATCCTGCACGTACACCTTCGTCACGGACAAGCGATTGTACGCGCGTGTTATTCTTACCGTAGAATCGGTCTCCTTTAAGGAGCATCCGTACTCGCAATGTGGGCGTTGTTGGGACAGTCGAGTCGACCGGTTGATTATCAGGGAGCCAACTGTCGCGGTCTCTGGTGACCAACAGTTCCATCAAACTCAACAACAATCCCAACAACGTTCGCAGTACTATCAGAATGCACAGCAACAAGATATTGGAATGGATAAGGGTCATTGCATCTGTCGATCGACGGTTAATTCTGGTTCGCACAACGAAGGGAAACCGTTGGTTCGCATGGTCTCACGCGGAGAAAAGCTCGAATTGAAGTTACTGGTGGACGGGGCGCATTCAGCGGCGAGTTACTTCAAGCAGTCCGCCCCGTTGTTCGAGGCGACGTACGAGTTCGCTCATAGTCCTTTATGCGGGCCAGCGATTCTGCCGGCCACCACCGACGGAGAAATCGAATTTCCTCATTACGAGGCGCTCGGATACGTCGCTCCGCCTCGGTCCATCAAATGCATCTGGGAGATACGCGTGAATCGGGACAGGGACGTCTGGTTGCATTTCGATAAAATTAAATTCGCCTCGAGGTCCTGCGAGGACGGGAAACTGGAGATATTCTTGCCGGGCAGCACGGAACCGTTTCTCGGTGTGTGCGGCGAAAACGTGAGTCAAGTCCAAGAAATGCCGATCATTTCGGCGGCTCGGATAACCCCGAATGGCGTTCGTACGACTGGGGATCGCGGTTCCTCGGGATTAGACTCGATCCAGACGTATTTGCAATCGCAACAATCTATCGTAGGGGCGTCGCCGTCACAGACGTCCTCGGTGCCGAACGAACAAAATCGCCAAGAATCGGAATGGCCAGCTGTGATCGTACAATTCACAGGTTCGATGGCGCCGGCGAGGGCGGCTTTTAAGATCGCCTGGACGGAATTGTATCATCTGCCACGCGATGCCTCAGGCGCTCTGAACACGCAGAAGCTCGAGGAACTTTGCGGCTTCCGGTGTCCCGGTGACGCCGGTTGCATTCCCACGCGGCTAGTCTGTAACGGGGTGATTAATTGCCCGGTACCGGAACCCAGGTCCGTTTTTCGAAACACGAACAACGGCACCGGTTTCCTCGCGATACCAGAGGAACCGAACGACGAATCGATCGAGACCTGCGGGGCGGACGTGATCGGTGCTCGTGGTAACGCGGCTGGTTCCGGAAACGGCGTCGGCAGTTTCGCCAGCGTGGTCGGTTCCGCTGGATGGGCGGGCGCCGGTCTGGGCGCCAGCTTAGCCGTTCTTTTCGGTCTGGTCTGTTTAATCACGGTCTGCAAAATTTGCAGACGTCGCTCCGAACCTAGGAATATCCACGTACCTTATTGACACGTGAATCGGGACGGATACACGACAGATACGTGCATACGAGATTCACGATCACATTGTAGTCCAAATGACGATCGTTTTTTTGTTTCCTGTCATTTCTCGGGAATCACTGGTCTTCTACTCTACCGAAAGAAAATCGGTACAAGACTAGATCCTGGTAGGCAACGTTGCTGCAATGTGTTATCTCGAACGAAGGTACCGATGTGTTGGTGTAACCGACACCTGTTTCTCCTTGCGCCACCGAACCGTGCGTGAACCTTTGAAAGAAATTTTTATCGCTTCGATCGTTCCATCCGTGCTGTCGAGCGAACGGGAGGAATCAACCGGCCGTGACGGCCGAATGGACGATCAAATGGGTAGACTATACTGTGCTGTAGGTGAGTACCTGTAGAGGTACCGTACCGCCGCGCCTCTATTCATGCCGAACGATTAAGTATACATATGTACAGGGTGTCCCAAAATAGCTTCGACTCCCCGGAAATGAGTGGTTCCTTGGATGATTTGAAACAAGTTTTTTGGGGCCCTCATTTCCGGGAGTCGAAGCTATTTTGAGACACACTGTATATATAATATATATATATATATGTATAATTCGTACTACGTTCGTTTCGAATGCGAAAATTCGGATCTTCACCTGTACCCAACTAAGTCGTTCCCTTTTATCACACAACTATACTAGTATGTACAATCTATTCGCGTTACGTTTAACAACAAGAGTGCCTGCGAATGTTCGCACGCGCGCATCGCGTGCGTTATTCTTCGAGAATATGCCGAACAAACTTGTACATATCGGGGAGGGGGGGAATAGGATGCGTCGATTATTTTAGCGGATAAGTACCACCCCCAACGGGACAAACGATTGTGTCGAATCGTTCGACCAGGGGTTGTGCTGGTCTTTTGTATATAGTTTCGAAATTAAATTCAACAAATATCGTAGAGTCTTAGAGGATCGATAGAGAGCGTACACATACACGGACACGAGCTCATGCATCGCACACTTACGGACACGATGTTCACGACACGACGGGACGTCCATACGTTTTGTTTGTACGCGTAAAACCAGCCGAGAAAATACGCGATTTTCTTTTGGATTTCACCCGACTCGATTTATTTCATTTCATTTCGTTCCATTTCTTTTTCAATCGATCTTTACCGAATCGAGCATCGACGATCAACGTTTCGTGTCCGTTCCACTACGTCTATTCGTACCGCGTTAATTGTTAAGTTGTCGATATTTTTACCCATTTTTCTACCGTTCACGTTAACACGACACACATATACGTTGATAATCGGAAAACTGGGCGAACGACGTCGGTATCGACGTTGGCACGTTCGTATCGTTGCACTTGTTATCATCGTCGCTACCGTTGACTCTTAGGATTAATAACATAATTATATGAATAGTTATCGTTACGATCGCGTGAAACGTCGTCGTTATACCGTTGCTGTTACCATCTGTTCTCGTCGTCGCCAGTATCACAGTTGCTACCACAGTCGCAATCATTATCGCTACTGCCAGCAGCTCAGTCATTATATTATTATATTTTTTACAAATAAATAATATCCTCGGCAACGAGGTGGAAAAACAAACAGTCTTTGGACGTTATTAAACTCCTTAATCTCCTGGGCATGCGCCTGGGTCAACGTTATTTCACTCGACACTGTACTATAAATACAAGTATGTACCTAAAAATATTTCATGTTAAACAAACCGTATAAGTAAATATGGGTGACATGGTTGTCAGGTGTCAAAATTTTTGTTTACGCTCAAATGTTACTTAACCCTCTCGGATCCGTTCAAATTCTCCAGTATACAGTAGACAAATAGACGACAACCAGGATGGCCGTTGGAAACGGTAGAAAAAGTGGACGTGTTTGGAGAAGCTTCGAATCGAAGATGTCGGTCGCTGTACCAGCCACGGGATTAATTACCGAAAATGTTCTGGTACCGATAACCAAGACCATTCTCACGAAGAAAATTCCACGGGCACGTTCGAATCTCTCCGAACGAAGAATCGAACTGATCAGACCGAGAAAATCCAGTGCCAGTTCCACGGTACCGGTGCTCTTGAAACGACCGCCTCAACTTCCGTTAAAAAGATACACGAACACGCAGCTGCGTTCCACTCAGGTGTCCCTAAGCCATTCCTATTTTCCTAATTACAATTCAAATCTCAATAACGATAAGCGTGGTGATATTGTTAGTTTTATCGCTGAGATACATATGTACATATTTGATACAACCAACAAAGAATTACTATGTATATAAAATGCAGCTCGATGTGTTTCCAGAGTGAAAAAGAACGCAGTCGCATGAAGAAAAAGATCTCGTCGAAAGATTTCCATCAAAACATCGAAAATTTAACAACATCCCCTATTTCTGGTCATTTTAAAAATCCATCGCGGGGACAGCGACGGCAGCACCAGTCACAAGATAAGAAGCAACCAATTCTATCATTTCCCTCTCCAATTTCCGATTTACCTCGCGTCCAGCTAAGAAATCGCAAGCCTCCTTCGGTACACAAAAATTCGATTGTCTTCGCTCAATGGAACGGAATCGGTAAGATAGGCAAGCGGCCAACGAAAAAAATCAATCGTGCGTTATCAAGAGACGATGAGAAACGCGAGAACGTGTCAGGTAATATTACGTTTCAGTCGTTGAGCGATTTACAAAATATCGACTCTTTGTCGATGGATATGTTCACGACAATCTACGACAACAACGCGGAATTACTGGAGACCAATCCTTCGAATATGTCTGTTACGTTCACGGTGGAAACAACTACGACTGCTATTGTTCTACCGATTACGGACACAACGACCACGTCCACAACGGCGACTGCACCGAAAATAATGGCTGATCCTTACGCTTACGCGGTAGATCCAGACGTGTTTTCTCGTGACACCGAGTCAACGAATGCCTGTAAAGACACGAACGAAACGTTTATAAATATTCTCGCTAATTACGAGGAGGAGTTAAACTTACCAGACAAACTGAACGAATCAATTTTCGGGACGGACAAACTTTTGTCATGGTGCGAGGAATCGAGTGCATCGGAAAAGAAACGGAATTGCGTTTCGTCCGCGCACAATTCTCGATACACAACGAACGATATCGATCTTTCTATTCTCTCCTCACTTGGACAAAATCGGTCCGAATATTACGATAGATCAGAACTTTCCAAATATGAATATCCCTGCAAGATCAAGTATTCGTGGCAAGTACTCGGCAGAAGTTGTCAAACGTCGCGTATGCTGCTCGAAAATTTAGTAAAGGAAGTGAACGCTGACGAAGAATCGGCCTACAATTGCACTATCAAATACTCTTGGCAAATCATTGGCATGGCCACGCAAACTTCGAAACAAGATCTCTTTGGTTCAGAACCTCGGTCTGTTTCATTTTTATCCGCGAGGACGAACGCGATCCGTAACGTTGTCGGACCGCCGAGCACCGCCGAGCCTGCTACCATCTGTCGAAACGGAAAAAAGTTCTTCGTATTAAACAATCAGAGTACGCAAACGTGCACTCATAAAGAAAATCAAACCAATTTCGTTGAAATTCATGCGACACGATCTTAGACGGTCATACGATCTTCGTTTGCCAATAAAAGATAAGACGATAACGGTAGAAACCAAATAAGAGATCATATCACAGAAACTCGATGGATTTACTTGCTTCCCCAAAATAGCCCGCAATTACCATAGTTTCGTCGCTTTAATTTATTTCTGTTTTGAAACTAAAACTTTTGTACATTCGAGTGTGTGTATATATATACATACATATACATAATAATAATTATAATAATAATAAAAAAAAAGAAAACGATCCTACTTACAGGTCAAGAATCGTTTACTTTTTCTCACCGTTCAAATCACTCATAAACTCCAAACCGTAAAATACATTTCCTATTGTTGTTACAATTAATGTTGTTGCAACGAGCAAACAGGTTTTACAGAATCCACAATCAAGACGATGTCTCGTTTACCTTGATATAGCTTTCCGTTGATCTTTGTAGTTACAATAGACAGGCTTTGAAGACACATACAGTTCGCCAGCATTAACGCCGACCAACGAGCCAACAAGATCACCTTAATTTAATCGCCAGAGGTTATCCGGAACATCCTCTACAACCGCAATGAATGCATTCCACTATTCTACCTTCTTCCAGCTTTCCTTTTGGTACTCGACATATACAATTGGTTCCGAAATTAGTGTCTCTAGTTTGTATACACCGTAAACAACATAAATTTTCATAGCCCACTTTCTTCCACTTGGCTATCAAATTTTTGTCCGCGATGTTTTCGTTTAAACAATAGTCATACAATTCTAGAAAGAAAGGAAACACAAAAAGATGCATAGTCAGAAACACGATCTGGGCTGTCAACATGATGAAACGATAGGAATTGTGAGAGTAGGTTGTAATTGTACTAACCACGGCTTATGGCTTTGCGTCTGTAATATAAGTCGTATATGTACCGCGACTTTTGATGGTGGATTTTGAATATTGGCCACAAAGATTCTTGTTTACGTTTGCCTTCGTGAGGTTCCGTTTCGGCTGCAATTCAAACAGTATACAAGAAAATAAGACAATACATAAAGCTGCGTATTCATCTGAGCATTAAATCAGCTCCGTTTATTCTTGGGACAATGCTCAGATGAATACAATCCTCGCGGAGGACTATACGGATTTTAAAACGGAGCACTCGTGTTCTAAACATAACCTTCGTCTACAGTGTATCGGAGTTACCTTCTCGCATTTTTTGTTCCAGTTCTTCTAAAGTTGGTTCGATAAGTTCCCAGCCATCGGGTGGAGGTTTCTTACTTCGTCGTACTTTTGGCATGTTTTTATTCGAATGTAATCGATTCCTCGCGTATATTTAAAATAAACACCGCCACAATGACTCTTTTGATGCAAACAGAAGCACACCACTGCGCATACAAATGCGCGCAGCAAGGCAGGCATACAAGCGATACTCGAATTCGTTGATAATCGATAATCGACACGACGCGATACGATACGAGTTTATGTTAATCGACTCTACGATTTGAAAAGTATCGAGACGTTATTATCGAGAAGTTATTATCGAAAATTATTGGATGTGAATCAATGAATGTATAAAGGTAGGCGAAAGGCTGTTGAAGGGAAAAAATATGAAGAGTAGAACAATAACTGATCAAAGAAACAATCTTCATTATATTATCATATATGAAACAGTTGCATCTCACAGAGAAGTAATCGGACACAATAATAGAGTTTTAGGTGGTAAAGAACAAGATACAAGGAGGTTAATTACTGATCTTCCGGTAACCATATGTCGGATGTACAATCACCTCCGGGGTAACTGAAAACATAATGATTATCATGTATTACAGATTAATACTTCTTGAAACGTTCAATGATTTGAGAATGCTTACCGCATTTCATGCGCAAGTAATATATCATTCTTATCCTCGCCAAAGTCAATCAAAAATTGATCGTCAAGTTTTAAACCACCGTTTTGTACGTTCACGTCTAGTTTGACCATCACTGACCCATTCCTAGCGGGAATACGCAGATCAATAACATTTTATATCTTTGAATCACTTCATAACTAACTTATGCGTATATATTATATGTGGGTATAGTAGTAGATCCATGCATATTCATACGTATGTACCCTCACGACCAAACTCGACTACCACTAGGGGAGAAAGTGAGGTAAGCGAAACGTCTCTTACCATTTAGTTTTGGGAGTTACTGAAATTTATGCCAAATTAATATTCGGTTTAACATTTATTTCAGTACTTGAAATAAATTTACCAAGTGGTAGGAAGTCCTTACCCCTCCGTTACTTTTTCCCCTAGTGGAATCCGAGTTCGTTCGCGAGTGTATACATATATGTAGATTGATTGATGGATTGAATGGGGAAAGGATGGCACACGCGTTTGGATGAAAGATGCAAAGTGAAAAAGTAATAAGGTGAGTCGTACGTGACGTGGTCGGGGTAAAAAAGCTGGTCCCAAGGTTTGAAAATAGATGTAGTCACGTATAAGCGTGTGCCGTCGAGGCTTAGTTGAAGCATCTGTGGCGATCCGTAAAATCGGCGTCCTTTTATGTAAACAGGACTCGGTTGAGCTGTCAGTTCCTCATCGTCAATCACGCGAACCTTCGAATCGTTTAAAATGGATCCACCGAGAAAGATTTGGCCCGTTAACTTTGGATTCTTCGTATCGGAGATATCGTATTGCCTGACGTCGCCGTGGAGCCAGTTGGAAAGATACAGGTATTTATCGTCAAGACTGATCAATATGTCAGTTATCATTCCTACGTGGCAATGGTTGATCGAATAGAAAAACTCTCAACATCGAATTTATACAATATGTATACAGGGTGTAGCAAAAATGTTGCAGGTACTTGAAATAAGACAAAATTATTTTGGGACACCCTGTATGTTTGTACGTAAGCCCACGAGGCGAGTGTACCTGACATCTGCGGAGTAAGCCAGCCCTCGACTTTCTTATGAGGGACTTGAATAACCTTTTCGGCATGCCAAACGCCTTCGGGTGTTTTGTGAAATCTATGAACGTTCGAGGTGACTGCGCATCCAACGAATCCCTCGCTGGCTTTTGGATCGTGCAGGAACCTTATTTCGAGAGGCGCGATACCATCATCGCCCAAATTAATCACTTGCTTCAACTTTCTCTCGCTCCAGGAATAAAAGTTTAAGCTTCTACCGTAAATCGCTGAGAAAACGAATTGTACAGTTGCATTGTGAAAAGATTGAGTGAGAATTGCGATGAGAAAATTATCACAGCTCGTCCACAGTACGATACTAACCAGGATCGGAGCTATCGGTCGGCTGGTAGCCCCGTTTAAACACTTTTGGTACGCCCCATTCACTGCCGACGAGTACGTCGTGATATGGTTGGTACCAGAAATCGTAACCGAAAGCTGCTTTTTTTTCTCCTGTCGTCCATAAACCTTTTACCTCGAACGTTTTCGAGTCGACGCACAGAAAGTCACCTTGCGCGTCACCGTTCGTTTTGCCCATCGTGGATATCATGATCTCTCCTGTCGGTGCGCAATGACTAGTATGCATAGTCGTTACTCCACATCCGTGTACATCCGTCGATGACAATACCTTGTCGAGTTGGGAAGAAAGGAAGAAAGATAGAAGAGATGTTCAACCAGTGATTGTTTCATGCACATACGTACAGGGTGCCTCATCTAACTCGATCACCTTGGATAACGATTTAACAGGGCACTTTATGGAAATTTTTAGGCGCGGAACTTAAATGACATCAAGGGGCATATCTATCTGTATCATAAGTTGGCGAACCTTCTTTATGGATGGTACCCGTTCCTTGCTCGTATCGATGAAGTATACACGATCGGACATCAAGCACGGGAGTACTAAGGTGTCCCGTTTCCGCGGTGTGCCGTGACAACTGCTGCAAATGTTCCATCCAGAATGGTGCAATTCATCACCGACATGAGGCATCCGCAGCTTGTGGATAATCTGCCCGAGTTTTTACCAGCCGGAACGGTAATGGATTATTAGCACAGTCGAGACATAAGTATTACACAGGGTGTAACAAAAATGTTGGAAGAACCGGAAATGGGAGATTCGTGTGATGATTTGAAACAAGTTTTTCCTTAACAAAAATGTTGTCCGAGGCTTTGTTAACGAGATATTAACGAAAAACGCCGACCAATCAGAGTTCGGCCAGCAGACTCGCGCTCTGATTGGTTGGGGTTTATCGTTAATATCTCGTTAACAAAGCCTCGGACAACGTTTTTGCTAAGGAAAAACTTGTTTCAAATCACCTCACGAGTCTCCCATTTGCGGTCCTCCAACATTTTTGTTACACCCTGTATTATATCTCGTCTGTAGTGTTAGATCGAGTGGTCTACGTGGATGTGGGTGCGTCGATCCCATACCTTGCAGTAAGTGGCGCTCGTTGGGTCCACGTCGACGGTGCAAAGTACATCCGCTTTCTTTGGATCCGTGTGAATGCCAACAACATACATCAGCTTCTCACGAGGACCCTGGGTCATCGCGGCCATTGGCGATTTGTAGCCGGGGCCAGAGCAACCCGAACAGCCTAAAATAATTCCATCCGTCGAATAATCATTCATTATCCGATTAGTATGTGCTGCTTCAACCCTTGTGTGGGCAACCAAAATATTCACGGCTATTGAACAATCGGAATACTACTATTCTGATATATTAGACAAACATAGGAAAATTTTACTTTCATACTTCTCCGAAACTCTTAGTTTTCCCTTCCTGTAATATACCAACTGCTGTGTTAAACGAGAACATGAAAAATGGTAACAGGAAATTTAGAAATGGGTATACCGGATTTCCTACACAAGGGTTAAAGATATAGCGTTAGCCATGAACCTGACCGACTTTAAAGTTTGCGTTTCGGTAGCCTAATCCTATCATTCGATGCCCTTGAGTTGTAAAAACTGTGCTCGACCGTCGTTTAGAGGCGTACGACGTCAATTTGGGATCGGTTTGTCCGTTTTAATGTAATCAAACAAGTTCTTATAGCGTACTAATTTCAGATTCAAAATACTTCTGGCCCATTTATTTTTGATGGAAACTTACGAAACGTAAATTTCTTTCAAATATTCTAGTACTTTTTCTTTTATTAGAACCCCACAGCTGAAAGTGGACTACGACCATGATTGCGGAGGGACAGAATGGGCCCTCGATGATCGAGTGCCAATGGTTTAAGGATCAGCCACCTTTATGGCTAACGCTATATCTTTGAAGCAGTTATACCTTTGCTTTCCATGGTCGACATCCTTGCGATCGCGATCGATGGTGAAATGAATCTTGCGGGCGTCCCAATGGAGACTGCGCGGTCGAAGCGGAAAGAAAGTCGAGGCGATATTGCACGAAGAGAAAAAAGAAGATACTGAACCACTGAGAACTTGCCTATTCACAGCAGCGTGACTGCTCGTCTGTTGAACATACAACCGACAACGCTTCTCGTGACGTACAACGTATGACACGATAACAGATACAAAAGCAAAAACTAGTGGTGGGATAGATACACGCATTACACCTACAATACACACATTTATTGACCGGACGTGTCCGATATCTTCTACCAATCTTCCTTCGGAAACTAAAAACATTTATGTACTGTACATACTACATAGTCATTCGTACTCTCGTCTCCTTCTAATTCTTATCACTGGTCGCTTTCACTTTACCCGTTCGATGCCCTGTTCGAATCTGCGCGGTGAAAGGTCGAACTTGAGCCAGAAATTCATACGTTCGACTATAATCGCTTACGTAACAACGTAATTCGATAATGATAATTATCATAGGTCATCGTTATGATTTAATCTCAGTGTACGCTGTCGAACGATAGCTTCTTTTCGTTCTTCGGTATTCTTCCCGTGTCTGGTTTGTTATTGCGCTTTTCGCGCAGTATCGCGCATACCAGAAGATTCTCGCGATGCAATGTAATCAGCTGGGCTAAACGATTCTTCGCAAGATCCATCTGCGACGTTATACCGTTGTATCCCGCGTCGAGTTTGTCTAATTCGCTGCTAATATTATTTATCATCTCTAATAAAAGTCCGTCTCTTTTCCGTAGCTCGAGATCGTACCGGTTCGAGACTATTAACGCTATTAAACCGAGGACGCTCGTGAGTATCGTTAGTCCCAACAGGCTCTTTTGCAAAAGTGTCGTCATGTCTGAGGGATCTTTGCTCGCGTATACTTTCGACATTCTCGTTTCGTAAGTTTTATCGTTATCCTTTTACTCATTATAACGGTCACACGGTTATTCTTCCAATTCTTTCGATTCTTCTTCCCTCGAGATTACGTGTATAATCCTACGAGATTGTTGTCGCGCGTCACAGGAATCTGATCGATCGATCATCATCTCACCATCCTAATTTTTCTCGAATTGTCCGAAATTCGACAATTCCCGACTTCTGTGTTTGGTCCCCCGTCTACTCTCACCTTCTTCCAATCTGTTGCTTTTCCAGCTGGTCGATTCACGACGACAACGACGACGACGTCGTCGATGCCGACGCACCAGACTAACGTCCGTGGAGGCATTAACACTAGAACTACCAGCATTGAATGTATGCTAAGTTAAATTCTGTAATATATTAATGTATAATGCAATATAGTATCGTATACTATAATATAAAGTGTATAATGAATTAGAGGTTAACATGAATTCCGATGAAAGTATCTCTAGAACTTCAATAATTGTAAAATAAAAAATCCGACATCCGTCATTTCGACGGGTCGGTAGTTCTAGTGTTAAATTACCGATATTCGAAACTATTCGTAGAATCCCAAACAACAAAATCCGAATAATTCTACTACTATCTAACTATAATTAATCGAAACTATTCTTCTTTCGCGCTTTCCACTGAATGTACTGCAACAACAGCGGGCCAGTCACGGCATTGATATCCAATGCGCAGCTCTCGGCGCTATTTCTTCGATCTTTTTTCGGCGTGAACGCCCACGTTTTTTATCTATTATTAAATGCGCGACGCCGAACACACAGGACGGTTTCTTGGTTGCCGATTCCTCGTCCCATCGTCTTGTACGCGTGTTATTCGACGAGAATATTTCTCCTTTCTCGAATCTTGATCATCCTCTTGTATTATTCCGGAGGGATGATTTTCTCGGGGCGTATATGCGCCAATTTGAAACTCGCGATGTTGTGCCACGGTCTGGAATTCCTTGGAAATTCGTTGTCCTTGCTTCTCGTCGATCACCGTCGCGGCGAACAGTCCGTCAGAAACGGAGAGATGCGGTCGTGTGCTCGATGCTGAGGATATCGATCTTAATTCGAGCATAAGAGAGGTATTAAAAATTGATATTCTATCGCGTTTATTCGGCAATCTCTTCGTAGGTCGAACGAAATCCTGGTTTAATCTTTATTCTCGATATTTCACGTTCGTGGTGGTCACTTCTATCGCTACAAACCTCCGTTTCGTATCGATCTCGATCCTCTGACCTTTGCTCTAATACGCGAGAATTTACCAGAAACGATTTCACGCTACTGCAACCGGAAAGGTATTAAGATCGTCGGATGAACGGCCCTGTCGCGTAACAGAATTCGAAGCTGGTTCGTGCGACACGGATCACCGATTCGAAATAATCGTCGAGCCTCGAGGAATTCGAGAACGACCGAAAAACGGTGAACGTCGTGAAAAGGGAGGACCGGAGGGTTGAAGGTTAAAATGGGAATGAATGAGTGGGAGGGGAAGAGAAGACGAAAGCTAAACGGAAACGAAAAAACAGGACAGTGACTGAGAACGTGGAGGGGATGGGGCTGATGAGGGAGAGAAAGAGAGAGAAAGGGAGACGACGAAAAGTGACATGCGCGAAATCGTATGTATTTGAAGGCGCATCCGCATATTCGCACGCTTCTTAATCGATAAGGGTAAAACTTGACTCTATATTCGATCGAATCCGCGTCTAATTTACATACATACAGGAGAGTTACCCATTTTGGACCAATTTTTTGTTTTGCTCTCCTATAAAAAAGATAAACATTACGTCTAGATTGTATCGTGTATTTGTCGCGTTGAAAAAATATCTTCTACTTCGGTCAATGGACTGAGCAACTGGTTTCCTAATTTGGACCATCGGTTTCCTACGTTGGACGTACGTGGAATCTACAATTTAAACAAAAATTGTTCATCGAGAAAAGTAGAAACAGAAAGGAAAAAATATCTTACGGTGTACTTAGTGCGATAACGTTTTTTCGGTGGGCATCACATTTTCCATACTTTCGTGTTGTAGTTCATTTTGAATAAAAAGAACAATTTTAAAAAGAATACCTTTCTAGTATGCTTTGAACTATTCGCTACCGTGATATAGATTGCATCCAAGAATGGATCAGTCCAATTCAAGCAACTAGTGGTTCAATATTAGGCAGCTTGTAGGTTGCATCGAAAAAATATATTTTCACGCGAATAGGACTGTATGGATATGAAATTGTAGCTAAGACAGTGCACTTTACACTAGTGTTATTTAAAAGTATGGTACTTGCAAGATGTAAATCGAAATTCACTTGAAATAACACGAAAAATAATAATCATGCACCACGTATTTCTAGTAGTTCGTCATATATTAAGTCGTTCGTACATTCTTCTCGCAAGTTTTATCTCCCTTCCTAAAATCAATGTAGCCAACGGGAACACTGTAAATATATTTCTTTATCGAGATACACAAATGGTCCAATATAGGCAACTCTCCCCTATACCACGTCCGTTCATACACCTAATGAAAACCTTTTTGAACGAGGCCACGGTGTTAAGCTAGCAAAGAAAGAAAAGAACAGGCGACCAAAGTTTTCGAAACGACGATGGTAAACGATAGTTCGCGTTGCCAACCGCGAAGGCAGATAAAGTGCAACCAGTAGGAAAAGAACAGCACGACCATACATTCCTGCGATCGATTATTACGTAAAATAAAGGACGGAACAGCAGACGAAAACAAATATCGGCTATGTAAATCGAAAAATCGATTCTGAGACGGGAAATAGAACGGATGCTCGTGCAACGATTTCGGGTACCGCCGGGTATAGCTTTCTATCCAAACATTATTTCGCGATACGTTGTCGGAGCATCGCAGAAGAGGCGCCTCCCAAACATCGTCCTTCCACGATGCTAAAAGCAATGCATAGTCACCGTTCCAATCAAGATTTACTCTCGCCTTGAACATCAAAATCGCTGGAGCCTCGACTGTTTGGGGTATACAGTTCTTCGACAAGGTTATTGAAATAGCGTCATCTGTAATCGACTCTGTCGCGTTTCCGGAATCCGTAAATGTTTCCCTGGTTGCATCGCAACGAGCCAGCAGTTCGATCAGTCTGTCGGTGGGAATCGAACGACTCTCCATCACTTGTAATTTCAATTCAATCGTTCCGGAAGGTAACGGCGCAACGTTTTTCCCAGAAAAATGGACGATTCGATTGGCGGACTCGAAATAGCCCGTTTTCGGTCTACTTCGACGACGTCCTTGTCGCACGGTCGAAGCAGCAATCGGTAATCCAGTCTCGGATCCTCCAAAACTTCGCGACATCCGAACGGGATAGAGATTCGAGTCCGACCTTTCCAACGGTTCACCGACTCCAAGGTTAATGTCGCGAGCAAACGCGTCGTGCGCGGCAAGATTCGAATACAATGATGGTTCGACATCGTTTCTAGCACTCAGAATTTGTCGTTTTCTTCTCAAGGCTCGTTGCAGGTAAGTGCCGGCCGCGGTAACTGTATACAAAAGGATCGAACACGTAGAGTCGGCGTAGTACGTCCAACGCGCTGCCCATCGACCTTCCGCCGAATAGATTCGAAACACCCTTCTAGTCCAGAAACCTTCATCGACGCTTTCACACCTTTGGCTCAGCCAAAGTCCACCGATCAACGCTGGCAGCGTCGGAGCTTGGTGCAACAGTGGCGGATTGTACTCTGTCGCGCGCAACACGTTCCCACAAATTGGACAGTCGGACACCTAAAACATTCGATCGATTAAAGTACTTGCTCTCTCAGCAAACGGTATTATTATTTATTCTACATATAGAGTACCGGACAAATGTTTTCGAGCAAACCATAACAAGAAATACAACGAAAAATGTCTTTGTTTGAATTCATTTATCCGGCACTGTATGTATATTCGTATCGTAGATATAACCGTCGTTACCGTATCGGCGCGTAGTAACGTCACAGGCTGCAATCGGCTCGGCGTTTGCGTGGGGAACTTGAAAAAACGTCCGTTTCGAGGTGATCCACCGAGTAGCAGTTCAATTCTCATTCCCAGCTGGTTCCTGTCGACCGAGTCTCGATTCGACGATCCAGAAACGCTCGATATCCCGATTCTTCTCTTCTCGACACGGAATAACTTTAGCTCGGTGAACTCGACGCCAAGGAATTCCAAGCAACTGAACGTGTCTCGATTTTTCGGCCTTCGTAAACGGCTTTCAAACGAATTCGAGTTCAGCCCACGAGAATCCAGACTCGGACTCGACGAAATATCGACCGGCCGTTCGTAAATTAGTTGAGCCCGGTACGGACGCCATTTTGTTTCCATGCCACCGTCGCCGCCGCCACAATTTGTATTTATTCTACGTCCAAATTTATGAGCAACCTATTAACGGCGACCAGTGTACCAGTGTACGAATTCAACCAAAACATGCAACGATGCAACATACAATTGGACAACGAGTCAGTTACAATGATGATAGTACAGACTCCTCTCGATTATTGTCAGGAACTTGGGTCTGCGCCTGGACAATAATCTTGTAGGAAGAATGCTTCAGACCCTCGTGAATTCGTTTTTTAACCGAAGCACGATCTTCGGCAACGAAGTATGCGCTTGACAGCCTGGACAATAATCGTGTAGGACAAGCCAGACAATAATCGAGAGGAATCTTTAATAGATATATCTACCTGTCTGGTAAACGGTATCAAATGAACCGAGTCCAACCGAACGTTAGCTTCAGTGGCACCGGGAACTTTGATGGACGGTGAAGAAATTTCGATCGAACCACGCGCCACTATACCATAAGTTGCGATACTACACGATTCTTCGGCGTAATGGAATCGTAACAAAAGAAATGTGCTGTTTTCGAAGAAACCGTATTTTCGTATCACGTGTTCAGGTCCGGCACGCGTTTCGCATCTAAACAGAGAATTTCTGTCAAAATTAGTCTCGTTGGTGAACGTTGGAGACGAAAGCTATCATTGTACTCACTGTTGCGATAACCAGATCGAGTGAAGTCTAGACGGTGCATCGTCCGTTACTGTTGCTCTATCTTCTGTAACGATTCGTTGCACGATCGCATCGCATCGATCTTCCTCCCTTTCCCATTCCAGAAAAGCCGTACGACCAATATCTGATTGCATAAAAACAAAGACGTTACGTTACGTTAATTGGAAACATTAAATTTTTCTATTTTCCCATAATTTAACACTCGAATCACGATCATGGAGCAGAAACAGAAATTTCGAATTTGATATCTCATCCTACTTGCGTAAACACGTACGGTTTCCAATGTTTTTCTTGCGTTTTTAATTGGTATTCCAATCGGATCGTCAGAAAGGCACGATAGAATGCGTGCGATGTTATATGGCAGTGCGTGTATGTACAATAATACGACAAAAGTAGATATCTAGTAAAACTGACAGGGAATTCACACTGTGCCCAACTTATGAGGAAACAGACGAATCGATTATCCAAATATCGTAATTTATTCATAAAACACGTTCAAATTCACTCACCCGTAAATAGACAAAGAATAGAGGCAACGAGGAACGAGAACATATTTTTGCACCCCAATCCGAGATTTTCTAATTTCAATGCTATGTACACCCTATCGATGAAACGTTACTGTCTGCGAAAATAATTCGAACTCGTCTGAATGTAAATCTCGAAGAGACTCGAGTCGTATTCAAGACATCCCAACAGTATATAGCCGTATCCCTTCCCAGGTTTTTCTCCTGGAACAATAGTGAACGCAACGGCATGATTAAGATTCACGATACACACGCTTTGCATTTTTCTCTTCTTGTCTGATTAGCAAGTTTCGATCGTATACGCTCGCCTCTCTTTAAATCAGTATGCGATACTAAAACGTTGTATCGTGATACAAAGCGTAAAATAATCGTCTCCTTCGAGAAGAAAGCTTTTCCTCTTAGTGCCAAAATGGTATTAAATTTTTATAACCCCCCCCCCCCCCCAAATTAGAGTTCATAGATCATCCTCCGAATACTGGAAAATTCAAAAAGAAACATTAGTATTTTTCAACTATGTACATATATATGTATGATACATGAGTAATAAGTTTTCCTGAATTTCTGTACAGTATTTCATATTTTCAAATCGAGAATTGGCAACGTGCAATACGTAGATGTATATACTTATATGTATATCTATATACATATAACCCAATTCTGTGATTCGTACATCTTTTGTAGATTTCCTATAAATATTCTGGTCGATATAATTCTAGCACGGGTATAACAATATTGGTACGACGTAGTGGCTACTTGACTAAAATCACTTCTCTTGCATTCGTCTGACTGCATAATAATGTGAATACTGATCTATGTAAATATGATACTTGACCAGCCTACTCGGACCATCTGAAATTGCTGTCTATACCGGCTAAAGTGAGAGCATTCTCTGACCTAGTGATGTTCAATGGCTTATAACGAAAATAAAGAAACGGGTATGTTTGCCAATGATGTCAGATTGATTGTGAACTTCTAGTGAATCAATGCGATGCTTAAATCATTGTCAGTTGTCACGTTTTCAGTTACAATATGTAGTTTCAATTTTGTTTATATGCCACAATAATATGGCCAAAGCTTACGTAACGCCATCTACGACACACTGTCCAAGCTACTAATTAATTAATACCACTTTTTAGATCATAGATGACGTCAAGACATTACTCTGGGTGCCATCTAGCAGCAAAAGTCTGATATCAATTTGGTCTTCTAGTTTCACGTTTTGTTGTAGATGGTACCATGCGCCTGTTACCTCAGAAGAATTGTTTTTGAAAATATGTAATCGTAATTTGCGTAGTTTTTCTGTACATGTTTATTTTTATAAATCATTAAATGCCATGGTATAAAGAGTAGCTTTTATTTCGGTCAATAACACGCATTGTCAGCTCATCGGAATAGAATGGATAACTTGAGAAGTAGCAAGCGCAACAGTCACGTATATACATGGATTCGAAATTGTCGATTTACCGGGTAGCATGGCTACGTCATAAATTGTACGTAACCAAATCTGAACGTAATAAATTTATTTCTACTCGGCGTAGTTTTATCGTAGAAACGTTCTCACACAGCACTAAGGTCGAAGAACAATTGGGAAAACAGGCTAAAACATCAGTGAAGGAGATGTTTGCATTGGAAAGACGGCGATGGTTATCGGTGAAACTGATTTTAGGTTGGCTTAGATAGAATAACAACACGTGTGCTATAAAGAGGATACTGAAACGCGTCTGCGATGGCTAAACTCTATTCATATTACACACTATGTCCGCTTATCGATCAACAGAATTTACTGGGCGTTGAACGAGATTCGGAAAGTGGATGTGCAATTGTGACATTAGGAAGAAATATTGTGATTCGGTATAAGGTAAATATTAGTGTTACTTTCTCATCGTCTGCTTCCAGCACGGACGTTCGCATAGTTTACATGTTACTCTCTGCCTCATAGCTACAAGACCCAAAGCAATTAAGCAGTTGGACAAGCAAGGATCGATTAACAACGCAAGTTATTTACGACGAAACAACGTGTCGTTATGCAGCAATATTTAACGAGAAAAAATTACGTCTTTGGTCGGAGAACGAAACCGATCTAAATAACATTAGGGGTTACAAATTTCAATCTCCTTTACATACGATTCTTACGTTTGAAACATGTCCTCCAGTGTTGGTACGCAAAGACGGTGCTACTGCCTCGTTAGAATGGGCTGTACAAAATAGAAAATCCTGGAGCAAAGAAGGGATATTAAGGGCGGGTGACAAAATTCTAGACTGTCATTTGATTTGTACAGGCATCAAAGTTAGCTTATGCTTGTTGACTAAAAACAAAGGGACCTACACTTGTGTTGTGGTCAAGCTGAACAGCGAAACTTATTCTCAGGACACAGATCGTGCAAGGAGAATGGAATTGAAGCGAAGGTCGGAAGAATTGGTTGGTTATACCGTGCTTTGCACCAAGAAAACAGCCTGTCTCCTGACACTATGTAAGCGAATATATATCTTCTTAAATATGTACAAATGTCATGCGATATTTAATTACATTGAACTATCCATAAATACGATCTATGTTTCACATTCTTTTGTTAGGGTCCCATGGTAGATTGTACAGCCATTCTTTGATGGAAACTAGCAACGAAGCCAGCTTAAATACATTGGTCGGTATTATCAATAACATCGATACCAAACACCCAGTCGTAATGACTCCATTGAACGAGGCGACCGTGGCAATTTACGGAGCTGACGCTTCGGCAGAAGGAGCCGTATTAATGATCTATAACGTTCAATTCAAGTTGGTACAGGACGCGCAGAAATTGAAATTATATACAAAAGATGCAAAATTGTGGAAAATCGAGGACAAGTTATTATTAGCCGCCAATAGACATCTAGCAATCGCGCCGTATCACTTGGCACCTCAAAAGATAGCGTCTTTGCTTGGTTCGTCGTTGCGCTTCAAAAGTAACGACGAGAACGAGGGGGAGGACGACGATATAGTTGTGATACAAGAGTCGAAGTTAGCGCAGTGGGAAGGGAAGAAACCAGCTGCCTTGAAGCAGATTCCGCAATTAATAGAATCAAAAGACATTGGAACTATTGTATGGTGTTTAAATACATATAAAGACCTGCCAGAGAAATTATTAATCGATCTATTGATCTTTTCTCTTCGGAGTCCTGACAGTACATTCCTACCGACGCAAAACGGTAAGATCAATGATCTACCGAGGACCAACAATTATTATTCGAGAAACGCATTTCTTGATAAAATTTTTAGCCTCACTTATTCCGACGTCTCTTTGGCTACATATCTGAAAAGTGGTTTGAACTTTGACGAAATACTTCGGCTGTTGCAATACTTGATACAAAAGTTAGATGACCGAGAACAAGATTCTCCTTACGACGATCTCGCGCAGGAGCCCGCAGAAAAACAGCTGTACGAATGGTCTAGCCTTTTGTTAGAGTCTCACTATCAGCAGTATGTATTGTCGCGAGATCCGGAAGTGTCGATGCTTCTCAATAAACTTAACTATGTCCTAGACGATCATGTAAGTGTTTATACGTATAGAGTTGCACGAAATTGATTTTATCACCTTGCGAGCTTTATTTTTGCTTCGACGATCAACCGATTTTTATTTCAGCTACGCCTACTAAAAGATATGGAGAACTTGAGACCTCTCTTAAACCGGACCATTAATGGCAAGTCATTGAAATTGTTACAGAAAAATCGTAACAAGTTCTACGCAATAGAGGATATTAAACTTTATTAACATGTAACATAATCTAAGAAATGTAAAGAAATGATGGAAGAGAGATAATCTTCCTCCTCGTTCAAACAGGAAGTTTTTTTTACCATTTTTTCACTCGAGACTTCTTCTTTCAAGTAAAAGAAAAGTCAAAAGTTTTAAAGATTGTGCCGACAGATCAGGAACACACGTAGGTATACAAATTATTTCTAAAACCTGTTACGCACATACCTGTTTGTATTCTTCTCTCTTCAGACTAATAAATACAGTATGTGCATGCGTCTTGTCTTCGTAGGCAAAAGAGTCACGTGTAATACCTGCACTCAAGCCTGGACCATCTTGTGACACTTCATAAAAAAGCACACACTATAAATTGTAGCACATTAAATCTGATTACTCGTTCAAATCCACAAGGGATCACGGGTAGACACAACACACCGCATAAACACTAAAGAAACGAACTCAAATTAAAACAAAACTCACTATAAATAAATTAAATTAATACCATAAAAATATTTGAGGGCTGTTTCACGTCTAGGCTGTTGCACCGAACTAAAAAACGTTACTCGAATCCTCCACCCTTTTCTTTCAAGGGACTCCAGCGTATGCGCCGTAACCACTATGCCCTGCGTTTACTGCTTGTACGCAGATTACCTGGTTCAGACCCCAATTTTTGATTGTTCATAATTTGAAAACGAAGCCTCCAAGACAAGTTCGTCATTCGTAATTTGTCCTTTACCTTGACATCTAGAATCCCCCTTAAAATTTCTGATACCAGTAACCGAACACCCTGCATAACTATACTCTCACCGAATATTTGACGTGATAAAAAACAAAGCTGATAATAAAGATGTTTTATTTCTATTCGTATCTACAGAGCGGTTTCGTTCACTGCGAGGAAACACGTACGCTACTGGAGCATTTCGTGAGAATCCGTATCGGTAACGTGACGCGTATTTTACGTTTGACTTTTAACAGCGAGAAGAATCTGTGTGACTACGCTGTGGGCGTTACTCGCATCTTTGGAAGTATAGATTTTAGATTTATTTCAATTGATCGAGATATGGCACAGTCTTCAAGTCACCAATAGCAGCCATGGATAAACTTCCACTAACTAGTTTTTGGCCAACCTGGAACGAGTTTACAATAAGTCACACCAGGTAAAGGAAAAATGATCAGTTATACTTTATCGTAGTAAGTAGGTGGACCATGTCGTCACAGTATACGTACAGATTTAACGTCAGACGCCGAAACTTTTTCAATATTAGCAATTAACGATGCCGGTCCGGAAACCTGACCTTTGAACAAAGCTTGATATTGTAAACTCTCCAATACAGCGAACCCGCTGTCCGCTTGGCTCAATACTTCAGCCTTCAATATAGCTTTGCCGCGAGCAATATCACTGTCGGATAACTTTAAAGATTTCAGCCATTCGCAAGCGGCACTTGTTAACTAAAATAACATTAACGCCGACATGAAAATTAGGTTCAAATAATAACCTGCAAGGTGTTCGAAGTTTTATTGTCTGTACTTACGGATTCCGCTGTATTAGGTGAAGAGCATAAAATGAAACCGAACAATCCTGAATCGGAATAACTAGCATTAAACGTTGACAACCCAAATGGCTCAGAGCCAGCATTGCTAGAGACTTGTTTGTACAATGGACCTACATCCTGACCCCACTTAACGCGTGTTCCGGTACCACAGGCTCTTTGAAGTACAGCGCATGCCAAAGCATCTTTCTCATTCTTCAAATTTACGCCTTCGACAGCCACTGCTACGGTGGTTAGCTCACTAGCACTCTCCTTACGAAGTTCTCCACCACCATATCGCGATGGTTCGACCGCACGATCTTCTGTACCAATTTCCAAATTATTTGCAAGGGCAGTGAGTTCCGATAATGGAACACCGGTTCCTACAACTGCACATTTAGGTCCAGTAAACCAGGTACTGACAAAGTGTTGGAGCTAGAAGCGAAAAGTTCAGTACCATGGTTAAATAGTTGAAATATTGGCTATGAAAGTAACTTCACAGGAAGAAACTTACAGTTTCGGAACCAATTTTTCCCAACTGATGCTTAGGAGAAAACAAGGAGTATCCTAATCCGGAGCGGAACGCGGCTTTGTGCAAGAGCTCCAAAATTAGAGTTGTGTCTGGTATAGAAGCCAATTCATACTCCATTCTAGGTAACTGGTCTGATACCTCCCATGGTTTAAAAACTTGTTTGGTGGCAACATGTTCCAAAAATTGAAGAGCCTCCGACCTGTAAAAAAACATATTGGTCTATGGAACGCGTACAAGTAGGCGAACATTATATTGCGCCAGAAATTATTTACAAGTTATTTCTAGTGATCTGCAGCGTGTACGCGATACTTTCACGATCGACAATCGCAGTTAAATTGCCGCCTAGCTGTTGAATATTCCTTGTTATGGCAAAACCGCTCGAGCAGGATGTACTTAAACCTGCCGCTATCCGCAAAGTATGAGTGACACCTTGTGTATCGTATGTTTCGTTTCGTGATCCAGCTCTGAAGATAAAAAGGTTTGTGTGAGAAAGAGAAAATTAATGGACATGGATCTGTTTTGTTATTGTTATTGGACATGAATGTCAAATACCTGAAAACTATAGACACCTGGGCAATGGGCGAGTTACTGTCCTGAGTGGCAACAGTGACTTTATTGCTCAGAACTTGACACTCAGGAGCAGTGGCATGTACAGAAACCTGGGCAGTCGCTGCAGCTGCATAATGCCTAATCTATATGAAATACAAAGAAAACCGAGTCGAAAATATATATCATTCTATTTCCCTTTTATTTCTACTTGTAAGGGATATGCACTTCGAACTTCTATATCTGAAAAATGTATGAAACAGTATAGAAATTTCGACGTGATAATGGTTGTGAAATTATAAACAGTAAATACAAAGAGTGTCAGAAATGTTAATTACTGAAATAAAATAACTTTTTAACGCGATCCTGTTCTATGTAACACATAAGAAAGAGCTTGACACAGGAGGATAGTGAACCGTTTACATAACAGCCATGGGACAACCGTCTGGCAGTCGGTGAATTTAAAAGCCATTCTTTTGTTATTTAAATGAAAGCGAAGGAAGCGTATAATAATTACCGTGGAACCACGTAGCAACGATGACCGCACGACCGAACAAGCCATTTTCTCCGTACTCGATCACTCGAAAACTTTTCAGTCGGAGCAGAATACGGAACGTCACCGACTCTATGAATTTCAAGACTGCGTTCACAGATTATAGATGGCCAAAATATTAGTGGCGTCATCTAAAATCAAGGAAAATGCACTAATCAGCTAGTTGTTTGGACATTCTTTTGTAGATGGCATCACGGGTTTAAAAAAAAAATATAAACGTACTTTAGTACATGTATCAAAATTTAAACAGAAACGTTGATATATATTTTCAGTTCACGAACAGATCGCACAAAAAGAATATTGTTAAATTACCATTTTAAGGATGATGATTACAAGAAAGGCAAGATGGTAATGTGTATTTTCTATTTTATTCTATTTATTTCGCTTATGACGGTAATGAAATCGATACAAATGTATTCCGTGCTATATTTGTACTCGTGAAGATTGTAATTTAAAATTCTTCCTCGTTACCATAATTACAGATGGTACACGTACAGATGTATAAGGACAGAAATTTGTTCTTTTTACTTAAAATAAAAGAGGCGTACGTAAAGAGACGCTAACAGGCGGTACAGAATCGATTGAAACACGGTGTCTTGTCGGAACGTTAAATAGAATTTAAAAGAGAAAAACAAAGAAGGAACTATGTCGACAAAGATACGATTTGTCGATAAATTTGTCGGAACGTTGAATAGAATTTAAAAGAGAAAAACAAAGAAGGAACTATGTCGACAAAGATACGATTTGTCGATAATACATACATACATACATACTTACAAAGGTACATACATACACACATGCATACATAGTAAAAAAAAAAATTAAAAACTCATTGCATTATCGAAGAACGAGTGGTGACAAATACATATGTACCTCACTTGAATATGCATCCCACATACATATATACATACATACATCCATCCGTACATCTATGTACCTAGGTATCGTAACATGCTTATGAACATTCTTCAAGTAATACAAAATAAACGTTGAGTTTTTAAAATACACGTACAGTGCAATTGTTGCAATCAATGTCTCATCAATTTGGCACAGAAGTTCCACGATTCCGCGATCTTTGGTTCTGAGAAACGCTTAGCAAGAAGACTCGAAAAGTTGGAAGTTACTCGCAACTCGTTACGAACTTTGCAACTGAGCTCCATTCACATTCCATCATTTCTGATTCATACGAAACTGACTTCACGATCGAAACACTTCCATCGTTTTTTCAGTTGAAACACGGTGAAGTATCCTGAAGAAATTTATTCGGTTCTGTATGACAGCTCACTTGCAATCTCCGCGATACAATAACCGTAACTAATGCATATTTCTTATAGGTGCATACTATATGACTAGAATAAAAACGAACGCTAAAGAGTTCTTGTCGTTATGTAGATGTACTTACAACTATAATTAGGCAACTCGCTTAACTTATTCAGCGAATTCCAACTGCCTCGATTGATTGAAATGATCATTTGGGACACTTGTCAGGAAGTGAATACTGTTAACGAACAAATTGAAGTTCTTTTGTAAATTCGTTTAAATTTGATTGACGAACGATTCCATATTACGACGATCATTACGACAGATGTCGATGATCAATAAAATAGTGTTGTTCTAATATTGACGAACCAATTACAGATAATTAAAAAACAATGATTAGGCATGTACATATTAAAAGTTGAGCGGTAACTCGCAAAAGGCATCGATCGCTGCGGAAGAATCTAATTAGCCCTTAAAAGAAAGTGTAAACGTTACGTCGAATTTTGCACTGTCCAGGGAATATGTCTCAAATACAAGCACGCGCTCCAAGAGCTGAATACTTGAAATACATTTTGATCCATGGGTTGTAGCTTTAGTCGCGGAACGCATTTCACTCTACGATTTTGTTTATAAATATCTTAAAAAAATAACATTCATCTGAAAAATAACAAATACACATCACGTTTCACTATACAATTTTACGACGATCGTGTTCTACCGGTCGACTAATTCGATCGTGTAAATGTTTTAAACGTCTTAGCGATTCGACGGCCCTACCGTAACTGGTTTCTTTTTTTTTACATTTGTGCGCCTCTCTACTGCGAACTTGTACTTTCATTCGAAAGGTGAGGATTTTTACAAATTTTTAACGCGTCTAAAATTAAATCGCGGTTATTCTGTAAACATCCGGGACCAGAGACGCGATCAAGTCCCGATAATCTCTGATCAATCTCCATGATCCATTAATATTCTTAAAACGACGAGCAAAAACCGTTACAGCAAACATTAAAAATTTCATCTTAAATGCGGTAACAAAAGAAAGGGAATAGCTTGCGACTCTCATTAGGGAATGACAACATCCCGATTCCACAGTCCCAACGACTATTCGCAAGTAATACGTTCTTATTGCAGAAATTCATTCGACAAAGCTCTACAAAAAGAAAGGAAAATTGCAAGAATGTCTATGCAACCGTAAAACAAAATGTAAAAAAGATTAAAAATAAGTAAAAAAAGGGGTGGGAGTATTGCATGGAGAAAAACAATTGTGCGAAACAGAGAAGAAAGGAGAGTCAAGAAAACAGAAGAGAAAAGTTACGAATACTGGTGAAGCTAACTAATCGCTAACGAAGACTTCTCGAGTGAGCAGGAAAAGGCTGATTGAATTTATCAATAATAGCCAGTGTAATGATGGTATGCTGGCCTAGGTGGATGATACGGTGCAGGGCTCACGGGGTAACTCGGATTGTATCCTGATAAAGGTGGCGGTGGTGAGGTGGAAGACAAAATTCGACCGGCCACCACGTCAGGTACTATATGCTGGGCACCAGAGCCTGTCGGTTGAGGACTCGTTATAACGCGTGCTCCAGGCCCGTGCAGATGGTGAGACCTCGTCAAGGTGAGATCAACGGTGTGCCTACCGCCAGGAGTGAGATCCAAACTTACGACTCTCAAAATATCGTTATGAGGATAAGGCGGAGGAGGCGGAGGAGGAGGCGCAGGTGGTGGAGGCGGTGGGGGCGGTGGCGGCGGAGGAGCCACGACAGAGGGAGAAACAGATGATAGAGGAGGCGGTGGTGGTGACAGTGGTATCGGTGTCGTCACGGTTACAGAGGTGGCAACCGATTGTTGAGAGGCTGCCGAAAGAGGCGGTGGTGAAAGCGAATAGCTACCAGTTTTGCTGAGATCGACGCTTTGTCTTTCCGTGATTTCATACAAATGATGGTGATACCTCGTAGTGTTTTGCATTTGTACACCGAAACCGTGATGAAATCCCCTCGCCGACATATCCAAGCCTTGTAGCTCACCGCCATTCAAAACAAGGGGCTCGAAGCTCGACCTTTCCCTTGGAAAGTTTTCGTCCATGACGTCGTATTTGTACGACGTCGAAAGATCCAACTGCATCGTTTTTTCTTTCACGGAAAGGCTAAGATTTTGCACCACGGCGTCACCTTCGTCGCTGGACAAATTATCGGCGGATACCGACGGATGATGATGATGATGGTGGTGATGATGGTGATGATGATGCACATCTGGATACCTGGAATTCGGTGTTTCCGAGGGCGATACTAAATCATCCTGCTGAATGTGCGCTCTCGGTGTACTTCCGATGTAATCAACCGATCGATGCAGCTGGTAATCAACGTGTAAATGAGAAGGTGGAGTATTTCGGCTGTCCGGTGTAGGCGCCGGTGACATCAATTCCTCTTGTTGCTGTATATAAGACTCCAAGTGATTCGGTGATCTTTGAGGTAACGGGGATTGCAACTGGCTGGATATCGAGTACAGATTGGTATCGCGATCGTTATCCTCCAACATTGGACTAGATACAGCTCCAATATCTCTTTCAGCAGCATCGAGGGCAGCTTCAACCAGCAGACTGGCGTTTGCACTTTCGGTTCTTCTATAAACGCTAAGTCCTATTTTACCGTCCTCCAGAACGCTTTGTGATCTCCCTGTTTCTGTCGACAACGGTGGTGTTTTCTCGTCCATATCCTTTCTCCCGTCTTCAAACTCGTAAACGTTTCCGGTAACAACGCTTGTCGTTGACAAACGTGAAATCATAGTGTTCGACGTTACAGTTACATTCAACGCTGTCGAAGGAGTGAATTCACCGAGCCACTTTTTACTGCCTTTACTCTGCAATCTCGACGTACCGTACACATCCGCTTCTATACGAACGTTCTCCATTGTTGACTCTAAAGCGGACGACTCTAAAACGGTCGACGTTAACGGCGGCGTTAAAACGCGTAAATTATATTCCCCTTTGTACTTGCTCACAGAATTTGATCCACACTCGATTATATTCGAGTGAGTTGTATTATTCGACGCTTCAGTCTTCAACTTTTCTTCAAAACTACCATTATCCAAAGACGTCAGGCTATCGCTGTCTTGCTGTAAATGTTACATAGAAAAACTGAAGTGGAACGCGGACCAACAAAGTCTGCACGACAAATATCTACTATTTCCGCAAGCACAAACCTGATTTTTTCTGCCTGGTCGAGGAGTCCTCCCGCGGCCGACATCTTCGACGAGTCCACCACTGTACGCGTCGAAAGTGTACGCAACGGATCGTTCGATCTTCGGCATCATCTCCTCCGAGAGACCGTGCACTTTTTTATAATGGAACTGTAAGCACTGTTTCGTAGTAAAAGCTGCTTTGCCACCACTTTTCCTACACCTGAAAACCAGACGAATCATCGAATCATGATAAAAACAATTAGACAGAATGTCAAAAGTATTTTCGATATTATCGTTTCGTGAGTCTTACTTGAACGGTTTTACACCGCTGTGCGTTAACATATGTATTTTCAGGTTACTCTTGTTTTGAAACATTTTTCCACATCGATCGCAAGTCGCGGCACCAACTACATCCTTATGATGAACTTCTTTCATGTGACGTTGAAGAGCGGCACGAGAACCCAGAAGTTTCAAGCAAAGCTTACACTGAAACTCCCGGAGGACCTCCGACATATCTAAACGCAACGAATTTATGAGAGAATACAATTCGAAAACTCGATTGAATTATATCGGAGTCGCGTGTAGCTCTTACCGCTGTGCATTCGTTTGATGTGTACTTTCAGCTTTTGCGGTTGACAAAATTTGCGTCCACAAAAATCGCACAACGGTCGTGAACGCTGAGGATTTTGCGCACACCCGTATGTTCGATGCATCTCGAGATAATTCAAACGTAAGAAGAATTTTTTACAATATTGGCATTGATATGCTCCTCGACCCGCGTGCAATTCTGCCGCGTGTTTCATTATGTTGTCCTTACCGAGAACAGCAGCTCCGCATACCTAGAAAATACAAAGCGCGTGTTCAGTTATCTGGCTATGCAGTTGAATATGTTAAGATACATGAATCGTCTCAAATTTGAAAATCATTTAAACAAAGTACAACACTAATTTAATTATACTTACCTTACAATGATACTTTCGTATCGTCAGACTGTAGTTCGTGTCATGGAAAATGCAACAGTGCAGGCGATAATATATCGGATGGGTGAAATTCAAATTGCAACCCCCGCAATCTAAACACACGGAAAAGAAACATGCGTTTCATTTAATTGGCAATTGAACGTTTTATCGTTTTCTTCGCAACATTCACCATCGATGCTGATATTGACAAAGATGATACCATACTCGTTTTGTCTACTTTATTCTTTCTCGTCCAAGCCGAAGATTGTGAATCCGCCCAGTATGTCAGTTCCGTTCCAGATACAATATTTTGAGTAGTAACTAGGTGCAGTTCCCCTCGCTTCGTAATTACAGCCACGCTCCTTTCCTCCTTTGTTTCCGCTGGCCTAATGTAACGGATCCAATTACTTCGTAGTGGATTGGTGGTACTTATGTATGATGTTTTACCATTGTTACCTATCTAAAGAAAGAAACAAAAGAACAAGACGTATCGTTTCATGAACAGGATGTCACTGAATATTAGTACTAACAATGATGAATATCACGCAAATTTTACCTCCCAAATGTGTCTCATAGAAGAATCATCAGGAATATCCATCTCCTTCACTGGCTGTCCCACAAGGGGGCCCAGTTTTACGTGCATCGGGACAGTGCTTTTCGCATATATTCCGAGGCCGTGTTCCGAATTGGCAATCCTTAATTCCAAACAATCGGGCAAAGAGTCTCTGGCGTACAATGGTCGATCATTATTCAGAATCAACAGCTTTTCCTCCTTCTGAGTTTTTGTCTTTGCTTTACAATTGTCCATCGACGAAGAATCATCGTCCGATTCGATATTATCTTCGCCAGTTTGGTCATACCCCTCGGACATGGGGTCGTCGCATTTTACGGCTTGTAATAGTTCTGTGTTCTCCTTGTTCCTTTTTAACCAATCCTCGTACGATATGGAATCAGGAATCGCGTACTGTGGTGCGCTCAATGGACAGGCATCCTGCAAGTGACGACTGTTACATTCCTGGCAGAGTTTGATTTTAATAGCTACTCTTTGCGGCTCGGAAATTAAGGTTTCAATGCTTGGTTCGCTGTGCGATTTCGAGACTGCAGTAACATCGTCCGTTAAAGAACAAGCGTCTCCACGGTCTTGTACGATTATTCCGTCTTGCGGCGCTTTCCTTACGTCGTGGTGCTTACGATTCCTGTGTTCGCCAGTATGTTTATGCCTTCTCTTTCTATGTTTATGCACAGAATCCTCTACAAGATCCTCCGATGAGTCTCCCTTCGTGGTTTCGTCCTCTTCCCCTTGCATGTCATATTTCAATCGTCTGCGTCTTTTCTTTAATTTTCGATCGTCCGTTTCTAGTACTGAGCTTACATTCAAGCTGGCTGAATTTACAACCGAATCACTTTGTTCTCTATGACTGACATAACAAGAGCTACTTAAAACATCTCCATCCTCGTCTTCTATGTCTTCTAACTTTGCATCTTCGATACGAGAAGTTGTGTCCGATGTGTTTATCATTTGGTCTGAGAGCATTACGCTAGAATTATGTTTAACAGCAGGAGATATTACTGAACTATTTGACTCTGATGATTCTTTCTTTGTACCAATGGATATAATATTTTCCACGTCCGCATCTTTGATGTCAGAGTAAAGGGTATTTTTATCTGTACTTACATTCTCTATGAATTCTATATTATCTACATGTTCAGTCTTTAACAAAACAGATCCCACTCCTCCAGTGGTAACCTGAAGACTATCTTCCAAGTTTGTCACAATACTGTTCTTACGTATGAGTCTAGAATTACCTTTCTTTTTGGGAAGTAATCCCTCTTCACCTGACAGCGTATCATTTGATAATGGCTTTACAGTTCCTATCGACACAACAACATCAATAGTTTTCAAATGTCGTTTCTTTCTTCGTTTATCTTTGTGATGCTTAACTTTATTCTTGTGATGTTTGGATCTCGTACTGCATTGAGTATGTAACTCTATATCTTTTGACACAGTTGTTAACGCTGTATTCCCAGAGGATATTTCAAGTTCAGTAGCAACACTGTAGTTTTGTTTTCTTAAGCTTCGACGCACAGATTCCCGTGTTTCTTCTATCGGAACACCGGTCGACGTCGTTTGCGTTTTGTTCTTCCTTGTCTGATCTGTTTCTCCTTCCCCTTCACCATTGCACATGCCACTGTAATAGAATATACGGATCAGATTCAAATTTAAAGACAGTATAAAATTGAAAACTTTTAATTCACGAAATCTCTGACAGTACAAAACTGTAAATATACATATGTCATACATGTGACAAAGTAATTCTTTACCTAAACGTAATCCACGCCAATTTGACATTCCGTCGATTTCCTTACGCTTACCCAAAAAATCGAAACCGGTGAACTTAAAGAATCGACAATTATACTCTCCATAAACAAAAGATTATTGATTACTTTTATATCCGACGTCAACCCCGCAAGATGGCGATTCGGGTAAGGCACGAGCAGAGTAGAGGGGAAGTCCCCCCGTCGTCGAGTGACAAGAAGCGTTCGTGTGTCAAAATAGTTTTTGCAACTCGGACAGAATGCCGGCGATAAGCGCGAAGACTATTCAGTTGAATTTATGCAAAGAGAAAGAAAAACAAAAAAGGAACCGAATAGAACGAAACGATTTATTCTGATCATACCTGGAAGCGGATTCGGCAAGATCGAGGAGATAAACCGCAACATCTTCATCCGTTGACAGAGCCAAGCGTTTTTTCAGAGACGACCAACGCTTGCCGTTGGTAAGGCCGATGCGAACGGTGCGAAATCGTCTGGTTTCCTGTTCCGGCACAACACCAGGATTATTGGCTTTATCATGAGAACTTCTCGTTGACCCCAACTCTCTCGCATGTCTTGTACTTTTCTTCGGCATCACTACATCATAGATCCGCCGGTATTAAAGCGGCGAACTTGAAGCTACCGCGGAGGTCGCGCACCGATATTATCCTATCCTCTTTATGCTCACCGCCTAACCACCGCCGCCCACTCCGCCCGCTCCACCCACCCTCGCCGCACACTACCCCGAACAACCACGCAACCTCTCGCACCCACCACGCGCGTCATCTATTTCCCTTCTGCTTGTTCGTTATTCTACTTTCCTTTCCTATACTCCACGCACCCCGTCCCCGCGATCATCCTCTTTTATCGATCCTGCTGCCTGCGCTTCATTTCTGGACATGCACCTATCCTACGAGTTCGTTTATACATATACATACGTGGATACACCTGTTTACATACAATTCACATACATATCTGTACATGTGGTTGGTTCATACATATATGGTATGTATGTACGCACGTATCGAATATAAGCACTTACATCTTGTATGTATGTAATGTTCATACAGGTATATTCATATACATCGTACAGCTCTCCTTATTCTAGTATTGATTCGAGTGAAAATTTTGCTTGCAAACGGGTATATCGGAAAATATTTTGTGAACATATAGTACTTATCTTGACCACGAATGGACATCTTCTTTTGATAATCTGTATATAAATCGTTTGTTCATTCGAGGAAAACTTTTGTAATCTTATTCATTCTATGCTATTTATGTTTACGTAAAGATCAGCGAAACCAAACTTTTTAAAGCCACTATTTCCTTTTCGAATCATGCATACACCGTGCATGCATTATACCCCATCACCGCTGATAAACAAAACAGTTGATCCATTCCACTCTCCGCTGCCAAGAGTCAGCAACCGAATCGACAGAGCGCTCTCTCCCGCTTTCTTTCTCTTTCTCTTACGCCACGATGTTTAATGGTTGTGTAATTGAAAATATAAAAAAATCTGTTAATTATAACTGCCTATTTTTTCCGATATTAAATTGTTTGTTGAATTCCCTAGGATCAATGTAGTCCATATGCAATTGTCAGTCGTGGTGTTTTTAATTAATACCAGTCTATTAATTACTAATTTTTTACCTGTAATGATGATGTTCAGAGACCTATGACCCCATCTATGATGAAACGCACGAACCCGAAACCAATTAGTACCTCATTTTTATTGTGAGATGGCGAGACTGTATAATTTCATTAATATTTTTTTCAATAAAAAAAATTAGACAACATGATAGCGCCATCTTGTGACAATAGTAGGATATTAATTGGCTACTGGTTGAGCGTTTTGCTGTAGGTAGTGCTACGTGTCTTTTCCACCATACGTATCATTGCCAGTAAAAGAATTATATACATTGGGAACGCTACTTCGATTATTATTAATTAGCACCGCCGATTTAAGAGAATGCAACGAATAAACTGATGTACGTATTTTTCGTAACACGTACACCGATGTTAAAGCATATTACATATCGGTGAGTATCACAGCAAGAGAGAGAGAGAGTTGGCTCTCATTTTGGCTGATGACTTTTAGCTTGTCAAAGTCAGGTGGACTGGCTCTAGCCGTTCAAATGCGCTTTAGATGGATTTAGATTTACAGCAGAAATCGTTTAAAGTTACAATCTCAAATGTTGTTGTTTGCAAAGTAAACATTATTGTCTTAAATGTTAAAAATTTCAACGTGTATGCTGTTCAGAACGCGACGTGTATAATTCAGAAAGCATACATATAATATGTGACGTATACATATACATATACATAGGTATTTATATACATATACATACGTTTGTTACATCCTGCCTTATTTATGCTCGACTTCGTTCTGATCGTTTAAATGTGTGTTTCGCCTATAAAAATGACGACATTTATGCTATGTTGACAAACCTGTTTAATTTAATAGTTCGAATATACTGACTACGTAGGTATGATGAGCGATAAATTGTGGAAGAGTCGCACTTTTAGGCTGTCGTGCTGTAATTACGATTTTTATGAGATAAAAGTGCAACCAACATCTTGCGGATCGCTTTGTTTTCCTCACTCTGTTTGTAATCTTTTAGTCTGGACCGTCACTGTGGATTCATAATTCATCGAATATTGTATGAAATAATATTGCGTTCTATGGATTGTAAGAATTACCTTCGATGATTTAACCTCGAAATAACTTGCGCTCCGCGTTCACAAGGATATGCTCGTTTATTCGATTTTAATACATTAATATGCAACGTAAGTTATTCAAGTTTTTATTCATCAGAAACTTTTTTCTTGTCAATCTACGGTTATATTCTTTGATTCTCTCTTATCATAGTTTTAGTTATAACAAACTATGAGTTGGTTTGATGCCACTGGATTTGCCAATTTGGCGAAATCTGCTTTAAAAGAAGCTCAGAAAACAATTGATAAGGCATTGGATATCAAAGAAGAAGAGGATCAGAAAGTGGTGGAAGGTTGTACAAAAGACACCTCGGAGTTTTTTGCATCGTGGGGATTGAAGAACGAAGAGAACGTGGATCACTGTGATAAAAGCAAAGAGTCAAAGCAGGAAACAAGTAGCAGTATATGGGGAAGCTTTACAGGGTCCTTTTTCGAAACTCCAAAAGGCAAAGATGAGGAAACTGATCAAAAACAAATAACTCATTCGAAATCATTACAAAACACACGTGCTGTACATAATCAAGAAAGGAGGCTCACATCTTCATTGTCCTTCCCCGAGCATTATACAAGTGAAAATCTGTCCAAGGATGCGAAGCACACAGTCAGGGAATGTACAGAGAAAGAAACCCTCGGTCACGTTTCAGATGATCACAGCCAAGATTCTGTTTCCCACCTGTCCATGGGTTTGCAGTCTTCGAATAGAATTATTCCGAAGAATACGACTTCCCATATGGACGATACAATGAAAGATTGTGATCCAAGTGGCAGTACAGAGAAAGAAGCCTGGATCGAATGTTTATTAAACAAAAATGACGTCACAAACGAGCGGACCAGCGAACCAGAATCCGAGGGAAATGATGTTTGTGAACAAGAATCGACGATCGAGGATGACGCGACAAACAGAATGTCGTTCGTGTCGTCGGAGAATGATAAGAAGAGTCTAGAAAGCGTTGAAATTCTTGGTTCCCGATCGAATACAGATTGCACCACCACTCCAGAGTCGGACGATAATTCCCTTAGTAATTCGGAAAGTCCCTCCGGCACGGGTGCCAAACTGAATTCCGAATCTGTCGAAATCTTACCGGACAGTCTGGTTACATCTCCGAGTTCTGTGGAAATTTTGGGAGATTGGAAAAGCGATAGCAGTCCTTACCTGTCGCCGATAGATCCGCGGCGTTCCGAGTTGTCTTCCGTGCCGGATAGAGACGACTCGGTGACACCTTGCTGGGAGGATAGTAATATCGATCCGATTGCGTCCAAAGATGATAGTCAAGCGGAGTATCCGTCATCCTCGGACATTTCGCCGTACGAATCGCCGATAAGCGAGGATGCCAACACACCGCACGATGATTTGTGCGCAAGTAGCGTAGAGAGTACACCGTCGACAAGCACGTATCCAGGGGATCTTGGAGCTCATTTGAGCAAATCTTCGTCATCGTCCGGATGTCAAAACGTAAAAGCTTTCGTAACGGAGCACGTGGAAGCGATAGCGTATCAGGACGAACCAGACGAAGCAAGTCTGGCCGAGGATTCTTATACATCTGCCTCGGAGAGCATCGTCACAACTGTATTCGAAACGCTTCAACAAAGGACCGCCGAGCATACGAAAGCTAAAATCGAGATGCCTGCTGGCGTGTTGCTGAGCGGAAAAATGCACGACTCCTGCCCAAACGGTAAACAAGCGTCAACAATAAAAACATGTACAGAGACGCATCTCAACTTGAGTTTGGATTCCCTCAAAGAGAAGCACAATTTACATTTGCCAATCGAGGCAATCACGACCCAACCGATTCGTAAATCGGCGGAATATCTCGACGGGACTGGTAAAATCGTCGAGACAGATCGAAGCAGTTACGATCGGCTGATAAACACTACTATAGAACCAGCAGAACCGGAATCGGAACCGGTAACGGTACAGGTAACAAACCGCGAATCGGAACAACGGTATTCTTCGGAAGATGTTTCGCTACCGCATACATCCAAGTCTGACGCGATGGATGTCGTGGATCAGTATCTAATGTCAACGGATTCGAGTTGCGAAGGAACCTTGATTGAAAGTAGTTCCGAGGATAATCCGTCGTCGATTCAGAAAACTGATGGAAAAATGATTGAACCACCCTTAACAGCTAGCTCTTATGTGAAAACAATGCTAGCGGATGCTATGATCGAAAAGGGCGGTGGAAGTGGTGGCAGCAGTGGCGGCGGCGAGATCGGCGAGATCGCGGAGATCGCGGAGATTGAAGTACAGGGTGTAGATATGCCCCGAGAAAATTCTCCTACTTCCTCGGAAAGGTATTTCCCGTTTGATAAAAATATAAATTCTATGGAATACTGTAAATTCTTGATAAGTGTTCGAAGGCTACTCGACACTGACAAGGAGAGGTCCCCAGGTGTAACGCTGACTTTTTTAATGAGGTTCAGCACAGTGATAGAGCCAGGAATTATGAAGCTATTTATTTCAGCCGCGTATGGCAATTAGTTTATAAAATATTTAATGCTCAGTGCCGAGGAACCAACGAACACTCATCTAGGATTTACTGTACATAACAACGTTGCCAAGCTGTCGTTCGAAGGAAAATTTAGATTTATTGTGTTTGCTTTGCAGTCGGTCCGATTTAGTTAAAATTGGTTCTGATCAAACCAGTGGTCACACCAGTGGGGACGAATTGGAAACAACAACCTCCAGTGACATTGAAATTATATCCAGGTATAGGTATGACTCTGATACACATCGATTCGATACGTCTCTTAATGTACACGCTTTCTGTGTAATGGGTTTTCATCGCGCAATTAGGATTTACAAAATTGATAACGGAAAACATTTGTTTATTTGATAAGTCCAAATGGCGATTCGAGTTCGACACAATCACGGCAGAGTCACACAAGATCGCAGTCGGCAAAGGGTAGCGATCTCTTGACGAAAACTTTAAAAGCCAGAGGACATTCCAGAGAATTGAGCGAAATTAGCGTAGGATCGGACGAAGCGAACCTCGAGATAGAAACATTGTTGAAACGTATACAAGAGATGACGGAAATCTTAGAAGCTAGAGAATCGAAACTCATCGACGTTAGCAGAATGAATATGGAATTGCACGAGCAGAATAACAATTTGAAAAAGTAAGTTTTACGCGTCATGATACATGACGACACCACATCTCGTTTTCTTTCACTTTTCTTTGTCCAGTAATTTTGTTTCGTTAATTTACGTTTCGCCATTCCTACCAGACAGCTGGATAATTTTGAAAAATGCGCGGAGCAAAGTCAGAACTTGAATCAAATCGCCGACGAGTACACCCAAAGGCTGTCTGCGTTGGAAAAGAAATTTCAACAAGCGATACGAGAACGGGATTCATTGCGGAAGAACTTGGAACAGTTGAAAATGGAAGCAGCCACACGCTTATCGTCCCAGGAGATGTTTACGTTGAGCGCTGAGAAGGATGAGATCATTAAAGAGCTGCGGGAAGAAGGAGAAAAGTTGAGCAAGCAACAGCTTCAGCATAGTAACATTATTAAAAAATTACGAATCAAGGAGAAGGATAACGATGCGTTAATAAAAAGTCAAAAGTACGTGGGCATATTTGTCAGACGTAAATGATACTTTATGGTATGGTTGTAACGCGATACTTTAACGTCGAATGTCCATAGGGTATTGCTAGAAGAACAACAATTGGAGTTGGAGCGTCTGAAAAAATCTCTGCATGCAAAAGAAGAAGTTGAAAGAGTTCAGATAGAGGCTGTCCACACGTTGACTGCAAAAATGAAGAAGCAGGATAAGGAGACTTTAACGTTACAGGAGAAATTGGACACCGCTTTACATAAGATGGACGCTTATAAGAAAAGTTTGGATGCGGCGAAAATGTAAGTGGCAAATTCTCAACCTATCTTTGGCCTGCCGCCGCCACATTTCACCAAATACTTCTCTATTTCCCGATTCCTTCAGGTGCCCGCCTCGGTGCCGATTTTGTCCTGTGTACATGTTAATTGTACCGTCCTATTTTTCAGAGATTTAATCGAAACAAAGAAACTTTTAGAAGTGACAGAAGCGGAATTGAAGGACGCTTCGAACAACGCTGGAGAATCGTGCCAGCTGCTTGCACAAGTGGAAGAGTTGAAAATTAAGTTACGAGAGTCCGAGGAAATGCGCGTTAAGTAAATGTCTTGAAATCATAATGATAAGTTGTAACGCTAATTAAACTGTACCACCGCGTGTCTGATTCCGGATGCAGATTCATTGTACTGTTCTGCATTTAGAAAAGAAGAGTTTCTGAAACACGAAAACGGCCAGTTGTTGAAGCGTCTGGAGGCAGCCGAAGCCAGAAGCGAAGATCTCTCCGAGTCGGTGACAATGGCCACGAAACCTTTGCTGAGACAGTTGGAACAGCTTCAAGCGAATCTGTCGCATAAATGCAGTAACTTCATGAAGCAGGAGAAAGCATTGTCGGAAAAGAACATCGAGTTGCAGACAAAAGTGGAACACTTGGCGGAGGTGGATCGCTACTTGAAGGAAGAAAATGTGAATTTAAAGTCGAAAATATCCCAATTAGAATCGAAGCTCACCGCCAAAGAGATCGAGATATTGCGATTGCAGGAGTTGTACGACGAATTAACGGTAGAGAAGGAGAGACTAGTCGAAGAAAATGACCGGTATGGAAGTTTACATTGGTTTATCCTATTCATTGTTTCGGATCAACCGATCTTATGACGTCGGCATCATCGGACTTGTTTTTCTAGGCATCGACGAACGATAGAAACACTCGAGCAGTCGCATTCTTCGCAAGTAATGGAACTGAATAGGGAGATTGTAGCATTGGAAAACAAATTAGCTGTAGAAAAAGCAGCCACGAGTGCAGAGAAACGAAAGAATCACGAGACGATGGAGCAAAGACGAAGCATTGCTCGAAACGAGCCGCTGAATGTTCCCATCGATACTAGCGATGATCAAGTCACTGGAAACGTAATGGACACTACCTGGCCGGTAACATTTGAATACAATTTAAAAAAAAATGTCTTGTACGCAGTTTGTAAAATTATATCGAATTGATTTACTTTTAGCTGTGCGATTCTTCTACCGCTGAAGAGCACCACGCTGACAGATACGCAATGGTATACGATAGTATTAGAGCAGGCTCGAGTAGCACGTCTATATTTGAAAACTTACAGGCACAACTGAAACAAAAGGACGGTAGGTGTTCGAATACATACGCGTCGGTGATATATGCTGCGTTGAAATTCATTTTACTTGGTTTTGTAGGTGAAATACAACAACTTCAGTGGGAGTTATCGCGCCGTAATGTAGAAAGAGACGCACTCAATTCCGAATTATCCACGTTGATCTTGAAAATCGAAGAATTGAACGGCAAAGTGTCACACGTTACAGTCTTGCAGGAAAATCTGCACGAAATACAAACACGGTACGACGCGTTGTTGCAAATGTACGGCGAAAAAATGGAGGAAAACGAAGAACTGCGCCTAGACCTTCAAGACGTGAAAGATATGTACAAAACGCAGATTGATCAACTTTTGAAACGAGACAGTTGAAGTTGCTTGCGACGATAAACTTGGACAGGTTGTACGGATATTTTGGTTAATTACTTTAATGGGAATTCTTCTAAAGAGCGCAGCATAAATTTTCGTTTCTTTTTTCCTTCATATTTCAGTTATCACCGTTGCAACACTGGACGATGCTCCGACGAATAGTCTTTCAGTCGGTCTCTTAATTGCGTACGTACACACACATAATGTGCACGGTGAATGCAACTTGAATAAGAAACAAACAATGTGATATGAGGTGTAATATAACGATTAAAGTTTACAATATTGTAATATACAATTGAACTACAATGTAATTTATTAAAAAAAAAAAAAAGTCACGTTTACTGAGAGTTATATCTTTCTTTATAGTCAACCGTAATTATGGGAATGAATTGGGGAACTTTGAAACATTCCGACACAGTATTGCTGCCTCGTTCGTACAGATTCTGTAAGAACTCACAAACAGAAACATATATGAAAAATGGATACTTTAGTATTTAATGAAAGAAAAAAAAATGAATTGAAATCACGCGGAAAGTGTTAGCAAATGTGACGGAATATGTTGAGAAGTCTGAATCCTTGATATTCGGTAAAAAGAAAGGTAGAAAAGGTAATGCAGAATGTAAGAGAATGAAGGTGTATTGTACCGAAAAAGAGTGTGTGTGTGTGTGTTTGTGTGTGTGTGCTGCAAATTAAATTCTAGGTAAGAATATTTCTGGAGACTGGAATTAAATCGAAGTAAATATATATGTTTTCCATTATCTTTCGTATATGCCGTAAACTTTATTGGTTACAAAGTGCGACCTTCTCTCTGTTCCTTTTTCCTCGCAACAAAAAGAAAAAAAAACGAACTAAAAAAACCGGAGAGAAACATGCGAGACAATTGAGCGCTATTTTTGATCGACGGTATTTTTTTTTTGGCTTTTAAGGTGAGAAAAAAATTAATTTTTTCGTATGGAATATATCTCCAATATCGTTTTTTCTTTGCTCACTCGACGTTCTCTCCTTTAGGAGCTATTTTTTGTAAATCGGCGATCGATTATTACGACTGTTTCTTTCTACACGATTGCGGTAAGGCGATTACTAATCACTGATAACCAAATTATTAGTATAAACGAGGGGAAAAATCTTTAGTAAAAAAAAATTGATAATACTATGAATTCGTTCGAATAAGAAAACAGACATACACTCGATGAAACAAGTATAACGACTGCCTTGTGACAGTCACGAATAAAAAGTGCGGTATGGCAAATGATATTACAGTTTTTGTGCGTGTATACATGTGTTACATACATGTACAAGCAATCAAACGTGTTTTTCGCCATTATAAAGTCATCGATTGCTTACAAAACTAATTGTTACTGTAGTATTTGGTCCAGGCATTTTAACAGTATCTTCTAAATACTTGTATCGGCTACTGTAGTGGACTCACACAAATCCAATTGTTTCAGCTAACTTGGTCGAGTACAACAGGGATTATGGGATTTTAGGAAGTCCCTATACTTGTTCCACCGAGCATAAATGTAATTCAGCGGCATAAAACGTAAATTTGTTTTCGAGCGGAACACAAGCAACCGCATATCTAATTTGTTAAATTTACTATTATAATAACGGTCAACCTACACCACTGACAATGAGACATGTTTCTGTCGACCAGTTTTCTCCTTCGGTGTCCCGACAATCAACGATCAATATTGCTTGTTTGAAAGGTAACTAATTATAGATGTTCCTATTAACCCCGCTTACAGCTTCGGAATTGTATTTAAAATGGTAATCACGAGTCCCCAATAGACGTAACCTATGCAGATGTTTCGGAATTCGTGGAAATTAAGGGTCGCAAAATTCGACCAGCCGATCAATCGCTACATTAGCTGTGTACCAAGGAAACCTTATTGAATAAATTGGAAAATGAAATTAATCGAAGTTCAGAGAAGGGTCGTTTCTTCGAACGGATTACGTTCGTCGCAGACAACACGTCACAGAGACAGATGTTCTCTTCAGAGTCTCGAGCGTCGTCGTCATCGACACGTTAATCGTCATCGAGTTTCTCCGCATCGTCGACTGAACTTGCAGCCGTTGTCCCGTTTTATTTCAAAGATAAGCGACAGATTCTATGCTTTTCCCAAATCTCACATCGATGCGTGACTCGTTAATGTAATTTTCATAGATGTCAACGAATACAACAGTGAGTTAAACGTAACTTTCGTTCGGTCACGTGTTCACGTGTGTCACGGTACATGTTTGCGCCATCGATACCAATTAATCACCCTTTACCGTTAACGTTTCATTATTTTTTTCTTTTTTTTTTTCGTGTCAAAGATACCTCTTGTCTGTTCGGTCCTAATGGAAACTGACGGAAATCCAGAATGTAAAGAAGAAAAGCGGGTTACAGATTTTTTGGGAAATACACGATACATCATGCCGTTGGCGAATGGTATTTGAGATAATCATAGAACCGATGCCAGAATCGAAGTTCGATCGCGAATCACGGATCACGGATCGCGCAGAATTTTTTTCCTTGTATTGTAGGCGAGCGTTGCCGAACTCGACGCGGCATCCGCGTCGAGCGTATTGAACTTTCCCTTTCAGGTAACGATGAACGTGCTTCACACCTGATCTGACAGAGAGCTAGCTCCATGGAGCGTAGAGCACAGAACGGTACAAACTCTGGTACCGTGTGTAACGAGCATTGAACCATCGACGCGATCGCGTCAACCACCATTCGTTCAGACCCACGGTGTCCAACCCTCGTACAAGAGGGCTAAATTGTCGGTGCTTTGAGCCTCGCGTATAACGTATTCCACTTGCTCGGCCGTCGTGTATTTCCGGGTCGAATGCGGATCCCGTCCCTCCAGCTTCATTCGTATACGACGCCAAACGTTCAGTGCATACGCGTTCCGTTCTTGGACAGCTGTACAAAAGAATAATATATGAAAAGCACAGACTAAACGAATGAACACAGGAAAAAAGACCAAGACGAACAAGGAAATGAAGAAGTAAAAGAACAAGAAGAAGGGCCCCCCGCTTACCTTTACCGGTGGTCGGATCCCTAGCCAACGGAACCCCCTTCTTCGGGCTATAGTAAACACCTTCCTGTCGAATCAACTTCCTTTTCCTCTTGCCCGTTACGGTGTCCAGAGTTTCACTTTTCTTCTCCCTTCCTCGTACTCTCGCCTTTACGTTTTCTTTCTCGGCGTCCTTGTGGTTGTCGAGCAGCTTGCTGTGCTTTGCTTTCTTCTCGTTTGCGAACTCCAACAGTTCCGTGTACAGGTTTGGCACAATGGTCGCCAGAGTCTCCAATTCTTGTTTAATCGTTCTGCCTCTGTTCACGTCGAGGCAATCGGATTCGAGTTCTTTAACGATCGCCGATATGCTCTCGGTGAAGGACCGGTACGAAGAGAGAAACTCTTGAAGGCCGTCGATGTTCTCTTGCTTGGCCATGGTTCGCAACAGAATCCGTACATCGGACATCAAACAATGATGCAGTGTTAAAACATTTTGCAAATTCGAAACCTGCTCACGTAAACGTTTCTGGGTGGTCAGCAAACATTCTTGCTTCTCCTGTAATTTTTTCTGCGCGTCAAGTATCGCTTCTGAAATAAATCTCTCCGCCTGCTTTAGCCAGTTTATATCGACGTTGCTCTCCATCGGTAGTAATTCAACTAGACTTTCCTCGATCGGTGTCACGGTAATGGTTAAGCTCATGGTTAAGATACAACTCTCCTCCCAGTGCTTGACGAGCTTGACAAAATTCGCGTCGTGCGTTACGCTCTCGGACGTTCTGGTTCTCAATGCCTCGTAATGCAGTATCGAGTTGCACGTATTCACGACGCTGGTCGCTAGTGTATGCTGCCGGGTCAACTTCTCGCAAGAGGCAAGCACAGCGTTGTCGAACGCCGACATTACTTCCCCGAGGGCTGGATTTGCTCCAGCGGCCCATTTCAAACGTTGTACCGCGCTGGATACGAGGTTCTGTTGTTGTTCCCGTGCCTCGCAAACGCGAGACTGTAGACCGCTTAGTGCCGTGGCCGTCTTTCGTAATTCCAGCATGAACGCCGAACGATCTAAAAAGCAGAACAGCAGAAGCATAAGGAAGAATTCAAAAGGATAAAAAGAATGAAATCAGAAAAATGGCAAAGAAAAAGAAGACCAATATATGTGTGTCTTTATGCGCTGTGTCGAAATAAACTTACTTAGAGGATTCATCAGATTTAGGTTCGATCTAAGGAGCAAACTGTCTTCGTGCAACCAATGGTGAGCTGTGAGCTGCAGCTGAAGTCTCTGCATACTCGCTCTGGCAACTTCGACGCATTGCTGAGCCAACCTGGCAGTCTGTTTCCTTCGCCAAGCGCTCTCGAGAGTGCTACTGAGCGCGCTAGCTTGCGCGAGAACAGATCCCGAGAACGAGCCTCTCTTCAGACAAAGATCGACGAGCTTTCTGCACAATTCCTCCAACGAGACCTTGCTTTCAGCCCCGATATCTCTCTGTTCGATTTCGGTGGTGACGCTCAGGCCCATTCTTTGCAGCAACAGGCAAAGCCCGATCGCCAATGTCTGAGAAGTGACCCCGAGCAATTGCCTGGACACGTAATCCGCCGTGAAGATACGTATCGGTTTGTTTAACCGTTCGTCGTCGTAGACGTTCGCCAAGCCGCCCTTGAACGCGGTCGCGATGTCTCTGCACATCATGAAGAACTCTTGAATCGTATGCAATCGTTTCACCAGAAATATATCTTCGAGGACCTGGCAAGCAGCCTTGTTGAATATTGGCGCGGACATTTCCTTCGCTTCCCGAATCTGATCGATTTTCCGCCAGGCAGCCGGGATTTCGAGCGTGCTCAGCGTAGCGATCAGCGCGTTACCTTCCATCTGAAGTTTTTCGAACAGTCCGTTGAAACCCATCAACAGCATCTGACCAGGTGTCAGAGCCTCGTCTTGATTCGGCTCTTGAATCTCAGCCGGTCGCGACAGCAACGCGTCAAATCGTAGTCTCATGTTATTCACGACCCCCTGCATCATAGCGTGGGGGCTTTCCATTTCCATCACGGTGAACCTCAGATGCATCTCGAGTTGCCCCAAGATCTCACCAAGCGGTATCCCAGGCGACACTATGATCTCGGTTAGCTCGCCGATCATTCTGATCACGGTCGGCTCCTCCGTTATGATTGTTTTCATCGCTTCCGGTAGAATGATCGTGTGAAAATTGTAATTGAGCTCCTGCAAACCTTTGTAGATGCAATCCGATCCTCTCAAACACTTGAGCACCAGAGATATCTTGGGATCATTGTTCGCTTTGTGACACTCTGGTATCAGGCTTACCAATTCGGCGATCAGCGACGACATCAGCCGCATCTCGTCCAAAAACCAATCCCCTTCCCTGGACGTAAGATCAACCAAACAGTCACCCGCGCACTTTGCGGCGCCTTCCATCATCAAGTAACGCTTGTTCAGAGCGCACAGGGCGGTGATATTCACGCATTCGAGCGCTCTTTCCGCTCCTTTTTCCCGCCTCAAAAAACTCTGTATCTGCATCCTCGACTCGCCGTACGCTTTCTCGATTCTGCCGACCGATTCCGGCAACCCTTCCGAGACCATTCTCTCGTACGCTTTCTTCAGTCTCTCGTTCACCTCGTTCAGAATCCCTTGCATTCGATAAGAGAACGTTATTATCTGTTGCGCGTGCTGGTTGTTCGTGCCCTTTATCGGATCGAAGCTGCCTTCGAACTGTGCCATTACTTCGCGACAAACATCGACGTTTCCTGAATTCATAAGTTTGTTAGCCCAACCGTGATAGAGCACCGTACGATGTTGCGACATGCTGCTCAGCGGATACAAGTTACAGATGGCCGAATACTGACTCAAAAGGTCCAAGCAACTTCTTATTAAAATGGTCTGTTGCGTCGCCAATTGAGTCAGCTCATTTTCCGACTGTTCGCACTGAAGAACCATTTGACTCTGACCAGCATTCTGCAGAAATTCTTTCACCAAGTCGAACATTACGTGCTCCTCCGAACTCGTAGACGTTCCCAGTTCCGATAACCATTGTCCCAACTGAGGACCTCTTATCGCGGAAAGCGACAACTGAAACAGGATAACATCGCATATTATGTCAATAATATACAATTCCATACGTAAATAGATAAAATATAGTATATGTAGTATTATTCGTCCTTTGTATGTACAGTAATGTCTCGATGAATGCGACGTACTCGGACTTTGGAGCATTTGTGACAAGGTGCAAATGTTTTCAGCGCCTCATAAATTTGTTTTTTTTTTGCCCGAAGCAGAGCTTCTGCTTAGTTTATGTTTACTCTGTTCGGCAGGGGGACTCTCCCAGTGGTTGGAATAACACCATTGCTCGTGTCGCATTCATCGAGAAATCACTGTATGTAATTGTACATTGAAGATGATGATAACGATTTTACGTTTTGTTTGCTTACATTGTGCATGTTGATTTGCTTCTCACTGTCCTCTATTCTTTCCTTCAACGCACCCTTTGCCTTCTCGTGGGCGTCGCGTGCTCTCTTGAAAGAGTTGTAACGCTTTATTACTGTGTACAACGGATGATTGCGTCCCATTGCCTGTGCTTCTTTCACTAACGCAAGCTGTTGATGCCTGTCCTGCAGCAAGTCTTGACATTGACGGGTCACCTCGGTCGCATCCATCCAACAATTCAAACGATGGCACAAAGATGGAAACACTTTCATCAGTTCATCTCTATAAACCAAGAAACCGGTTAATTTCTCGCGGTATTAGACTCCGACGATTGTTTAATCCTTTTATTATACAGAGAGAAAAGAAGAATAGCGCGTCAAAGTTGACCGTTGTTTGCCACCAACCTGTTCGCCAACCATTCGGCGCGCATCTCTGCCGTACGAACGGCGAACATCGCTCGTGTCAATTCCTGTTCTAATTGCTTTCTCCCTATACCTGTGCATCTCGCTCTGGCTTGACATGCCCCATAACTCGCGATACTATTGTCTGCACCGGCTCGCCAATCCACCAACGGATCGTACACGAATGCTTCCAATAACGTCAGCAGAGTCTCGCGTCCTCGACGCATCACACGAAGAGTATGTTCACAAGCCAGACGAAATATACCCTAAAAAAGGAAGATGCTGTTACCGCGAAATCCGTAAAAAAAAGTACATACGATACACGACATCGTTACAATCGATTAATTTTGAAGAAAAGAGCGATCGATTGTATCGATAGTGCCGGTGTACCTTCACGAGCAAACTCGACTTCCGTTAGGGAAAAAGTAGCGTAGCGGTTTGATCTTGAGAGTTACTGAAATATATATCAAATTAACATTCGGTTTAACATTTATTTCAGTACTAAAAATGAAAATGGTAGGAAGCCCTTTCCCCCTCTTTAACTCCCGAAGTCAAGTGAGAAGAGGCCCCTTGCTCGTGGGGGTATACGTGTGCGCGTGGTCATACCTCGACACCAGTTACGCCTAACGCAGTTCGAATGTTTGGAGTCATTCGGAAAGGCACCTTCTCTGGCACGCGTAACGTCTTGCCTTTCTCGAAGCATACATTATAATCGATGTGTACAACTTCGCCGGTGTTCAAATCTACCAGCACGTTGTCCAAATGCCTATCGCCGAGGCCGATGATATAACCGATAACCGACATCACGGCAACCGAGTAGGAGTAATTCTTCGTTGCCTGCCACCAGTTTCCAGCATTTATGCTGTTACACCATATCTCTCTGAACAAAAAAGAAACAAGTATTAACAGGTATGAAAACACAAATACCATATTGTACGTATGTACCCTGACGTGCAAACTGGGCTTCCGCTAGGGAAAACAGTGGCGTAGATTTAACATTTATTTCGGTACTTGTAATAACTTTTCCTTTTTCTTGCGTCACTTTTTCCCCTAGTGGAAGCTGAATTTGCTTGTGGGTATACATATACAATATGTAGGTAGGTACATGTGGACAAAAGCAAGATAAAAATAAAGAATAAATGACTCACTTTGCCAACAGATCCTTTGGTGTTTCAGCCATCAACTCGGACAAGACCTGCTTCAAAATCTGAATCGGCCACTCCTTTCTGTTTTCCAGACCGATTCCCCGCTCTTTCAGCAGCGGTGTCAACTTGTTATAAAAGAGCTCAGATGGCCGCAGAACCGCGGCACTGCCAGTCTTGTTGGTCATGGAGTTCTCCCTTTGTTGCCATCTCTTGTAAAGAACGAACAACGGGGTGACCCCATCGACCCACTGTATCAGACCAGATCGCGGGCCTAATGGTATAACGGAATAATGCCGAGCTCTGTACACCTGTTTCGAATCGCCTTTCTTGGACATCATCGTGTTACATATACTTAAAAACTGCATGATTCTCTCGTCTAAATGAAGGTCTTCCAATCCTTTGAACAGATACGTGTAAACGTGTCCATCGGAACCATGGAAGACGAGTTTCTTGGGTTTAGTCTTAGTCGGCAGTATTTGAACGTTGTTATCCACAGACTGGATGGTAACGATTTTATTATCATTAGCGACGACACCTGGCATAGCAATACAGGTACTCTTTAAATTGGCTAACACAGGGCTGATATCGTTCATAGAAAGAGAGTAAGCTGCCCGTCTGTGCACCCGTTGCGCCAATTTACTTTCCAATTGTTTCAAACATAAACTTGCGATATGAGGTTTCGCAGGATTTTTTGGATTCGTTAGCTTGCCGATCGCTTCCTCGATCGCGGGACCGAACTTCTCCTGAAAATTTCTCTCGTGCGGCGTTTCGGCCGGCACGGACGTCATTGCGTACAAATTCTCCAGGATGAAGACGACCGGTTTCAATATAATTCTATGCTTTTCAGTGATCAACCGGTCTTTCTCCTCGGCACACAACCAGGCGTTGTCTTGTACCTTTTGCACCTCGACTTCTAGCTGCTCGAATCGCTTCGAGATCTCTGTGTGATGCTGGCAAAGCGTTGCCAACCATAGCTCGTCCCATAACAAGGTAATACGACGCAGTTCTTTCACCAATATCTTTATCTGCTCCACGGAACCTTGAATTCTATTCGACAGACAGTCAACCAACTGCGAGAAACAGCAATCCATAAATTTTTCGTGTTCGTCTTGGTATCGATAAACCGTAGAAGAATTATCCCCCGTGTTCTCATCTTCATCTTCCTCATAATCCTCCATCTCATCCTCCTCTTCCCTGTCTTCATTCTCCTCTTCTACATCATCTTTATCCAGTTCTTCATCCTGTTCCTCTACCTCGTCCTCTTCTTCCTTCTGCTCCTCATCCTCCACCCCTTCTTCCTCCTCATCATCGTGCTCCATCCCCCTTTCCTCTTCGACAAAGCCCAACTCGTTCTGAGTGGAATTGTTCTCCGTCGTTTTTTCGTACAGCACCTTGTCACAAGTTTTCCGTTGACCGGACACCGCTCCCACTACCGCGGGAAAAGTGATCAGGTGCGGCGAATTCTCGGCGACTCGGCACAACAGTTCCGAAACACGTGTCCGTACGTAAGCCTCGGGATGACTGAGTCTCGAAAATAGCTGTGGAATGATTTCTTTCCAGGGTGCCGTCGGCGTTGAGGACAGCCCTGATTCAAGCACGTTCTGCAACTCGAGGGCGTGCTTAACAACCAGACGCAGCAACCTGAGCGTGGCCGTAATAGTATCGCAATCGTTCGTCTCCTTTTTCGCGGCGAGTTGCAGATACTTGAAGTACGCGTTCGCGGAGAGCTCGTAATACGAATAGATTCTTCTCTGCGCTTGCTTCCAGATGTCGATCAGCATACCGATACGATCGGAACTGGCCAGACTGAGTATCGGTACGTTCCGTAGTTGGTGTTCTATCATGTCGGACGTGTTGATGTCGTTCGCCGTGTCCGTGATGTCACCCTCGTCCTCGTTGATCGATTTACTTTGATTCAATATCGAGAAGATCGCCAGCAGATCGGCCTCGTTCGTATCGAACGGTAGTAAATTCCGTATGGTCGTTTTGTCGGTGTCAGTTAACCGACCGGTATTCGAATTATCGACGATCTTCCGTCCCCATTTATAGCACCAACTGGCGAAGCTACACCAGGCGATCGGTAAATCCGGGCATTGATTTACCCCAAGTTGCATCAATTTACCAATGATCATGTCCGATACAGGTATCGAGTCCGTGGTCGAACCGAACAGTTTGCTCATCAGACCGTCGTTGTGCACAGCCTCGAATTCGAGCAGTTGCTCCAGCTGAATGTTCTCGGTGTTCTCGATCTCCTGCTGTTGGATCCATTTACCGAGTGTCAGCAGAAGCCTGGTTCCATTCTCCCGGAGATCGGTTGACGCAGATTGCTCACCGTCGACGATGGCTCGCGATATCCCGAGCGCGGTTGCGCTGCACACTTTCAACGCTTTATCAACGTGTTCCATGTTGTACAATAATTTCGAGTATTCACGGAACGCACGCATATTGTTCTTCGACCATTTCACGCGCATCACATTCCTCAGCGCGTCGTCGGTCACCCGATCGAAATCGAGATCCACGCGTACGACCCCTCTGTTCTGGCTATCCTCGATTCGACAGATCTCCCGTTCGGATCGCAGATAATTCACAAGTTCGCGTTTCGCCAACTCAAAGTTTCCCTCTTTTCTCGCTGTACGGACAATGTGCAACCGTAGATCGGCCACCTCGTTCAACGTGCAACTGCCGTTATCTTTCTCCCGTGCCTTTCCAAAGTACTCCGACCACCAGAGAATTTGCGTCAGAACGCTCGAATCCATACGCTCGAGTTTCTCGGTTTTATACAACCGAAACGCCCCGGCGCTCCCCTCTCGACCGGGCACCAGCAATCTCTTCAACGCGTTCGCCGAATATCGTATCAATATCGACTCGTTGAGATATCCGGAAAGTATGTTCCGCAGACCCTCCTCCATTGTCTCAGCCGCCGCCCTTCGGCACCGTTCAATCTCCTGCTCGAAATAATCCTGGTAATCGTTTACGTGGATTCGAAGCGCTATGTTTCTTAACGTATTGTTGCAATCGATCAACGTCTTGCCACAGCTCCAGTCTCCCGGTTTTCCCATTTCATTTTCCAGTACATTCCAATTACTCAGATCATCGAGAGATATCGTTTCACCATCCTCGAACATTTTCAAACACCTAGCCCGTCGATGATCATCGTTCTCTGTCGGAACTTGCTGTTGCCTCCCAATGTTCGAGTTCTTTTCTCGGACGAGTATTCTTGCTTCTTGAAGTTTCCATGCTTTCAGTCGGGACCAATCGCTAACCGCTTCGTAACACTCGGACAAACGTTGCACGCAAAACTCAAGCACCTGATTGTCCCCCTCGGTCTTAACGTTTTTCTCTTTTACGTCAGAGGAAGGTTCCTCGTTCCCGCTTCTGGCTCCGTCGATGTCATCGTCGTCCTCGTTGTCATCTTCATCGTCGTCATCGTCACTGTCCTCGTCTTCGTCTTCGTCGTCGTCTACATTGAAACCCTCGATACTATCGCTGCCGTGCTCCAGCCTACGTCCTCGATCCTCCTCTCCCCCTTCGATCGCCAAATCTTTTCTAGCGGCGTGCGTGTGGTCCTCGATAATTGATTTATAAGCTGTAGCGGCTGATTCGTAGCGGCCCGCAGCTTCTTCCATCGCGGCTTTCAACCATGGAAATTTTCTCTCCTTTTCCTTGGTGTACATGTAAAGTCCTTGTAACGCTTCCGCTTCTCCCAGCATCACCATTGCCTGCGCTGTGCAAAGTGTCGCCCTCTCGAATTCGATTCCGTGCGTATTTTCGCTGTTGCTCAAATCCTCCAACAGCCGTTGACTGTTCCTCAAGGCGCTGCCAGCCAATCCCGAGTGTAACGAGACAACGCACAGTGCCAAACGGATTCGATTCAACCATTCCCTGCAGGTTGATTTGTTCGTATGAAAGAACGTTCGAACCGGTTTCGAGAGCGGTGGCAACGCCATCGCGCATCCCTCAGCCGCGTTGTGTATCACCCTCTCGAGATGCTCGAGAAACTCGATCAACAGTCGAACTCTGGTATGTTCGCTCAGCAGGTGATCGAAGTTCCGTTTTTCTTTTCTCATCGTTTCCACGTTATACGATATCTCGCGAGCCAACGTTTTCAACGCGCTTTCGATCGACGTGAACGTTTCTTGCGGCTTTCCCAACGATGTACGAAGCTTGTTGATCACGCAATGCTGAGCCGCCTCGAAACCGGACCAGAAATATAAAAAGGATCGATTCGCAAGCCCCAACCAGTACGTTCTCCTTGTGATTTCGTTCTCGGACCTGGAATGGAAAATCTCAGAAATCCTGTCCTGGTCCCCCTTTAATACTATCCCCCATCATACTTACATGATCGGCCAGCACAATGTGAACAATTCCGACAACCCGGAAGCGTCTAGATACTGATCTTGCAACAGGAAGGCCATGTACGTTTTAAAATGTTGCGATTGCATCTCTCCGTTACTATTTCCCCGCATGTATAATTTCTCAGCAAGTATCAATGACTCGGTCGAGTATTGTTTAATTCCCTGGTGTTTCTGTGGACAGATATACACAAATATGTATACAGCAGTTTTGCATTCAGGAAAACACCCCCTACACCCATCCTTCAAATATCAAAACTTTTTGCTCAAACAGAATTGTTCTTTTGCACACCTTCGTTTCCGATACCAAACACTCCTTGTTCAGCTTTGGTACGACTATATTTAGAGGCACATGCGTCAATAAAGAGCCGTACTTTTCCCGTACAATATGCTCGCGCGAAGTCAAATGTAACGTCGCCAGATCCACTATGCAGTAATAGATCTCTTCCTTCCATGTCACGTTCTTCGCGCTCATTAAGATTTCGAAGAGTTCGCAAACAGCAATGGAGATCTCTCGGTCAATACTGGCCCCGCAAGCAACCAAACTCCCCAAGACGCGTTCATACTCTTTCGTTTTACTCAATATGCCAATATAATTTTCCGATTGCATGCAAATTTCCTGCATCCACGTCGATAACAACAACAACGTTTGCTCTGGTGTACGCTCATTGAAACTTTTAGCTATCAGGTTCAGAATTATTGAAAGATGGCCGCTGGTCGGAGATGTAGTTGGTACGTCAAGTGCGCCTGGAAACATATCTATCGGACGACATGTGGCAGTTCCAGTTATCAAACTGGAACTCGGCACAAAGTGATTATACCTGGAATAACCGAGACGTAAAGTAATGCAACATAATATAACGTAATATAACGTAATATAACGTAATGTAACGTAATGTAACGTAAGTCTTGTAAACAAAGACCAATGGAGATTGAAGGATATAATGAAAAGTACAAAGTTTGGCAAGTTCTCCGCTGTTAAACCATCCTACCTGGAACAGTGAGCGTAGAGCAAGTATAAAATACTGTACTGCAAGAACGGACTGGTCACTGACAAACTACTGTCATAAGGTCTTAACTTGACAGCCAACAATTCCAAAATACTTGGCTTCAATGCCCACATACCAATGATCGAGTTGCTTGCGTTCGCTGAAAATATCAAACACAATTAATTCAGTAACCCGACTCGATCGTTTCGACTGATCTTAGACCATACGATGATATGCTTGTACGTTTTTACCTATATCGGACAATGCACGCAACAGGAAAGTAATCACGATTTCCGCATCCTTTTTTTTATATTTGACACCGTTCACCAACGGATTGTCAGGCACCAAACTTTCGATATCCGTCAGCACAAGCTTATAAGCGATCTCCAAATCGGACAGTATGTATCGATACGATTCCTGTAGTAGTGGAATATTTTTTAAACTGAGCAAACTGTGATACACGCCAAGGCTGGCATTCTGAATGGAAATAGAATCGCGGAATCGTAATTTTAGTAACGCAGAATCTTTCCCGAGCAGCTTGTGCACCAATTCCAATGGTAAATTCGCAGAGACTTCTTTGATTATTTTCGAAATAGTATTCAGCATGGAAATTATAGTATCGTCCCAGAACATGTTGATTCGTTTTAACTGAAGATCGATAAACTTGTAGAGTAACTCGTGATTTTTCGTTATGCGACTCTGAAGATGTCCCAACAACAAGAAAGCGCATTCGTTCGCCGTTACTATCAGCTCTTCCTTTTCCTCCGTCAAATCCACCGTCTCCTTTCTTTCTTTCAAGTCTTTCGATTCCTTCGATTCCAACCACCGTACAACATTTAACAAAAGCTGCCGTTCTTCCTGCGACGATCCCGTTTCTTTTTCGATGCTCGACTTCAAATCCTTTAACTCGTTCTTATCGAGCTTCAAAGATTTATACATCCTGACGAGATCCTCCTCCTTCTCCTCCTCCTCGATTAACTCAGACTCGTTGAAATTTCGTTGCTGAACGGTGCTGCTTATAACTTTAACATGTTTCAATAATTCATCGACATTTTCTGGTGTAATGGTGAAACTCGAAACCAAGCTTTCGTTACTGTCGTCTAATTCGATTGCTTTCACGACTGTTTTCAACATTTTCGACAAACAGTCGGACAAGAACGACCATCGCACGTTCGGCGTAACATTTGGATTCAAATGCTCGGATATGCTTTTCGTGACTGTATTGAACACAGAGATCAGAGACGTGATACGAACGATACACTCTTTTGGCGTAGGAGACGTTTCGTCGCCGGGTGAACTTCTGCCAGATTCCGGCAAAGATAATTCCTCGTCATAGCTCTCCATGTCCTCTAAAAATTGTCCCAATAACGTCAATGTAAACTGTAAGTCTGCTATCCAAAAGGTTCGCAATCGTTGCAAGCTGCGACTGGCGTAGCTTGCAATCGCCTTTTGCTGCGTCGAATCTATATGCCAGCCGACTAATATGTCAACTGTGTCGCGAAAATGATTCGAGAACGTTTCAGGATAGGATTCCATTATTAACAATATCGCGTCTACCGTTGCCACCAGCAAGTCCGAACGATCGACATTTTCCAGTGTTGACTGCAGTTGCGACATGATTAGCTGAAAATAAACCAAAAACAAAAAAACAAATGAGACCATATAACATAGTTTATTAAACCATCATGCGCGCAACGTCGATAACAACGAAACGACAATTTAATGGAACGTCTAAGTACCATTGAGAATTCTTTTAACCTCGGTGTTTCTGCGTCCATTTTGAAAACCTCAACGAACGATCTGATCAAAAGCCATTTTATATCGTCCTTCCTTTCCAATGAGTACTTGTTGAAAATCCAGTCCATGTATCTGTAAATGAACACGCGAAAATGTAGAGTGATTGAATCAAAAGAAATCTTCGACGTGAAGAATAATAGAACACGATTCGTGCTTTTCGATCTGTACCGTTTGAAGTCTTGTTCGGCCGCGTATCCAACGCGTCCTAGGCATTTTGCGATTTGCTGTTTCGCTTCTGGTCCTGGGCCTGTATGTAACATATCCAACAGACTTTCACAAATCGCATCCAAATTTCGACGTATGTATCTTTGATTTTCAGGCGCGATTATGCCTTCCTGCGCCTGCTTGCATAGGGATATGAAGTGATCGTAATCGTCTTCCCGGCACAGTCTCCTCAAGAGTTTGGAAATCCTGGAGTCTTCTGTAACACGTCCAAGATGATTCAACCATGTAAACTCGGTTAACTAGAACGTTTAGTTTAAAACGTTTTCAAAGTGATTAGTTCGGACCATTTATTCGTTTGTCGTCATAATACTTTCCCTGCGAGTTCTCCTGATTTTTCAACGATTCTTGAAATTTGGGTCTAGTTGCAGAGTAATAGTTGGTCTCTGAATTTGAATCTCTATCGATGGCCGTCTTTTTAAAAGCTCTACCCCGTAATGCGCCTCTGGCACGGTCCCCGGAACTGCCCCCACGAGCCATTCGAAACTCATTGCGTGGAGCACCGCCAATTCTATAACAATTAAACAAACCAATTAGAGACGATACAAGGAACCTCTTTGTATACAGTTGCGGTCATAAGTTTAAGACAAGGGACTGGAATTTAAATTGTACACATGTTCTTATAAGTATACACTGTCTTTCCATTTAGTTGCCTTTTTCTTCTTTTTTTTTGGGATTCTTTGTAACCTTCCTAATTCCGATGTCTTGGACATCAAATGTAAACAATGTGACCGTTTCTGTTCCTTATTCCTTATGAGCACCTACAAATAGCAGGCATTAGCTTAAGATGATCCTTCTAGCAAATTACTTCTACCGGATTCCTTCAACAGTGGTCTACACAAATATCGAAATCAATATTTAATCAGTGCCTCTTGTTTCATCGTCTGAAGCTCAACTGTGCAGCAGAGAAATATGGATAAAGCTGAGAATTTGCTATCAGACGAAAGCGAACTGGTTGTAACGTTACAAAAGTAAAATGAGACAGATTCTGCTTAAATAGAGACTAGTATTAATAAATCAGAAACTGGGTATAAGCATATAACACCGATTATACTTATTTTCTTCCTAAGTATTTCATTTTATATGTTTACAAACACTGTACCAACCTTTTAATAAATATGTAAACCAACGATTAATCAGTTACTATAAAAGAAAAATCAGTGTCTGTACGTTTTTCACATACATAATGAATCGTTCTTATTAATCTTTCCTTTTAGTCTTAAACTTTTGTCCGCCTCTGTGTGTCTGATTGAAAAAATATATCACCTTGGTTTGAACCTGGAAAAACTATGATCAGACGAATAATTGTTTGAATTTCTTTGGCAAATGACCAATGTTCCGCGTGGAGCATTAAAATCATTTGTGTTGTAGCCAGTCAAAACGTTGATGTCTCCTTTATCTAACTCTGTAGCTCGATTGTTACAAACAGACTCTTCCTGCACCTCCAAACACTTAGTTCCACGTAGCTTTGTGCTAATATTAGAGTTCCCACAGCTATTCATTACATTACTGTGCAGACGATCTGCATAACCTACACTTTGCATGTACAAAATGTTCTAAACATGTATAATAACTGTTACCTATAGTGTAAGCGGAAAACAATGCACAAGCACAAATATTACACGGGGAGGCAATAGACTTTGGTAATCAATTTGAAATCGCCGACACTGACAACGAATAAGGTTGTATTGTTCATAGGCACATTGTGGTTAACACACAGTCAGTAAGAAAGGATTCAGTGAGAAGAACAAATAATTTATTTACTTCGGAGGAACGAGCAACTTATGTTGAAACAGCTTTAGCAATAACTAATTCCGTCCTCGAAGGATCGCTTGAAAGGCGCTTTCGGATCCGCGTCGATTTTATCATGAAAATATTTAGAAATGTTGATCGAATAGACGAATCGAAATGTAAAATAGAATTTGTAAATGATTCTTTACGCGTTCGAAATCCCGATGAAGCAGAATCATATTGACAACACCAGCGATCAACGAAGCCTCTATTCTAACATTTCCAAGTCGGTGAATACCGAAATACACTACGACCTTATTCGTATACGGCTTCGTCCAAGAGAGGTTCTCGACAATTGCGATAAAAATTACACGTGTGTTCTCCTATTAATTAAACACTACTCAAACCATATAAGAACGAACCGTATGAAGGGGAAACCGATCAAACATCGTTTACCAGTGGTAGCCTCCACGCTATCCCGTTGACGTGATCTCTCAGTAAACATCGAGTAACACTTCTGACATTACCTTCTCACTCATAAAATTCGTTCTTTTAAATTCATCGAAAGCTGTGCAATGTAAAGAAAAAAAAGATAGGAAAAGAGAAAAACGAAAAAAATAGATGTGGATCAACTAATGGATACACCGCATGCCTTCTAAGCACTAACGAATAGTCGTCTAACGAGGACAACCCACACTATTCTTTTACCACACGCACGACACGATGTCGTTCACGTATGTACTCACGCAAAGGGCGCGCGCGCGCGCAAACCATACACACGCGTTCGTTAGCGCGTGTAAAAATAATTATTCACGACTAATACGATAACTTTGTACCTGACAAATAAACTGGGAACTATAACTTTAGCTATATGTAATTGAATTACACCTCTTGAATTTGTGTACATACACTGGAACGGTATCAAGTGCTTGCAACGCAGTACGACAAAGCAATAAAATTTGGACCAATGTAAACTATCGTTCGAACGATATTTTGACCAGTTCTGATACCTGATTAGCCTGAGTTGACCAATAGTATTACCGTGAACTAGTAACTTCGCGAGCAAACCCGGCTTCCGCTAGGGGAAAAAGCAGTGTAGGAGAAGGTCCTTCATGTGATCTTGGGCAGTTTTGGGTCTTCCGTGGTAGCGTTGGATACGCGTTGCGATTGGTAGCCAACGCTACCGCGTGAACTCGGCCGACAGACTTACGCTTTGATTGGTCCGGGTTTATCGGCAATATCTGGTTAAAGAAGCTCGGATAACATTTTTGCCAAAGAAAAAGTTATTTCAAATCACCCCAGGAACCCTCATTTTCAAGAGTCGAAGCTAGTTTGGGACACCCTGTATAACCGTATTTTGTTTTCGGGACAGACAATTGATTTCGGGAGAAACAAAAGTATCAATACCTACTTGTATAGAATTATATTTTCCTAACCTTGATACCCAACATAAAAGTTGTTTCTGCGTTGAGAGAGAATAAAATACAATACTATACCACCGACTAGGTATAGAATAGACCTATCATCCAATGCTTTTTTCTGTCCCATGTTCATAGGGCTATTTTATGTTTATTTGTTTTTTTTTTTCTATTATGTTTTATTTTGATTTATTTTAAGTGTTTAGCCAATTATATGGCTAGCAGTTTCAGCGATTCGCCACGGATGGCGCCACCAGTAAAAAAAAAAATAGTGGTACTCCGCGATTAAATGCAATTTTAACAGTATTCTGGTCGCTTATTGTTATTATCAATAACAGTGGATAAATCCACGTACTTTTAGCTACAAATTGAGTGCTTCAGCTAAACAAAAGCTGTCCGTATAACGGTGTACGAGCTGTCCAAAGTGAACTAACCGGGGTACACATGATAAGATACAGTGTCAACCGTTGCAAATAAATTGTGATTTTAACAGTGTTCTGGTCGTTTATTCTTATTGCCACTGACAGGAGATTAATCTACGTTTTTTCAGCTACAAGTTGAGTGCTTGGTCAAGACGAATCAGCCGTTATAGGGTACTAATCTACATTCTTTAAACTTCGAATGTGATGCATGACGAAGAAAAGTGTTGCCTGTTTAGTGGTTATGTAATTGCCACAGATTTCGATCGGATTTACACTGCTAAACGAGCATCAGTTTACCTCGTCATGGATTACATTGGAAGTTTAAAGAACGCAGATTAGTACTCTGTAGCAGGTGGGAACCAGTAATTACAAGAACATTGTTAATATCTCAATTGTTTGCAACGGTTGACACTCTATCTCGCGATGCGTACCCCGTTTAGTTCACTTTAAATAGCTGTTCCAACGTTCCATGGACAAGTTACGTCTTGATCAAGCATTCAGTTTAAAGCTGAAAGAACGTAGATTAATCTCCTGTCATTGAAAATAACAATAAACGACCAGAACACTGTTAAAATCGCATTTAATCGCGGAATACCACTATTTTTTTAACCGGTGGCGCCATCCATGGCGAATCGTTGAAACTACTAGCCAATTATTTGGCTAGGAGTTTAAGCGTTTCGCCACGGGTGGCGCCACCGGTCGAAAAAATAGTGGTATCCGCGATTAAATGCGATTTTAACAGTGTTCTAGTTGTTTATTGTTATTATCAATAATAGTGGATTAATCTACGTACTTTCAGCTACAAATTGAGTGCTTCAGCTAAACGAAAGCTGTCCGTATAAGGGTGTAAGAGCTGTCCAAAGTGAACTAACCGGGGTACGCATGACGAGTACGGTGTCAACCGTTGCAAATAAATTGCGATTTTATCAATGTTTTGTAATTACTGGTACCCAGCCGTTGGAGAGTATTAATCTACGTTCTTTAAACGGTGTATCTAATGCAAGACGAAGAAGAATGATGCCCGTTTAGCTGTGTAAATGCGATTGAAATCTGTACAAACAGGGTTGCCACTCCATAAGGGTCAACGTTAATACAGACAATAATAATTGTACTAATTGTCGGGTTCTGCAGTATTGAGTCGATGCATTAAGCCCTCGGGAATAGTTTGAGACTAACGGTGTTCATTTTGAACGCTTAAATACTGAGATATTCGCATTTTTCCATCACTAGGAATTTTCACTCACCTGTCGGTATGATTTAGCTAGCAGTTGGAGCGAATTGCCACGGTTGGCGCCACCAGTAAAAAAAATAGTGGTATTCCGCGATTAAATGCGATTTTAACAGTGTTCTGGTCGTTTATTGTTATTGTCAATGGCAGGGCATTAATCTACGTTCTGTCAGCTTCAAACTGAATGCTTGATCAAGACGTAACCTATCCATATAACGTTGGAAGAGCTATTCAAAGTGAACTAACCGGGGTACGCGTGACGAGTGACAGTGGCAAACGTTGCAAACAAATGCGATTTTAACATTGTTCTTGTAATTACTAGTGTCCAACCGTTAGAGAATAGTAATCTACGTTCTTTAAACGTTGTATCTAATGCAAAACGAAGAAGAATCATGCCCGTTTAGCGGTGTAAATGCGATTGAAATCTT